AATAGCGGTCTTGATAAAACACATTACAATGGCAGTACCAATCAGTACCTGGCATGGAAACACTAATAATAGCTAATAAAGATGAATTAGTTGTATACATTAATTATCATCGTGGACAGTAAATGTAAAATAATTATACGTGTGGCCCTTTAAAATAATGTGTAAAACACATTATCTATCAATCTGTGATATTTGCAATCTGTCTGTTTGTTTGGGCTGTCTGACTAAGTGAGACATAACATTGGCTAAATAAATGGTGTGAGTTTGAATGAAATAGAAGATGAACACATGTTTGATACTTGATATGTTTGATCACTGAAAACAGTCATTCATTTTGGCATATAGATTGCAGATCTAGTGAGTTTTATCAATTTTACTGGGGTTTTCAAACCTGCCTTGGATGATACCAGCACTGCACTGCAGAGGTGACACAGAAGCACTTCTGAAAAGGCATTTTTTGTAGGTGTCTTTAACTCACATGCTCATTGTGTTGCCACAAGAAAGGCTATTCATATAACAGTGTCGAACGCAGTCAGGGTGAAGAGAAAAACTTCGGCCAGTACTGAGTGACAGTATGGGCAATATTTTGCCTTGGGAAAAACTCACAGCCCGTTGAGCAGTGCTCAAGCAAGCAATTTGGTTAGGCGGGAACTTATAGGTTATAAAACCTTATAAATGTAGACAGGGAGGCCCAGCCTGCCGCCAGATATCTTGGAAAAGATCCCACTAGACCACGCCCACGATGAGGCTATGCCTCTGGTGGAGTGTGCTCTACCATCTAAAGGGCACTCAAGTCCCTTTGTAGTGTATGCCATTGCTATGGTATCAACTATCCATCTGTATAGGGTTTGTTTCGAAGCTTCTAGGCCCTTAGCGCGACCGCTGAACAAAACGAAAAGCTGCTCAGTCTGTTTGAAAACAGACGAGCGAGATATGTAGGCCTTTAACACCCTAACTGGGCAAAGGAGGCCTGTGCTTTCCTCCTCCTTATGAACCGGTATAGGGCAGACAGGGAGATAACCTGGGCCCTAAACGGTGTGTTGAGGGATTTAGGCACGGATCCGTGTCTTGGTTTGAGTATGACTTTTGAGTCGTTAGGCCCAAATTCCAGACATGTTGCGCTTATTGAGAGCGCTTGCAGATCCCCTATGTGTTTTACTGATGCAAGAGCCATGAGAAACACTGTTTTGAAAGACAAGTGTTTCATATTCGATGTCTGGATCGGCTTGAATCGGGCTCCTTTCAGGGCTTCTAGCACCATGGAAAGGTCCCACATGGGGATAGAGGGGGGTCAGGGAAGATTCATCCTCTTGGCTCATTTTAGGAAACGAATGACCAGATTTCCCCAGTGGCAGGCCAGATGCAGGTTTTGTAAACACTGCTATGGCCGCCACATAGACTAAGCGTGAATGGGGACCTGTCCTTATCCAGTATCTCTTGAAGGAAGGAAAGTACTTCCGTTACTCCGCTCCTTGTGGGTGGAAAACTTCGGGTTTTGCACCAATTAACAAACACTGACCACTTTGAGGTATAGACCATTTCACAAGATGTAAACAACACCGGTCCAGAAGCACTTCCTGTTTCAGTTTTTTAACACTACATAAAAGCTGGGATAAAATACAACCAACAGAAAATTTAAAACTGAATCAAAAAGTTAAACAAACATCTTTAAGATGTTTTCTTTACATGTGAAATAAAGAAAACAGTTACAAACTGAAACAGGAAGTGCTTCTGCACCAGTGTTGTTTACATCTTGTGAAATGGTCTAGAGACATCTGGTAGACGATGCTCTGGCCTGCATGATGGTGTTCAGCACTCCCATGGGGAGGTTTGCGGGTACCCGTTGATGGCCGACGCGTGCAGGGCCCACCATTCCGGGTGAGGATGCCAAATTTAGCCCTTGGCCTGAGAGAGGAAGTCTTTCCTCGTCGGAATCAGCCATGAGGCAGTGCGCGTTAGCTGCATTAGGACTGGGAAACATTCCTGGTTCGTCCAGAGCGGAGCCACAAGGAGCACAGAGCATCTGGTTTCCCTGAACACTTGAGGAGGGAGCGAGACTGGGGGAAAGGCATAGAGCGGGCAGCTGGGCCAGACATGGGCCAGTGCATCCTTACTCTTTGAGAAGAATTTTGGGCAGTGAGCATTCTCCTGGGACGCGAATAGATCTACCTGTGGTCTGCCAAACTTCTCCCAGAGCAGGAGGATTGTCTGCGGGTGCAGAGACCAGCCAAATCTGGTCTATTATTCGAATAGCCAAATCCTGGGAGCCAGGCACATGCACTGCTCTCAGTGAGCGCAGATTGTGCTGAGCCCAGACCAGGATGCGTTCTGTCAGTTTGAAAAGGTTTTGAGACTGGATGCCGCACTGGCAATTTATGTAGGATACCACTGACATGTTGTCCAAGCGGACCAAGACGTGGTAACCTCTTATTCTGGGACAAAAGCGCCCCAGCGTGTTGTTGTCGACTGCAAACATTCCCAGACAGTTTATATGAAGGAGCTTTTCTCGTTCTGACCTCCCCATCCCGAGGTGGAGGTGTCCGTGGACACCACCTGCACACTCGAGGAAGTCCCCAGGTTTACACCAGACTGGTACCAGTCGGTTGCTCTCCAAGGTTTCAGGGCTGTGATACATTCCTGATTGACCCTGAGGCGAAGCTGACCGGAAGCCCAAGCTTGAGGTGCTACTCACGCTTTGAACCAAAACTGCAGTGGGCTCATGTGGATCAGGCCCAGCTGGAGTACTGATGATGCTTAGGCCATTAGGCCCAGCATTTTCTGAAACCTCCTGAGCGGGACTAGCACCACGGCGACGGATTTCGTGAGGCGCAGAATATTCAGTCTCTGGCAACAGCCGCACTGTCATAGACAGCGAGATGTTCGAGTAACACGGTCCTGTGTTCTATGAGCTCTGAATGAGATTGAGCTAGAATCAGCGAATCGTCCAAGTAGTTCAAAACTCGTATGCCCCGAAGTTTCAGGGGTGCGAGCGCCGCATCCATGCACATCGTAAAGGTACGGGGTGCAAGAGACAAGCCGAACTGTAGAACTGTGTATAGATATTTGAAGGCGAATCTAAAAAAACCGCCTGTGACGTGACACTATTTGTATCTGGAAATAAGCGTCCTTCAGATCTATTGACACAAACCAGTCCCCTTGGCAAATCTGTGCGAGGTTTTTCCTGGTTGTAAGCATTCTGAACTGGCATTCAGATGTCTTAGATCTTTTTTTGGTACCAGAAAATATCTGCTGTATAGGCCCCCTTTGCTCTGAGCTTGAGATAAAGGCTCTATTGCCCCTTTGCTCAATAAGGTTGCTATTTCAGCTCGAAGTAGGTGTGCTACTTCTGTTTTTACCGTGGATTTGACGTGCGCCGTGAGCATTGAGCTAACTGTAGCGAATAGCCTCTTTCTATAATGTTCAGCACCCAATTAGAAACCCTGTTCACGTAAATGGCTAGGGGTAGAATGGTTTTTGTGAAAGCTGCCCTGCATCATGAGATTTACAGATCTAGGAAGAAGGCTTTCTCCGCTCGTTTGACTAATGCGGCAACCGCTGACTTCAACAACCTCGACATTCCTCACCAGCGACCTCACAGGCGTCTTCAGTTGAAGCGGTCCAACAAACCGGCTGCTCCAGCTTCCTTGGGCCGTTCCTGACCATCTGGTCAGAAAAAGGAGAGCTCCACTCCATCTAAGAGGTTGAAACAGACCGAGCAAGCGGTCCCTCTCGCTCTCCTTTTCCTACCCTGTCACCTTCGCCACCCAGCGTGTTTCAAAGTGCAGTCCCTATTTCACCCTTTTCACTTAGTCCGGCACGGGAGACGCATTTTGCTCTCTACCCAAATTTACACAATTTTTAAGGCATTTAGGAAAACAGAAAGATAGATGTTTTGTCCATCTAAGTTACTTCCAAGGGCTGCGGTCAACAGCACCGAGCACACCGTCCATCCAATAGAACCATGGAAAGTTCCTTCTCTGGGCTCCCCTTTTTCCATTGTGCATTTAAAGGGGTCATGAACTGGCTTTTAAAATTTTATTATATTGTTGTCTAAGGTCAACTTATGACGTTCGCTTGGTGTTTTGCAAAATGAATAAGTAATAGGCTATTTTTTACCCTAGTTTTGAGCCTAGCTTATAAACGCTCGGTTTTTATGGGCGTCTCGGTTTTTATGGGCGTCTCGCATAAAACTAGCATGGCTCGGCCCTGGTGGAACGGCAGTGGAAATGCGGCTATTGATTATCCCAAGTCTTTTTCTGTTTGGCAGTCTCTACAGCACACAATTCTCTATTTTCTGTTCAATCAAACAGACTGTCACCTTTAGACAGCTTATAATTACATTGTCTGGTTATTTATGATTCTTGTAAATTGAAACATAATAACACATTGCAACCAATAACTTAATTTAATAGAAGTGTTTGGAATCGAAAAAAAAAAACAATAAATAAAATAAAGCAAAAGTGTTTGCAACTTGAAATTTAATAAAGCAATATATATATATATATATATATATATATATATATATATATATATATATATATATATATATGAAGAGTTCAGATGCAAAAGCCTCTAAGTGCCATTTGAAATTTTGTTCTAGAATGACCATTTTTATCAAGCTTGTGTATTTAAGTTCAGTAATTTAACTTAAATGACAATTAATAGGTAATCTTCATTGCCATTTAAGTGAAATTACTGAACTTAAATATACAGGCTTGATAAAAATGATAATTTTAGAAGAAAATTTCAAATGGCACTTAGAGGCTTTTGCATCTGAACTCTTCATATATATATATATATATATATATATATATATATATATATATATAATTATTATTTTCCAATATATTTGTAAGTGTAAGGTCATCTAGTGTGCACTATGTTGCATACCTTATTTGTATAGCATACCCACTGGATGTGATAAGCACGGTTATTTATTGTGGAAGGTTTGTGCACCCAAGAGCACAACAGCCAGCGTTACAGTCCTCTAATGAGCAGAACCCGTGTGTGTGGTAACATGTAACCGCTGTGACACTGCTGCATGTGCGCCAGCGCAAGTTCACTAACAAAGCCCACCAGACCCACGGCGGTTTATTGAAACGATATCTGCTCTGATACGACAAGCGAACGGTTGACTGATTATTCTCCATCTCTGAATGAAGTCCTGCTCACAAGGAGCCGAGGCGAGAGGACGCGACTGCTATTGATGACATTGAGGAGACTAAAATGGGAGAACATCACTGGAGCCCTGTCAGTGAAGAGAGAGATACAAAGGCGACTGACAACCGACAGCCATTCGAAAATAGCCGAGCGGATGCTTTTCAGTGATCGTTTTACGGCAAATGTCTTCTATTCATTGGTTATTTTTGCATGAGATTTGTACCGTAGAGAAACCAGCGCCACTTTTAGTCCGCGGTTCACAATGGAATTATGACAGCGGTGAATTCCAGCTGTTTATCATTGTTCGCATGAAAAGAAGATGCACATAATTTGGCCCGTGCCTACTAACAGTGACTCAAGACAAGGTAGGATACGATGCACACAGCCTTTAAGCCATGCAAATGGATTGAAAATGTCTCTGTACACAGTTTTCTCTTTAAGTAGCCTATTCACTCTGCGTGCTTAGTATAATGTGCGTACGATTTTGTACATGCAACTGTATTGTGTAGTATGCATTGTGATATAGAAAGCCTAGTATGTATCTTTGTGAAAGTAGGCCTATATAAAAATGCATACATACATTATAGCCTGTAGTGAGCACTGCTATGTAACCTAGATAGGATATCCTAGAGGGTCTTTATAGTAGGACTTTATGCTCTTTAAACTACAAGATTTATACAAGTATCTACAGTATACATTTTGGAACCATGTACTGAGATTATTATTGGGTCTTGTTTAATAAAGTTGTATAGGAGTGTTAGGGATGCACCAATTAATATTCTGGCCAATTCAGTGAGCCAAAGTTTATTTGTTTGCATTAAGATAGCTGATAAATATGTCATATATTATTATTAATTTATGTAATATTTAATATTAGCCTACCCATATAAATAAGACTAAATTTAAATGACACAAAAATGAAAAATCAGTAGTTTTGAATGCTTACTGTTGTTTTTAAAGATAAACTTTGATTAAACGACGTGTAGATAACAAAAAGGTTATCTAAAAGAATTGAAGAAACAAGCATGCACAATTAATTATCCATTATCACCCAATAACCTACAAGTAAATTATTTTAATTGTTTGATTACCGATATTTTAGTTAATTAAATCAGTATATCTGTATCATGCATCCCTAAAGAGCACCTGCTTAAAGACTCAATCATGAAATAGATGTAAAGCATGTGTATGTAGCAGGAGACAATAGTTCATTCAGATGTCTGTTTTACTGTGACTCAAATATCATTACAGAAGTGTGAACATTCATCTAAGAAGGATCAGGGTGTGTTGAACATTTTTCCTTCTGTTACATCCTCTCTCTCAAGGTGTGAACAGTGATTAAACAGTCATCAGACTTTCACGCTGGTGTTGGGGATACCTGAAAAACTACAAATGCGTCATCTCCCACATTGTCTCTGTCAACATGCCCACCTTACCACCTCTGGGCAGTAACTCCAGCACAGTGCCCTGGGACCCTGGCTCACCCCTGTCGCCGTCTCTGGTGAACAGCACGGTAAAGATGGTGGTCATATCGGCAATCGTGTGCACATCACTTTTTGGAAACGTCGTGGTGCTGCTGGTATTCCAGCGCAAGCCACAGCTGCTCCACGTCGCCAACCGCTTCGTGCTTAACCTGCTCCTGGCCGACCTTCTGCAGACGGTGCTGGTCATGCCCTTCGCCATCGCCGCCACCGTGCCCGAGGTCTGGCCACTGGACGCCCGCCTGTGCCTGGCCCTTGTTGTGCTCATGCACCTGTTCGCATTTGCTGGCGTCAACACCATCATCGTGGTGTCCGTAGATCGCTACCTGGCCATCATCCACCCGCTGTCCTACCCCACCCGAATGACTCCTCACCTGGGTACCAACCTGATTGCTTTCACCTGGCTTCTCAGCGTGCTTCAGAGCACTCCGCCACTATATGGATGGGGAACCATCGAATTCGACCGCCGCCATAATGCCTGCACTGTTGTGTGGTCCTCTAGCTACTCGTATTCAGCCCTGGTGTCCGCACTTTCATTCTGGCTGCCCGTGATCATCATGCTTTGCTGCTACTGGATGGTGTTCAGGGCGGCAAGGAGGCAGAATGCTCTCGTTCACCCCATACAATCCAACCACCCTCCGGATTGCCAAGCGTCCTGTTCCAGCCCCCAAAGGCAGCAGCCTCAATCAGAAGGACCTTTTTCGGCCTCTTATCCCATCAGAACCCGCCACAGACGCTTCCACTATCACTGTAAGGCGGCGCGAGTGGTGTTTGTCATCATGGCATCTTACGTATTCAGCATGGGCCCATACAGCGTCCTGAGCACGATATCCATTTACTCCAGCTCAGCGGTGCCACCCTGGTTGGCCTCGATGGCGCTCATTCTCTTCTTCCTGCAGTGCAGCTTACACCCCTACATCTATGGGTACATGCACCGCAGCGTACGCAAGGAGTTCCTGGCGCTGCTCTGTGGGCCGCTGTGTGGGCAGGGCCGGGTCAGTCAAGGCTCCGCCGTGGATAGCTGCTTCACGGTGACAGACGGGCGTCTGGCGCACACCCACCATTCAAGCCAGAATGCCCGTGTGTACCCTCTCCGCACCTGGGAGGAAGGCACAACGTCTTCTTCCCCTACCGAGAGGAGGTCTAAAGACAGCCGAAAAGAGACCACCTCTATCAGTCTGAGCTCAGAGAAGGAGCTCACTGTGCACAGCTACACTAACAAGCAACCTAAGGAAACACCTTAAGGCAAATTCTCAACATATTTCTATCAGTGTTTGGGGTATGTTCAGCATTTGGTTTTGGTCAAATCAAATACTGTGCCTTCAAACACAAGTTTACTGAATGCATTGTAAACATGTGCTAGCTACGCTATGGACCTTCTACGATTACAGTTAGTTTGTACAAAAACAATATTATAGGCATCAGAAAAGCCTAGCTAACATTCTTGTCAATTAAGATTTGTATAAAAAAAAATATTCTGTACACTCTAAAAAATGCTGGGTTGTTTTAACCCAACTTTGGGTCAAATATGGACTAACCCAGCCATTGGGTTAAATTTTTACATTACATTTTTAACCCAACATTTCGGGTTTGTCCATATTTGACCTAAAATTGGGTTTAAACAACCCAGCATTTTTTAGAGTGTATAAATCTTTTAGGTGGTAGGGGGGATGGGATAGTGCATCGGGAAAGGTCCAAGAGCCAGGACTTGAACTCGGGACGAAGCGCAACTGTGCTAAAAAAATTAATAAAAAAAATATATATATATAAATATGAAGAGTTCAGATGCAAAAGCCTCTAAGTGCCATTTGAAATTTTCTTCTAGAATGATCCTTTTTATCAAGCTTGTAGATTTAAGTTCAGTGATTTCACTTAAATGGCAATGATAATTACCTATGAATTGTTATTTAAGTGAAATAACTGAACTTAAATATACAAGTTTGATAAAAATCATTATTCAAGAAGAAAATTTCAAATGGCATTTAGAGGCTTTTGCATCTGAACTCTTCATACTATGTGTGTATATATATATATATATATATATATATATATATAATACTTATATTCAGCAAAGGCTGCATTCAATTGATTTAAAATAACAAACATTTACACAAAACTTTTAAGCAGCACAACGGTTTAAAAAAAATGATAATTCTAAGAAATGTTTTTTTAAGAAGCAAATCAGTAAATAGCAAATTAGACAATGACAATGAAGACTGGAATAATTAGACAATGACAATGAAGACTGGAATAATCATGCTGAAAGTAAAGATTTAACATCACAGGAGTGAATTACTCCTTAATTCTAAAATATATTAAAATAGAAAAGAGTTATTTGAATTATAATAATATTTCACAATATTACTTTTTTTAACAGTATTTTTGCTCAAATAAATACAAAATTGATGAGCATAGTAGACTTAAAGGACAACTCCTGTGCAAAATGAACCTTTGGTCCAATAACACATTGGTACCTAGTCAACCGTTCTCTGAGATTTGTTTTCATGATAATCGAATGTTAAGAATTTTATCTCTAAAAACTGTTTAGCATAGTGTTTTATGTTTAGTGTTCACAGTTTTATGTTACTGTGTTAGTGTGGGGCTATTTTGAGCCTTGTTAGTGGTATTAACTAGCGATTTTTATTTTTCATTATGATGCCCTAGATACTAGCGTAATACGCTAAACAGTTATTAGAGATAAAACTCTTTACATTCGATTATCATGAAAACAAATCTCAGAGAACGGTTGACCAGGTACCAATGTGTTATTAGACCAAAGGTTCATTTTGAGCCGGAGTTGTCCTTTAAAAACAAAACAAAATCCAGCTTTTGAATGATAGTGTATGTTTACACTATGGGAAAGTGGTTTAAAATCTACATTATTCAGTTATAGTACACGTTATGGTTATTTATTCTGAAAATTGTGATTTGAATTGAATTTGAAAGTTTTGAAATTTCAACACTTTTATATGTAAAATATAAAATTTTGGAGACATGGTATAAAGTGTTCTATAGAGTAGTGTATAATATGTCTAACTAAATGAATGTTCTTTGTATATTCCTAGGGGGCAAAACACCTGTTTTTTTTAGGAATTCAGACATGGGCTGCTGTAAAAGTTTGTCATATAAAAAATAAATCTATGGTGTCTGAGGATCACAACCTAGGTGGAAAAACCGGTCAACAAGCTGGAAACTTGTAATTAGGGTCAAAACAATGCTACCTCAAATTCTGCTTTAACTCCCCGGAATCACTAGCCTGGTTCTCAGTTGTAACTGAGGTATGGTCTTGCAAAACTTCATAGACAAAATTATTTCCAAAAGGGATAGACCTAAAACCAATCAGAGCGATAAAGGGGATGACGTATGCAGAGCGATGTTCGACTAGTTTGAAACATGCAGACACTGATTAGCTACTTGCTCTACATTTATTTAAAATTAACAGCAAGACAACTTAAAAGTGAATGTGCTTTCCATTAAATAAATCACACACATTAAACTAAACCTTAACAAAAAACACTTTGCAATTAACTTTGCAATTTGAGGTGCATACATTGATTTTCTCAGACACATCAAGGTGAGTTCTCATTACAAATTTAACCTCTTCCCAACAGGGAAAACCACCAACAATCAAAAATGCATGATTATATGGTGTCATGGCTTTGCAATCAAAAAAGTAAATGATTAAATTTTTTTTTAATCAAAAAGTCAAAAACAGCCACGAACAGTAAATGAGGGAGAACATGTTGAATCTGATGCTGCAGAAAAACTAACAATGCATCAAAACCAATGTTGTTTCTAATATTTGAATGTCAGAAGACTGTGATAAAAGGAAACAAAAATCCAGTCCAATTTTATATTAAAAATAAGTAATTTTGTGTGTGTGTGTGTGTGTGTGTGTGTGTATATATATATATATATATATATAGTGAATTAAGAGGCATAATTACATGTACAGTCAAGGCATCCGAGTTTCCAGCAGCTTGTTGACCGGGTTGTCATTTCATTTTTATATGACATCCTTTTACAGCAGCCCATGTCTGCTAAACCCCCTTTGCCCCCTGGATAAATACATAGATGTCAAATGTATTGCTACTTTACAATTTAAAGACCAAGTATTCTATATGTTGTTTTGAAATGAATTTAGAATATATATGTAGAGAGATTTTTGTCTATTTTTATAAGCATACATACAGTACACAATGATATCAACTAAATCATTGTCACTGGAGAAAAGTTCTCTTAAATGTGGAGAGTAATTACAAGCAAACTATATTATGAAACTGAAGATACTCTTATTCATTTATTGTTTATGCAACAATAATACTTAAGCGATGAATCTCATCAACATTAGGGTATGGGTCAGTTATTCACATTTTATTTTATTCACCTTTATTTTAACAGGAAATATTCCCTTTGAGATTCAAAAAAATCTCCTTTTCAAGGGAGTCCTGATTTAAAAGATGTGTAAAGTGGAGGGTTTCACGTGTTAATTTAATTCAGTTTAATTTAAAATATTTATACATTATGGTATTGTTTGTTGAACTGCCTTGTGATTTTTGGGTGAAATGTGACCTGAAGAGCAGCTAATGAGCCAAGGATCTCAGGGTATTTATGATGTACCTCTTGGCCAGTGTGGGGTCGGCTCTCATAAAAGAGTGCCTCCTTAGACAATTTGTACATTGTCTCTGTGCAGTATAAGATGTTTTTATCCCCAGACACTGCCAATTATATCATTTAACCACAGACATGATAAAAAAGATGGCTTTGCAACTGATGGAGCACTTTATGTTATTGACCACACTGCAGGAAGTAAACATTAACCATTATTGAACACTTAGCGTGACCCTGTATGAAGATAGAACAGCTAGTGCTTCATTTCTGGCTGCTGTGTTTGGAAGTCATCTGAATTTATAAATCAAATTTTTTTTATGCTACATCAAGTATTATTTTGTGAGTGCAACAATACATATCACAGACAATATCCACCATATGTCAGTTTCCACTGATGTCCGCAGCACTTACAAAAAGGTCCCATGACATGGGGTTATTTTATTATAATGTTTCCTGGGTTTCCCATATAATGCTAGTATGTTTTTTTAGATCAAAAATAGTCATAATTTAGAAATAAAAGGCATTTTCCTAGCCTGGTTTTAGCCTCTGATTTGAACGCTCTGTTTGAAGGGGCGTGTCTGCTGTGGGATTCAGTGGAACCGCCCACTGCTGTGATTGGCTGACATGCTTGTGTAATGAAACGGCTACAGTACATGTGAAACTCTCTCGAATACTTTTACTAGCTATTATATGTTTACTTATTACAGCTATCGAGATGAACAAATCGTGAGAAGTTTTTCAAGTATTTAGATCTATTCCCATCACATAAAATATTGCCGTGATGAGCATTGAGAATGAAGATTCTGCAGTTTCTGCACTCTCTCAATTGCAAACACAATGATGTTAGTTACCATAGGCTGTAAAAAGTGATGTAGGCCTACATACAGTAAGAGCTTTATTGTGCGGTGTAACGTGCGTCATTGATTTCATAACTAGTTGTCCAGATAAACTCACGCTGTGTAAAGATTGGTCTTTGATGCTTTCTGTATATAATTTGTTCACAATTTAAATAAGATAATTTTCATCACATTGTTTTTTTAGTAGGAAGTTGATATTTTAGTCACTCACTTGACCTACTGATGCATAAATAGTATTGAACGATTTTGGGAGAAAGATTAACTTTCTGAACTTGAACAATTAGGCCAAAGCCACACATCAGAAACTGTTGCTAGGTAGAGCTTGATTGATTTATTTTCAGATGTTCAGAGGCCAACTCTATTGTCGTCGGTGAAATGTTTGGACCATACAAAACTTTGGGAAGTTGTTTTGGTGCATTCCCAGAGAAAATAAAATTAACCCATTGTTTCTTCAGATGCTCGGATGAAGGAACTAAAAAGTACTTTTGTGTTCATTTGTACATCTGAACACTGATCAACTGCCATGCTTCGCTCATTTGCAAGCCAAGATATCTCTTGATGAAAAACTCAAATCGCACGTTCGTACTTCCTAGCTCATTTTCTCATGGGCGAGCCACATTCTCTGGGCAGGCGAAGCAGGGACAGGGAAGGTTACCTTTCCCGCTTATGATGTCATACTGAGGAGATAAGACAATGCTCGGTTTACAACGATTGAAATTTCTTGCCACTGGGGTACCATGTACAGGCTAGGGGAACTCATATTAATGTTAAAAAAAAACCCAGAAAGAAAAAAAAATTTCATGTCATGGGACCTTGATGCGAAATTGTTGACAATCACTTTCAACAAACAGAGTCAGATGAAGCAAGTCATCATAAGTGTACTCCAACTGTAACAGACTGTTTTATATTTAGAAAAAGTTTAGTAGACTTTTTTGTAATGTACTTTGTGCTTTATTTTTCTTTTGTTATAACATGGTGAAGAATGTTTATGTATACCTCATAAGACTTGATCAGTACATTCTGTGGGTTTCAAATTAAAGTTATTGAAAAAAGATGTGTACACCTGTTTTAAGTAATGACATTTAAATAATTTACAAAGAACAAAATCACTAAATAGCTCCCATTATTTAGATATTATTACTTGTATAAAAATCCACCATCAAGCAAAAAAAGTTCTTCTTAACCATCCCATTTCCCGGGATCCATACTCCATAAAAGCAAATTTGTCAGCAAAATAAAACTATACAACGCATGGAACAAAATAGTTGTATTCTATTAAAAACATAGTAACAATTATTACTGATATCCACCAATAGGTGAAATTAGAGAGGTTACTGTGGTCTGGTTACTGCGGTCACATTAGTGAAATTTGCGGCTGCGGAGATTCATTGTCAGTAACGTAGCGATGTATCGCTCACATAGAATTCACTTTCAAATCAAGCTGCTTTTTTTGGTCAACACAGAAAATTAGCATGGCCAACTTCAACACAAGCTAAATATGTACTTTTTCAGCCACACGAGAAACTCCTGATTGCATGGATTCTATTTGAAATTACTGGATATTGCCAGAGCAAGTTTTGCTTGAGAAGCGGTTAATGTCAAACTAGTGCAGTCACATTAGCGTAAACATGGCCATTGTAAACAGTGTACATATGTATGAAGCACTGCTCATACTGAAGTCAAACATCTTTCTGTTGTGAACATGAGAGAAACCTGGGTGAGATACCTTTTTGCCTTTACATTAAACTCCAGATCGTACAGATTCCTATTGAAATGACTGGGTTTTGCCTGCGAAATTTAGGTTAGCAACAGTAAAATGGTAGTTTTGATGGGCAAAGAAGGTCCATTATACATTTTCATCAGTGTAGCGACACTGCTTACTCACAGGTTCAAACTAAGCAGTGAATTTGAGTGTTTCAAATGAACAAATTTGAATCTGATGTGAAATTCAATATTGCCTGGTTTTCTATTAACACGACCGCATTAAGCCCACAGAATTTCACCATACAAAGGTAAATATGACTGCACCCCAATCTGTGTCCCATCTGGTCTTTCAAAACAAATTCTATACACAATGAATTGATGATGAAATAAAACAAAGCAAGTAAAACATACACCCCAGTCAAAGTAAAAGCATAAAAAGAACTTAATGTTTAAAGATATGGGCTTCTGCTCTCATCACAGTGGGTTTAGCTGGAATAAAGTCATAGGCAATGCGAGATAAATAAAGCACTGAAATGGGGTCTTTGGAGTTCACACGCACACATACTGCAGATCATTGAATTACAATTGAGCCACACACCAGCAGATCAGGAAAACAAAAATCCTCTGATTCCTCCCTTCATTTAAATGTCTCTTTAAAATTCAACATGAAAGCTGATCTGTAAAAAGTTGATGTGATCTCCAAAAAGTCCTTCCCTTAGTCCACTTTCAGCACACTGTAGATTTTATTTACAAACAAGTAGCAGGCGAAGAAGCCTATAGTACCTGGGTGGAAGAAGAAATGTGTGAGAATTAACAAACAAAAAAAGCTTTTCAGCACATGTACGTCATAAAATGTCCCTGACTAACTGATAAGTGTACACACTTCTATTAAAATCGCAATTGGAGTCATAAAAAAAAAAAAAAATCTAGTAATAGTGGAGTTTCAATGCATCAAATGGTCTCACAGCCAAACTGAGCAGAGCGTGATGAAGCTTAGAATTAAATCTAATCATCGCTGGGGCGGCAGTGACCGCAAATCAACAATAGGTCTGATTGAAATCTTTAGCTCGGAATCTATTTTCAGATGCATTTATACACACACGATTCTCAGTCCTCCTCCTCATCCTCCACTCACGCTCTCACTCTATCTTCAGTTTGCTTTTGAGACCTAGAAACAAACCATTTTGGGGAAGTTTTATTTTAAGATGTGGGACTGAGATCGCAATGGCAATCCAGTAAGCATTGTTTAACTCGTCTCATATTTTCACCCTTCAAGTGTGTGCAGAAGTTGCCATAACAGCCATTGCCAGGGATCCTAAAGCATCTAGAAGAATCCATGGCAACAAATAGATTGTGGCTAATATCCAACAGCGGTGGTTTCCCATCATTCAAAAAGAAAAGCCGTAAGAATTGTGTTTTTAAGAGTGTTTTTGTCTAAAATACTCTTACTACAAATGACAAATGTGAAATGTCAAAGTACTGTCACAGAGAAGCTTGTGGTATTTTATAGAGTCGATCATTGACAAACAGTTATAAATCACTTTTCTTCACGCTAGGTGAGGAAAACACATGCTACAAAGCTAGAACCCGCCTGTTTGGAGAGACTGAGTGGACATAAGTAAGCATATGTAGATGCTATCAACCCACAGGTGTTTATAGATTGGAGACAGCTGGCCATCGCTCGCCACCTCCGCCTCAGCATATCAATGAGGGGAAGCGACAGATTTGATTAAGGCCAGAGGGAGCGGCGCTACCTTTCAACAACAATGAAAGATGAAGAATATTTATACGTGTCCCAATTACCCTCTGCCTAAACACAGTGTGACCTATCGGGCAGGAACAAAACAACTAGCACTGGTCACCTGTTAAACAAAAGGACCAGACATAATGCAGCATCATGACAATCTCTGAACATTTAAGATTGTGTGTAAAGTAAAAATTAAGAAAAAAAAAAAGAAATGTAAATGTCACATTAAACACAAAAAGTATTGAATTGCAGGAACAGGATACAACTTACAAGCTACTAAAAAATGTTTGCATTGCACTAACAAATAGGTAATAAACTACATATATTTATAGAATCATCCAACCTGGAGTAACAGGTGGAATAAAAATGACAGACTGACTGAATTGCATCAATAAGCTTTTGTTTTAGCTGACAGACTAAAACCTTATATGATAATGTTGGCCATGGCATTTGCATATTAAGTGCTTATTATGTCATTGAAAATTAAGCAGTTATATATTTCAATGGAAATATTTTTTTGTTATTTACGTGAAAAGTTAAGAATCAAGGACAAACTGAAATTCACAGCATTTAAAACTTCTCAGGATAAATGTAATTTTATGCGAATACACATTATATGGAGAGCCTACGACCTACTAGCTATGTTCTGCCTTAAGAACAAATGGTGCTAGTAAGTTACAAACTAGCTAATACTTACTAAGCCTCTAATATGGACTTTGTGTTCCAATTTAAATAAGAACTTACGAAAGGCTGGTGCAACCCTACCCTGTACACGCTCAGGTCTGTCCTCAAAGATTACACGTAGCATTACACGTTTTTCTTGTCCTGCATTCGCACTATAGTGATTTACTCTAAACTGGTTAACCTGTTAAACTGGTTATTTGATAGAGGAGGAGAATTCAGTGAAAGATTAATCAGTATAGGATTGGTTAGACTGATTTATACTATTAAGTTGTGAGCATAGACTGTTAAAAAAAGATGAATGATGCATCCTCCTTCCACTATAGGAAAATCAAGCCAAAAAAAAAAATATATATATATATATATATAATGTTAACATCTTGCACTGATCACATCATTTGGAGCCCAAGTCTGCCAGTATAGAGAGTCTAAGTCCCTCCCCTTCCGGTCGACCACCATGGGACCTTATTTCGGAAAAATATTATATGGTAGTCAATGGCGAGAGACAACAAATATTTTGATCTCGTTTGAATTGTGTCCTGAATTACACGTATGATGTTTGTCAATTTAAAATATACATTTTAAAGTAAAGAAAGTCGTAGTTTGATGTAAAACCGTTGAGCTATAAGACTACAAACCCCAAAGGCGCACATTTTCTCTCAATGAATGAAGCTAACTTTACTGAGACTAATGTCTGTCATTGTTTCTACAGTCTTACGTTATAATCGTAACGTTACGCCGTCATACACCACGAGTAGCGGATCTCGCTCGTTGTTTCGCTACCCGGGAGATGTAGTTCACTGAACGATTTTCACATAAAACTAAATGTTACTCTTCTGTTTTATGACAAACTGCGACGTTTTTAACTTTCGGAATTAACTTTTAAATTGACAAACATCCTATGTGTAATTGAGGGCACAGTTCAGACGGAATAAAAAGATAAGTTGTCTCTCGCCATTGACTACCATACATATTTTTTCCGAAATAAGGTCCAATAAGCCGGAAGCAGAGTGGCGGGACTTAGGCTCTCTATACTGCAGCCAGCAACCAGGGGAAATCAAAAAGATTTGTCTTCACTTCTCAGGAAGCGTGTGGCACATTCGGTTGTGGCGTTGAGTCAAAATACATATGCAGTATGCTCGTTTTTGATTATAGCCAGTGAAAACAACAAAACAGAAAAAACGTAAGCTAAAAGTAAAAAAAATATATATAATTTCTTTTGCCGCTTCCTATAGATTCACTGAAAACCAGAAACACCAGTGATAAAATGTAACTTTAACCCAAGTAAAAAAGTCATGACACAAATCAATGTTCATGAATTGGTTATTAAATCATAAAAATATTTTTTTAAAAATCAATATTTTTACATTTTACTAAACTTTAGTAGGCGATTATTAACCCCTGAAACCATATGGCTTACTGTTATGATGGGAAGATGCACCAGGATATTTTTTCATATAACTCTGATTGTGTTTGGCTGAAAGAAGAAAGTCATATATAACTACGATGGCTCTAGGGTGAGTAAATTATGGGATAATTTTTGAGTGAACTAACCCTTTAACTGCATGTCATGTGTTGCTAAATTATTGAATAATTACTTTCAAATCTCAGGGGGTAAAAGTAAATATTACATATCAAAACTTACAAGAAAGGCTTACAAGAAAATTTGGGAATGTATATTAAGGGTGTAATGGTATACAAAGGTGACGGTTTGGTACATGCCTAGATTTTGAAGTAATATTATGTTTTTGGTACAGCAGGGGAAAAAAAAAAAAACTTTTTCTTTCTTTTTCTTGCAGCCCTAACCCTTACTGAACAAACTATGGATCTGTCTTTAAATAAAATAAAAAAACTGTCAATACTGCTGCAACACACTATTTCTAATTCATTTTATGCTGTAAAGGGGAACAGAAATCTGAAGTAATTTAGCAAAAGTATATGTTACTCTTACACCCATAGTATATAAAGTTGTATTATCAAGGCTAAAGGGAAACAGACCATCTCTCATACCTGTGAAAATGAAGAAAATGAGCACCATGATCGAGGTGTAGCCAAAGTAGAGGATGGTGCTTGCCATCCCTATAATTTGTAGTTTTGAGTAGAAGTAATGCACTGCATAGACAAACAGATAGACTGCCGTGAAACCGCTGGTCAGGAATGATCGCCACCACCAATGATAATCCTGTCAAATACAAAAAATAGGCATTAAATAAAAACATGCTTTTTTTGTATATATAAATGTTTAAAATATTTCAGACTAACGTTTAATGATGTTGTACACTCTTAAGAGACTAATTTGTCTCAGTGATGAATAAGAACCAGCCAAACAAGAACCAAAACATTTTTTAAAAGATGCCATGATCAGTGTTCAATCTCACCTCTGCACATAAATGGAAGTAGCAGAGCAGAACAGTGGCCTCAGAGCAGGTAATGAGCAGGATGATGAAGACCAGGAAGAGGAAGCCAAACATGTAATACATCTGATGAGACCTGCAGAGAAACATTTCAATTAGTTATTGTTAGGGACAAAACATCAGTTCTGACATCAACTCATTTCAGCATGATATGATTTCAAACTATACCAAATGCTATTGAGGATGAAGAAGAGCTGGATGAAGATGCAGCCGAAGGGCAGGATGCCACCCATGATAATGCCCGGCACAGGTTTGGTGAAGAATGACTGCTGAGGAATTTGGCGTGGGATCTGGTTTGTTCTCACAGGAGGCTCGATGCCCTGTTAAAACAGGAAAATAAAAACACCCACAATCATGATATCATGCATGACAGCGTGCCAAAAGAAAAGCTCACACAGATGGGAACTGGAGTAGCAGCTGATTCAAATGTTTAGAAATACATAAATATTAGGCAAGCATAAGAATTCTGGACAATCAAAACCTGTGAGCCTATTATTAAATGTAATTTTCTTATATCCCCAAGTATGGAATCAGCACCAGTCAGAATGCCAGGAATTAGAATTGTACTCTGTTGAAAAGCTCTTACTCCTGTTTAACACGTGCTCAGCTTGCAGTACATATTTTAGTACACATTTTATTTAAGATGTCTTTGCAATGCTGTGGCTTTAAACACAATAAATATAAACAACATAATATTGAATTCATTATTTCTATATAGATTTGTATGTTAAGTTACTCAAGCAAGTGCCAAAACATTTAAACATGATATTTTTCTTACATGAAACATGTCTTTCATGTATGAATCTTTATATGAAAAGTCTTGTATGTATGTACAAAAAGTGCAGTGTTGTATGTTTTTCCTATCTCAATGATTAGATGTCATACATTGTGTCCTGTATGTATAGCCTTCTTGTTCCAAGTGTATTTCTCAGACAACCAGATGTACTTTAAGCAGTGTATTGTTTCCGAATACAATTTTTTTTTTCTTTGAAATGCATCTGAAAAACCGGGGCCATTTCAGGGAAGATGGCTGGGGGTGTGTTGTTGTGTAGCTGAGGGAAGAAATGATGGGCTGTCCATAGCCAGAGCTGTCATCCAGCTGAAGGTACTGGATATCGCCAAAGAGCTGAACGTACACACCAGTGATGCCCCTTATTTCTTATTTCGGCTATGTTGTGTGACACACTTGCCTTTCAATTTCAACGAATCGGCCTCTTAGTTTAAAGTAATTATGCATGTATGGTAAAATTACTAAATTTTCCTGTCAATACACTAACAATGCGCTATTCTGCACTGTAATTCAGTAAAAATTGACTCGTGCAGAAACATTTGTTGCACTGCTGTAACGCACTGTTCCTGCAACACACTTGCTGCACCGGACTTGCAGTGTGAATGCTCTCTAACCTGTTAACATGGGCACTGAAAAAAATACCGCATTCACACTTCAAGTGGGTCACATGTGAAACAGGCGTTAATAACAATTGGTCTGTTCAAGAAGGCATACTCACTGGTTTTTTGAAGCCGAAGTATGCACCCAAAAAAGTGAGAGGAACAGAGATGCCAAACCACAGCGCCAGGATGGCCACGAGTGTACCAAAGGGAACAGCAGCAGAGGAGCCCTCTACCCACAGGATCAGATTCATCAGGAAAAAGTCCACAAACACAATCCTGCAAAAACACAAGCCACGTCTTTGAAACTGCATACTGGCATTAATCATATTATTTCTGTTCTCGAGAAATGAAGATGAAAATATTATTCATACCCAGGACACAAAAGGGCGGTGAGAAGGACATTTGTTTTCCATTTTTCACCACCGAAAGCTGATGATACAGAGGGAATTGATTGGAAAAGGAAGTAATTGAGATGAATATTTGGCATTTTTAAGGTGGACTCAGTCACTTTCCCTTCACTAAAAATAAAACAATAGTATGTGTTGGAGCCATTTGTTGTAAAGTTTTTCTTGGCCACTGAGTAGCACTGTGACACAGTATAATTGTAGCACAGGTGTAACAGGAAGAAGTGTGAGCATTGGTATGGACAAGGTATGGACTGTTTATATGCTTTCTAAAACTCCTTTTATCACAAACAAATATCACCTCTTTAGATCTTCATAATGACTATCAGAAGAAAAAATGATAAAACAAGATTTTCCACTGCAATCTTTCCTTACTCTTATAGAGTCTGGAAGACACATATCCAGCAGGTGTGCCAAGCAAAACCCACAACACCACCGAACAGGTCATGAGAGCCCCTCTGTTGGCTGGAGACAGGAAGCCCAGACAGGCCAAGACTAAAGGGAAAAACAGAATTGTCACTTTTTTCCATTTAATGCTTCAAGTTCGAACTAATGTGAAATAACATGCTACCAAAATGTGTAAAAAGACAACTGTTCACAATGTCTATTGAGCGTTAATAATCGAGGAAAGGATTAGGGAAGTTAACATTGTTGGCATTTTCATGATGCACTCAAATATTTGACTGTTCTCACAGATCTAGAAAAGCAACCCTTAAAGTTAATTTGTACAATACAAAAATCTGCAGTACTTTTAATTCATTTCTGTTCCAGATGCACTTACAAAGGGTGATGAAGGTCATGATGAAGATCTGACAGCCCTGTCCGAGGAAGACAGACAGAAGCATGCCCATTTTGGGAGGCCTAAACACATCACCATGAACCTGCTTCCAGCCAGACTCCTCCTGGGCCTCCTCCTGCAGGAGACATGACATATCTCAATATGATGACCATCATCAGATAAACCATTATGGCCATAACACAGAAGATGGTATATGGCACATATGTTTTATCAGTGTCATTATCAATTCACTGCAAAACAGCTTCCTTCATTTTTTTTTAACCTTGATTGGTGAGAATGGTAATGTACATTTATACTGTTTTACCATAAAGCAACAAACATAAGCAAACTTAAGCTAATACGCTTACATAGGTAATGTTTGCAGCTGGAGGGATCTTAACCCAGTCTGCCTGTGAATGTCACAACAGAGGATTCATTGACTGGATGTATTCTCTTGGTTATTAATATTAGAAAAATAATAACACACACTTAAACTAGGAGAAAAATCAGCCAGGCAATATGTGCTTGAGGATTAGGATATGACCTATGAAAACCTGACAATTATAACTCAAATCAAACAAAATATATAACAGGAAGTTTGATGCGGGAGTGTCAGCTCTGTTGACACAAGAGACTGTAATGACGTAACAGGGTCATTCATTTCTTCTGTTATCTAGATTCTACTGTAGATAACAGTTGGAAGGAGAACAAAGTAAATTCAAGGTACCTGGTCCATCTGGTTGTACCGGGCAATATCCTTGTGCAGTGTTCTAAGCATGATCATGGCCACCATGCCAGACAAGAAGAGCACAATAACCAAAGAGTTCATGATGCTAAAAAAAAATTAGCATGAAAGCCATTAGAATGGATGGAAATATAGATATACGAGCCTTTTTATTTCTTGATATTACATATTTTCAACCAGCTTGGCTTTCTGTGCTCACCTGAACCACTGGATGTTGCTGTGAGGCATGGAAACCAAAATGTAATCCCATCGAGAAGCCCACTTAATGTTATTATTTTGCTAAAAAGGAAGAAATAAACTCTATCACAAAAACTTCTTTCCAACCATCTCCATATACCGTCTCTATAAACAAGCTTACCTCAAATTTAACTGAATAAGTGTAGGTCACTTTGAGACTACTGCTGGAATCTGCTGGAATGTCCATGGGAGCACCTTCACAGGTCGGATGATCATTATCACCATGCTTGATGCTGTTCAACAGACAAATATTTGTAAAGTAGTCCATTTTTATTTGGTTTTCTTATTGATGTCACAGATGTTGCTATGCCTAACTTTAAAGATGCTATGTGTAGGTTTTTACTTAAAAAATCTTTAAGATAAAGTCTTCATTTGTACATTTAAGAGCCAACCATAATGTAATAGAAAGAATGACACCTTGACTGTCCACCATGGTTGCCTCTTATTAGCCTGTAGGCTCAATTTTGTGTGGAGGACGTCATGCGCATTCTCGTCTACTTGGGCTTACATCCGTATGGAAGCCATTAGTAAGCAGCGGCAATCGCTAGCAGTAGTGTTTCAAATGGATTCTGCGGGCGGAAAAGGAACCAGCCTCCAGCACAATCCAGATACCCACAGAAACTCCTCGTAAGTTAAAAAAAAGACCTTATCTAGTGTGGCCAACGAGCGTGCAAGCATGCACACCGAAAAAGACGGACATGAGCTTTCCCGCACCTGAAGGATTTAGCGATGTCAGAGTGCGCAAAAATCATTTGAAACAATGTAGGACTGGTGTCTTGTCACCGTGTGGAGAACCCAGAGCACCTCTGCTTTTAGAGTTAGCTCTGATCCAAAAGCAACACGGAGGTTGATTGCGGGAGTTGCGGAGCTGGTTGAGTGAGTTGGGCCTCGCCTAGGCAGTGTAAAAGTAACGTTAGTGCGGGAGCTGCCAGATACTTGCAAGAACTGGCTGATGGCTGTCGTTTGCTGGAGACCCTTCACAGCAGTTAGAGGTTTATCGCTTTTTGCATGTGACTCCAGCGCCCGTACACCCAACATTCCCAATTTAATAGCTTTCTTGCATAAGCAGTAGGCTTTAAATACGTTGTTTGCAACTGGCTTTAACCAAGCACGAAATTCTGATTTTTCAAGCAAAGTATCGCTACACTTACACAGGTTCCATGATTCCACACGCATCAATCTATGCCTTTGTTATTGTAAGAGGTTAGTGACCCCTTGAGGCAAAAAAAATGACAGATTGTGGCTTTTTTTTTAAGTATTTTTTGATGAAACTGGTTACATGGGCCCACAGAAAGTAGAGAAAGACCTAACATTAGGTTAAGGACACAACCTAAAGTAAAATTAGTTACAGACAGTTGCAAAATCAGACCTCTTAGGTTCCAGTTTAGCCGCCACAAGTCGAGCTCCCATCCCAGTCGTTTCATCTTCGCTGTGGTAACTTATGGTGATGTCCACATGGTTGAAAACATAGTAAGTGTTCTTTCTGTTGAAGTCAGCCTAAAGGAGTGGATAAAAATCATCATGTTAGAAGCCAGTCCGCATCAAAATGGCATCTCTCTACTTCTCTTGCTAAATCGCTTGGTTACTTGTGAAGTTATTTTGAAATTGATCATATTTCTTCAATCAGCTTAATATTTCCTCTGTGTCAGTGTATTTCTGGTAACGTTAATGTTATATAAAGATTTAACTTATTGAAACTTTAAAATATAAAAACTTAAACTTAAAAAACTTAAAATATACACTCAGCTAAAGGATTATTAGGAACACCATACTAATACTGTTTTTGACCCCCTTTCGCCTTCAGAACTGCCTTAATTCTACGTGGCATTCTTTAAAAATGTTGGCCCATATTGATAGGCTAGCATCTTGCAGTTGATAGAGATTTGTGGGATGCACATCCAGGGCACGAAGCTCCCGTTCCACCACATCCCAAAGATGCTCTATTGGGTTGAGATCTGGTGACTGTGGGGGCCATTTTAGTACAGTGAACTCATTGTCATGTTCAAGAAACCAATTTGAAATTATTCAAGCTTTGAGACATGGTCCATTATCCAGCTGGAAGTAGCCATCAGAGGATGAGGATGGTGGCCAAAAAGGGATGGACATGGTCAGAAACAATGCTCAGGAAGGCCGTGGCATTTAAACGATGCCCAATTGGCACTAAGGGGCCTAAAGTGTGCCAAGAAAACATCCCCACACCATTACACCGCCACCACCAGCCTGCACAGTGGTAACAAGGCATGATGGATTCATGTTCTCATTCTGTTTATGCCAAATTCTGACTCTACCATCTGAATGTCTCAACAGAAATCGAGACTCATAAGACCAGGCAACATTTTTCTAGTCTTCAACAGTCCAATTTCTGTGAGCTCTTGCAAATTGTAGCCTCTTTTTCCTGTTAGTGGAGATGAGTGGTACCCGGTGGGGTCTTCTGCTGTTGTAGCCCATCCGCCTGAAGGTTGTGTGTGTTGTAGTCTCAGCCTCAGACGTCACGCCCACGGAACGTTGGCTAAACGTCTGATGCATATGGTACACTTAACTGGAAACACTTCAGGAATGTCGAAGTCGTCATCTGATTGGTTGAATTTTATCGGATTTCCGGGGGGCGTCAGTGTCGCGTTTATTTTCGGTCCGCCGGGAAACAAAGCGCAGACGTGTGATTGCGGAAGAAAAACTGTTGTGTTTATATGAGTGGCCTATGTGAGTGACAATGAGCATTTCTCAAGATCAGCTAAACGTAGTTGTATGTCCCCTCCAATCTATTATGGAAGATCAAGTGAAGTACTTAATTGCGAAGGGTATATCAGCTGCGTTTGTGGACAAACATGAAACAGGCGCTGACATCGCAGCTGGCCGATTCAGTATTCATATATAGGTCGCGCACACTGGATTATAAGGCACATAAGATACTGCAGAGTCAAACGTTTGACTGGGTTTGCGTTATGCATCCACTAGATGTGCTAAAGGCTAAAGGGAATGTAGCGAGTGCGCGGCGCCGGAGGTGAGGCGTTTATTTAGTAGGCGTGAGCGCACTGGGGCGGGGACGTAACTTACATTCGTGTGACAAAGCGGACATAAGATGGACATGAGCGAGTTCGTGGGTGAATTTAATAACACGGAGCGTTGTTAGCGCCTCCGGTGACTGCTGACTGACTTGTTGCACACCGGTCTGTTGTTGTGGGGACATTTCCACGCCCCGAAACATGACGCTGAACGAAACGAACTGTAATTGGTTGTTTGACATGTCGGTCTAACGGCCTTATGGGCGGGCCTTGACCAAAGAAAGCTGCTATGAATTCCAGACCTTCAGCCGTCAGTCTGAAGGTCTGGCTACGCGAGACTATGTGTGTTGTGGCTTCACAAATGCTTTGCTGCATACCTCGGTTGTAACGAGTGGATATTTCAGTCAAAGTTGCTCTTCTATCAGCTTGAATCAGTCGGCCCATTCTCCTCTGACCTCTAGCATCAACAAGGCATTTTCGCCCACAGGACTGCCACATACTGGTTGTTTTTCCCTTTTCACACCATTCTTTGTAAACCCTAGAAATGGTTGTGCATGAAAATCCCAGTAACTGAGCAGATTGGGAAATACTCAGACTGGCCCGTCTGGCACCAACAGCCATGCCACACTCAAAATTGCTTAAATCACCTTTCTTTCCCATTCTGACATTCAGTTTGTTGTTCAGGAGATTGTCTTGACCAGGACCACACCCCTAAATGCATTGAAGCAACTGCCATGATATTGGTTGATTAGATAATTGCATTAATGAGAAATTGAACAGGTGTTCCTAATCCTTTAGGTGAGTGTGCATACCGGTATATGGTTTTTATTGGGGAAAGTTACTTTTAAAACTAATGTATTACAATATTGCGTTACTCCCTAAAAAAGTAACTAATTACCTAACTCAGTTCTTTAAAGGGGACATATCATGCAAAATCCACTTTTTTAGCCCTTAAATGTATTTTGTTGTATATTTGGAGTGTTTAAAACAACAGAAAAGATGAAATTATTCTCTTCAGGTGCTTCGTTTATATCTTTATATTCTGTTTTGGTCATATTTTTCAACCTGTTCAGATTTTTCTGTATTCTATGACGTTTTTTGAACTACAGCGTCACCGTATTTGCAGCGGAACTGCCAAATAAAGACACTGACTACCGGTACAAAACTTGAGCAATCCGCCATTATTATTTCTCGCTCCGATTTTGTAGTCCGAGCTCAATGATGCAGAAGTTACGAGAGGGCAAGTAAAAATGTTCGGTTTTTGGATGTAATGACCTGAAGCACTTCAAGGATTCTCACTTCAACAACCTCCACCAGTAACATTATACAGAAGGGTTTGCCGATTGACTTCGTCTGAATGAGAGGTAACGTTAAATTCCTTCTATCTTTGGAGACGACGAACAGAGCATTTCGATAAGCTGTAAATATCGTTAATAAAAATAAAGTACTTTACTTTCTTAAAACACATAGTGGTCATGGTTTAGCAGTACCTTTGTCTTTCTTTGTTTTTGTTTTGAAGTAACGTTACATGTCTGCAGTATTATTGTTCTTGAGTTTCATCAATGGTCATTTAGCTGCTTTTCTGATGCTTTTCTAAACGTATCATATTATCAATACAGATTGTTTGTGGTAAGATTAGACCGTAGTCATTTCTCTTGTCAGTGTGCTTGTTTTAACAAGAGAAATAGTCGACTTTCACTAATAACACAAAACAGTTAACTCACATACCAATACATGAAGAGGTTGTTCTGAGATTGTTCACGTCGTCGTCTTTATCAACTCGCTCGCTCTGGCTCGAATATGTAAGGCTTGATGGACAAGTCTTCTGTTGTTGACATTTTATTAACGTGTGAATAAAAATGTTCTTTGAAGGTATCGTATATAATCGTATATCTCTAATCAAACTACAATAATGGCCGAACGTGGGGAGTTGACCGTGAACTCATCGACCTGGAGAGCAGGCGGGGTGTGACGCATCTCCTTTTTATTTAAAGGGGACGCATTGAAATGGGTCGCTCAAAAAGGCACATCAGAAAAGGGGTAGAAAAGGGGCTTGTGGAGCTAAAATAATGAGGAATTCAGACCCAAGCATTGCAGTTATGTTTTATATAGACCACAACGGTATGATTTATATGTAAAAATGAATGATTTAAAAGCATGATATGTACCCTTTAATATGAAAAGTAATGCGTACGTTTGCTTTACTTTTTTAACATGGGCTGACCTTGATCGTTTTTCAAAAAAAGCTAGCTCACAACTCAAGTGTCCCTCTTACATTGATAACACAGGCGTCCTTTGGGTTTCCTTCTTGGTTTACTAGACATCCAATGGGAAATCCTGGGTTGCAGACTTGCTGCCCGTCTTCCACCAAATAACACCATGTTACGGGCATGTTGTCAACAATCCTGCAAAACAAGTGTAAGAATAAACCAAATCCACTAGCCTGTTATGGCATGTAAAACCTTTACATACCCAGTAAAGGTTAAAATGCCAAACCCTAAGATGGCAAATAGGTATTGTGTCTTTTCTAAAAGGATTTGAGCATTGCATCTTGCTTATGCTAGTAACTGATAAAGCAAGCTGACAACGTACACGGTGCTACCACACCTGCTGTAGACAAGGCATTCCATGTGGACTTACCAGTGGTGCTGGTAATTCAGCTCCATTCCTCTCTTTAGAAAGTCCAACTTTAACTTGTCTTCTTTTGTATTTTCATACACTATGGTGCAGACCTTCTCACATGCCTTGTCAGCCTTAAATGAAAACTAAGAAGAAAATTTCTAAAATCAGTATCTTCCATCCATCCATTATAAGAGAAACAAAGCACTAGAGTTAGTTATAACATGCACATTCTGCAGAATAGTATCAAACTGGAATACATTGTTTAAATACCAACAACATAATTATATAACGATAATTTACAAAAAAAGTCAAACAAAACACCTAAGGCGAAGAATGTGTTAGTTACAGCTACATTTAGTAAAACTTGACAAACAAGATGCCAGAGGTCAGTCGCATAAATATAGCCATTATGAACAAAGTTATGAACAGTCTTGAAGAAATTGGATGGCTAACTTGTAAGACTAGTCTTAGCAGTTAATGCAACTCGCTATAAGTAGGTTGTATAATCTTTAAAATGTCACTGCTACATGAACTGGAAGTCTTTTATTTCCCTGTTGTATGAAAATATGAAACGGCTTCATGAACAATACAAAAAAAGTAGGGTAGGAATTTGTCCATTTGCAATTGATTGGATTGTTCTAGTTTGCTATTGCTATAATCTCATGCGAGTGACAAGTTGTCCTGTTCTTGAACCGAAAAACACTTCTTTAGAGAAGAGATGTCATTGCAAATGGGAGGGAAAGTGTTTTAGATTAAAGATTACAAGGGCAAATTAATTTTAAAAAATGTGTGGGACAAATCATTTATAATAAAAACGACAATATTTCATAGAAAATAAGAATTGTCCATTTTGATTTCATGGTGATTTTAAAGGTGCTCTATGTTAACTTTTTCACTCTACTCAAGAATAAAAATGGCATAATATGTTTGCATACATTGAGGAAACATGGTGAGTAATACTTGTTTCTCCGAAAAACACTTCTACAGCCTATTTTTTAACTTTGAAATGTGCGTTTCCAGGCTGGGATGTTTGTTATTGTTTTGGTCAGTGATACTACACGTTGCCAATTTGAATTGTTCATTGCGCTCGTTCATGTTGCGTGTGCTCTAATTGGCAACCTGAGCGCTGTCCAGTCTGAGGAGCAGGTGGACGATCTCCGATATTTTTTTATTCGACTGCAGTACCTATTTCAACCACTAGTTGTCTTTCTTACATACTGCATCTTTAAAGATAAAATAGGCTACAACAGGTAAAGTAAATCGAATTAAATTAAAATTAAAATACAAAACAATAACTTATTAGGTGATGTCTATATCATACCTTGTAAGGTGATGTCTCTATTCTTTCTCCAAACAACACCTGCCCAAGGTTCTCTGAGGGCCTTCTTTCATTCTCGTCTTTGCAAAAGTTAAACCTAGAGCAAAAATGATGCCCTCAATGATCAGTGCTTGTAACGAAATGCATGTAGATATAATGAAGCTTATATTGTAAATGTCAAGCATACTTACGCATCATATTCGTAAGGCAGGACTGATTCCACAGAGTCCAGTCTATTCACAAACAGCTGTATCTCAGACTGTGGGAATGACAGCAGGGGAGGTGGGTCAAGGGGACAGCTGACTATAAACATATCTATCTATCTATCTATCTATCTATCTATCTATCTATCTATCTATCTATCTATCGAGAGAGAGAGAGAGAGAGAGAGAGAGAGAGAGAGAGAGAGAGAGAGAGAGAGAGAGAGAGAGAGAGAGAGAGAGAGAGAGAGAGAGAGAGAGAAGAGAGAGAGAGATATGCTGTCTAAACCTTTGTTATGTGCCAAGTCTGCCAACTGTCTGTAGATAATCATACGATAACAAGTATAGGACAAGTATAAGATATATTTTATAAGTAAAATCTCACCTGACATTCCCCCGCATCTCCCTTCGAGTTTTTCTCACAAAAACTGACTGGCGCTAAACCCGGAAGGTAGAATCCAACGCTTGAGCTGAGTAGAGTTAAACTAAAAATAAAACTCGGATTTAAAGACTTCATATTTCAAACCAGCGTCTTATGAGGTTTCTGATTTATAAAACATAAAACTAACTGGCAAAAATTCACAAAGAAAATCACTAAGACAACGAGCTCGCAGTTACTACAGACTCAAGAAAGTGTATTAGTATCACTTCCTTACTGTGGACATAACTCCGCCCCCTTATGACACATCCTCCAATCCCTCTACATCATTGATCCACAAAAAATCTGGATTAATGACAGCAGTTTTTTTATTAATATATTTATACAATCAATATATTTCATTAAACAATTACTATGTACAAATTTAAATTCGTAATTTTATTTGTTTTATTTAATTATCAATATTTTATCATATATATTAATCTACTTTATTCATGAATTAATTAATTTTCTTTTAGTGTTCGGCTGGTCATGTCTGCCCCGTGAGGCGACAGCTTCATGTACACTTTTGTTTAGCTTCAGATATGACTCTTACACCCATTGCATTGATTATATATTATATTTAAATATCTATTTAAAAATCTATTCATTTATTTGTGTAAAATTTATCAGTGAGCGCAATTTTAACATTTACTACTGGTAAATGTTAACATTTTTCTATATTTCGTTATATTACTATATTTCGCTGTATGACCATAGTAGTGTATGACCAAGACTTTCTCTGGTATGACTAAAATAAGAACAGTTTGCAAACATGACAATAGAGGGCGCAAGAGACTTTTAACCCGTTAAGTTCCTCCCTCTTACCGTAGAAAAAGTGACTGCACTGTGGGCGGGTCGAAACCACACATTAGACACATATATAAACCAGTAGACGCTTTGTTTCTGCCTATTGATCCTGAGGTGAGTAAATAGATCAATCTAATACATTCATCATACTTATATTTTTGATTTATTTATTGATTGCAGTTGTATTGTGCACCTTCAATTCGCTTTGCCTGATCTATATATGACGTTATATAGCAGATGTGATGGTAACTGAAAATGGCCTCATGTAGATTGTAGACGGCAAAATGTTTTTCTACACGCAGATTTCAATCGCCATTTTGAACATGGAAAAAGTAGCTTTATTCTCTTACATATTTGAATCCAAAACAGCATTATTAGTTAGTGTTTATCATGATTATATGAGATTCTTCAACAAACATGTGTTGCAAGTTAGCCATATGGCCTGAAGAGGTCTCAGGCTGCTGGAGCTGCCAGTAGCTTTCTAATTTTAAGCGTCCGCCATTTTGTGAAGCATGCTTTGAAAACGTGTTACGTTATGTGCATGCTATGTAAAATGTTCGACCGAAACATTTAGTATCTTCTAAAACTTTACTAATAAAAGTTCGTAGTGTTTGCACGTGATCCGCAGCAACTGCTAACGGTTACTGTTAGCAAAACAGGGCCTATCAGCTAATGGTTGCTGAGTTAACAATCTTAAGTTACGCGAGAGAATGACGCTTTTACATCGTCAAATATCTTATCTGTTCCAACTCCATTAACCGGTAACGTTACAGCAACGCGTACTGACGTTTTTTCATTGTGTTCTGCTACTATGCATGTAGTAATGGTGGTGATTACCCGTTTAAACTATTTTTTTGCTGTCCCTGTCCCAGTTGGTGAGGTTGGACTATTTGCTGGCTTGAGGCACCTTTTAGTTAGACTGGGAGACCAGTTTATGCTGGTTTTAAGTTGTTGTTTTTTTTTTGTTTTTTTCTTTATTCTCAGACGAGATGTTTTTAACCGTTCTCTTGTAATGTAGAAATGTCTCCCCTTCTTTAGTGGCAACAGTGGGAAATATGGCAGAGGCAGACCGACCAGGAAAGCTGTTCATTGGCGGCCTGAACACTGAAACTAGTGAGAAGGTCCTTCAAGCATATTTCAGCAAGTTTGGCCGAATAGCTGAAGGTAATAATGGTTTTGTATGATCTAAATTACTTGATAATTTAATTTTGGTATGCAAGTGTTTATTTGATATTTGGGCTGAGCTGCAACATGAGCTAGAAATGTTAAAGGGGTTGTTCACACAATTAATTTTCATCTACTCATCTTCAAACCATTCCCAAGCCATAATGTTCAGACATGTAGATTAAACCACTAAATTCATGTGTGCTTACAATCTCTTAATGAACGTTTTGAACTATGAGCGTTTTGGGTGAATGGGATTTTCTTGGGTTTTTTAGTTACATGAGTGTGCGATTGGTGTCAAGTGTGACCATATTTGTCCTACCCCTTGTCCTTTGTAGTTCTGTTGATGAAGGATCGCGAAACGAACAAATCTAGAGGTTTCGCGTTTGTGACGTATGAAAATCCTGGTGATGCTAAAGATGCTGCGAGGGAAATGAATGGAAAGGTGAGTGAGGGTGTTAAGCTCACAACTTCACATTTGTAAGCTGTGATGATGGTTTATGGTAGTGATCATCTTGAAATGATCTAGGACATGATTGTCCTCTAAGAAGTTCTGAGCTTACATAATAGATTTGAACAATTGCTTTTCAGTGAGCTTGTATATTTAAAAGCAACCGTTTCCTAAACTTCGGTTACTTGTGTTTCAAGCCCCTTGACGGGAAACCTATTAAAGTGGAACAGGCCACCAAACCTCAGTTTGAGTCTTCAGGACGCCGTGGTCCACCACCAGTTTATACACGGAGTCGTGGCCCTGCCAGAGGTCCACGAGGGTCCAGAGGAGCACCAAGTGGAATGCGGGGACCACCAAGCAGAGGTACCATTCAGAACATTCTCTTTTTTTCATTGATGATGCTGTTTTGATGATCTATTTGAAATGATTGTCTCCATAGAAGTTCTGAGCCTACACTTAAAACATACTTGCTGCCAAAAATATTACCAAGGTAACGTAGGGATTGTAGAACCTTTTTTTAAAGGCATGTCTTCAAGAGGGCCGCCACTGAAGAGAGGCCCCCCAGTGCGGAACGGAGGACCCCCACCCAAGAGATCTGCACCCTCTGGTCCAATGGGCAGGCGTGAGTTTGCCGAACACAGTTTTGTGCTCTTTTTGTTGTTTGAACCATACAGTCATTGTTTTCTCAATGTATTTTATAGTGCCGGTATCCAGAGACCGGGACCCTTATGGCCCCCCTCGTAGAGATTCTCTGATGTCCCGGCGGGATGATGGTCCTCCACCTCGTGACGACCACTACAGTAGTAAAGACAGGTGAGATGTAAAAGCATTAATAATTCAGACCTGCTACAAGTTAGACTTTCTCTGTTAGTCTCAAAGTGCACTTCAAATAGCTGGATCATGCTATTTGTGGTGTGCTATAATAAAGTGGGGACACTTTCAACTTGCACAGCAGAGAGTTGGAGGGGCTGGTCTGTGTTACGTGAACCTATTAAATCAATTTCATTATTATTAAATTATTTATAAAATTAAATTTGAATAGGAAAAAAAGTAAAATGCATGATAAAATTAACTTCAACATTAACTAATACTAATATAACATTTGTGATGGTCTGTTGCCAAATGCAATGACACAAGCTGTGCATATTTTGCAGTTATTCCAGCCGTGACTACATGAGTTCAAGGGACAGTCGAGACTACGCTCCGGCACCACGTGATTACCCATACCGGGAATATTCAAGCCATTCCAGTTCTAGAGATGACTATGGCTCAGGATCCAGAGGTTACAGGTATGTTAACAGGTGTGTTCGACTTCATGAAGCTCTGCGCAGACCGATCGGTGGCTGACTTGAAACGGTGCGCTCCGGTTAGAAATTGTCCGACTTGACGCATCACCAACGCACCATTCTCCGGAGAACTCGGCCAGCGCAGCTGCACAAGCTCTGAAGTCATAGCTGTTCACAATTCTCCAGATTTACCTCATGATCACGATCATGTCCGTCATGTTACTTCTCACCTTTAGTTCCACTAGCTATATTTGTAATAGTAAAGTCATGTAGTCACGATGTTATAGTGTCACTGATTTAAAAACGTTGACTCCACTTCATTGATATGGGCTTGAACATTATTCTTGGTCAAACAGATGCTGTATGAAGCATTTAAGTATTGAATGAAAATGTGTCTGAAATATCAGTGTATTTGGCAAATATTGCATTTATTTCATTCAGCTGTGGTAAAGTATGCGAACACCACGTGAGCGGTTACTACGGGAACCAGAAAGTGTCCGACTTCACGTCTCGGTTTGCATCTTCGGCACGCGGCAACTCGCCGATTGGTTGCATCCAGCCGACGTCGAACATGCCTAACATCTATTGTCAATGTTTTATTGTTTCTTAGTGATCGCGACGGCTATGGTGGAGGACGAGAGCCCCGGGGTTACATGGAACGGCCCAGTACAGGCTCCTATAGAGACCCTTACGACGGTTACGGTAAGAATAAACCTTAAGTGTGGTGAAAAGGGTTATGGGGCTCTACTCAAACCGCCTGTTTTGGGCCTGGAAAGGGCTGCCTCGTGTGATTGCCAAAAAGTGGAAACGTCAAACGTGGCATCTTTTCGTCGTGAATTCCAACCAAAATCGCACCAACAAGGATTCTCTTGCAAGCTGTTTTTTGCCGCCCAAAAGTCTGAGTCGTTCCAGTAGCTCGGTCCGAACAACCAAGAGAGAGATGCAGTACTCAAACTACAATCTATCTGGAATTCAATCCAAACCAAGGAAAGTGCATTTACTCAACAATGACGTGTCAAAGGCATCTGAGTGGTCAATTGTCTACAGTCCAGTTGGGTAGTTCAGTTATTTTAGGTTTAAGTAGTCCCACCCAGAATCTAAGATCCAAATTTGTTCTAGCCCCATTTGGAAAGTTTCTAACATTTGAGCTAGACGTGATGCAGACTTAAGGAAATGGGCACTTGACATCGCAGTATCATGCAAAAAATGTTTAAATAAAATTTTGCCAATTACATGACCCATTGACCCTGCAGGTAACTCACGAAGCGCCCCACCCTCAAGGGGTCCCCCTCCGTCCTACAGTGGGAGTGGCGGAAGCAGTCGTTATGACGACTATGGCAGCAGTTCCCGGGATGGATATGGCAGTCGTGACAGTTATCCCAGCAGTCGGAGTGACCCGTACTCCACTAATCGTGGTGACAGACCGGGTAGGCAGGAGCGGGGACCGCCCCCTCTTGAAAGAGGCTATCCTCGTGAATACAGCAGCTCGAGCCGTGGGGCACCTCGGGGTGGTGGCCGTGGCGGCGGTCGGGCAGATAGAGGAATGGCCCGCAGCCGATACTGAGAAAAGGGGGCGGGGGGGAGAAATTGTGGCTCCTCATTGAGACTTTCAAAAGACTTAAGATTCAAAGGAGCGCCCTTTTAAACTCTGGACTTCAAGCTTCAGTTTAAAGCTGTACAGTTGTGGAGGTTTTGTCCTTTTTTTTAAATGCAAAGTTTATTTTCCCTTGCCCACATCCCATTTAATGGTACTGTTGCAAATCTGTGTTCTTTTTGTATACTAGTGATCTGTTAAACCTGCAATTCCCTAGCGTATGGCTTTCATTTACCAATAAAATGTTTTTAATCAAAGACCTTGAGCAACACTTTCAAAGAGAATGAGAAACTATGAAGTGTAAATATCTATTCACCTCTTCAGTTTTCCATGGTGAGCACCCCCAATTGCCGCTTAACATAGATGCAATGCAGAATATTCATGTAGGCATGATTGTTCACATTGTTGAGGAATGGACAAATGTCACCTTTTTCCAAACTCTCTGGGTGTAGTTTTCCTCAGTGCAAATGGATCCTTCATCACAAAGCCTAAACATTGACGTCTTGCATCGACCAATCCAAAGACAACCAAAATGCAAGAAACAATTCAGCACCACAGATATAACCTGCCAACAGCTGGTAAGCAAAGCAAACCCTTTTGTTCTGGTATAAGTCAAGTCTCTGTGGTGTTATTTTTGCAGCCTGAAGGTTAGTGTAATTTAGTCAAACATCGTCTTGATTGCCCTGGCTTTTTCAAATGCAATCTGAAACGCTGTTTCCAACATTAACAAAACCTCATCTCTGCCTTCAAAGGAGTCTGATCCCTCCCCAACCACTGGATCACTGAGTTTAGGAGGTCTTAGTCTCAGAAAAGTCAGTCAATTCTGTTGCACTAAAGGAGAATGTCTGGATTATTTTTTTTTTTGCCCCTTTCAAATGAGAAATGGCCTGCCTTTTCTTTTTTTCTAAAGGATATTAAGATGAATCTTCTCAATGGATCTATCCCTACAGTCAAATATAAAGCACATAGCTGCAAAACCTCTTGAAACTTCCCAGTGGAACCCTTTTGAAATAGTAAATTCACGTAGTGTTAAAGCCAGAACCGCTTGCAAGCATGCCAATTCTAACAAAGGAGACCGCACGGAGAAAGACGGCACTATCAACAAGCCTGGAAAACCTTTCAGATTGGGTCATTATTTTAAAGAATATCTGTCCCTTATGCTGAACTACAACAGTTTGCTGATTGTAACTCTCTTGTTGCAGGGTGAATGGAGGAAAGGGAGTTTGATGGTAAATCGTACATGAATACATCATTACTGATCAGGACCTGTTGTCATTGTGGAAGAGCCATAAGCCTTTCTGAAGATTCAGGTATGTTAAAAAAATTAAATTCTTACAAATTGATGACTTGCAGCATCATTATTATTATTTTCTGTTTTGTTGCCTAGATCCAGAATCTCGGTGTTCTTTGGAGGCTGCTGTTTGAGACCGTTTACTTTAGATGGAGTACTGCAGATGAATTGCGTTGACCCCTTTCTTTCAATAAACAATCTTTTGATTTGAAATGAATGTATTCCTTGTCTGTTTCTTAATTCCCACCATAATAGTGGTGTATTGGTATAATGGCAGTGTTCACTCGTACTGCATACAGGCCAGTTTAATAAAATACAATGAAGTTTAGCAGTGTGGAAAATTCTTGTGGCATTTTAAAGCAATAACTTACTTTTGTATCACTGAAATGTCAGAGTCTGTGTTGGTTATGAAGCAGACGTCCACTGGAGATCTAAGTGGCGTGGCTGAATGGTTGTTGTAACATGCAGAAAAAGCAGAAGCGCGACGGATGTGGGTAGCATCTCAACACAAATAGTGAGAGCCGGCGCACCAAGGGTGCAGCTAAATCTAAAAGGCCCATTGAGCCTAAAATATGAACCCCGAGGAGCAGACTGTTACGTGGCTAATAACATTAGGAGTTCTCAATTCACCCAAAAAGAATATCGCTGATCCAGAGGAATTTCTGAAAACATCTCTCAGAGATGGGGTCGTCCTGTGTAAGCTTATGGAGCGGCTGCTGCCTGGAGCCATCCTAAAGGTAACTTATTATATGCACATGTTATGTTTATTTCATCAAACAGTCGTAAACATTAGTGGATTGTTTATAATTTAATGCAACCGCAGCAAATAACTGCCATGCGGAACTGACGGTGCACGATGTCCATGTCAAGACGCTAATGTTAGGGACAATTTAAGATGCTCTATTTTGTGCAAATATAAAATACGTCGTTTAAAAAAATGTTAAATTACGCGATGAATGTGTATTTAACTAGGTTTATTCAGGGCGCACAATTTAAGCGAGATGCATCTGACTTCCTGTTATATGAGAAATTGTTCCGCATTCTCAAAAAACGAAGTCCTTGTCAATCTACACTTTTGTGTAAAATGCCAATGACATTTGTAAAGCAATTTTCTTCTGTTTAAAAGCCGTTTAGCTGTCAATGAGATCTCTCAGATTATTGAATGTCTTTCTGAGTCTGCCTCTGATGCTAATAAGTTACCAAATTCAACTCCCCCCTTTTTACTCATTACACACACAGCATCGTTATTAATTAGATAGCTATACGCATACGTTATATATTTTGATCTCTGTTGAATAAAGTTCGTTTTAAAATCGATTTAAACTCTTTGAATTCGTATTTCGATGCAGGGACATTATAACGAATGTGCTGATCAATAACGTTAACTTACAACTTGACAGGGAAAAGTTTCTTTCTTTTTTAATAAAGGGCCCAGTATAAGTTTTGTTGGTTCGCGTTTTTTTCCTTTCTTTTTAGCATGTTCCATTTCGCTTTACTGATTTTACGACGCTTTCAAATAAATATTTTTCTGTTAGAATTTACCAAATATTCGAATTGTTCTTTGGAGTCGGATCTTTTTAATGATTTGAAACGTGACTGAACGATTCGTTAAAAACTTCAGCGAAGCTTTCACGTAAATTAATTAGTATAGTGTTAATGCAAATTAGATTTGAATTTAAATGAGTAAATCACTTCTGCCGCCTTTTTTTGGGATATTTTATGTAGCCTATATTATGGTCAATGCGAAAAAGGAATTGGATTTGGAGCCGGTTCTTTGAAACGAACTGTTTGAAAGAATCGATTTGTTGAAATGAGTCGGTCACTAGTTAGCGGTCCAAGTAGAATCTTGCTGAGCAAACATCGTCACTTCCTCTTAAATATATTTTCCTGGTGCGACAGGGCCCAATGAGATCAAGCAGATGTGTGTGAGTGTGTACTATGGCGAAGCTCACGCAAAGAAATAGTAACAGTATACTGAACGCCAAAGAAATTTAGCAAGCGATACAGGACAGCAGTGGCTGGGTGACAATGTGGCTCATAGGCTAGGGTGACATTCACTTCTAAAACAAGATCTTGTTGATCTCTCTATGCTTTGCAGTGTGGTTGAAGCAAAGTTGAGATCATTTACATCCTCATTCTTTCATTGGTTACAGTATTCAACTGAACCCAGATGCGAAGCGGCCTGCATTGCAAACATTCGGGAGTTTCTAAAAGGATGCCAGTCTCTAAAGGTTGAGGTAGGATACATTTTCTCTACTTTATTGTGTTTTGTATCACCCGAATGCCTTTGAGGAACACAGCTGAGTGTGTATAAAATATGCGACCCCTAGGCTGAGGATCTACTCTTTTAGGTGTATATCACAAATAAGCAAAATCGGTTCTGTAGTGTATGTGCACGAAAATACATTTCAGATTAAAGCTTTGCCTATATAAACATTGCTTTTATGAAGGAATGACTTACTTAGAGTCTTAGTAATTTATATTTAATAATTTATATTGGTAGGCTATCTAGAGTACTTCTCTCTTCTGCCCATCTAATTTAGTTTAGCTCTCCCAGAGGACAGACAAATAAATAGCAGGGTTTGGTTTTGGTTTTGCACACGTGATCTTAAAATATGCCAGTAAACAAGATTGCTCATAATACTAGCTCTTTTGAATGTGCATTTCATTTATTATGGTTATTATGGTCTCGAGCTGCAGCAACATTACAGGCGTCTCAGGACGATGGTCAGGAATTATACCCATCACAGTAAACATTGTCAATCTGCATTGTCTATTATTGACACAAACACATAGCCAGACTTTGATGCCACACCCTCTGCATTGATAGTGTTCCTGTACTAAAACTTTGAGCATAATGTGGTTATGGACTTATGTGTAAATTTATTTTATTAGGATAAACCCCTTGAGATGCAACATCTCGTTTTCGAGGGGGTCCTAAAAAAATTATAAAACTGACTTATAAACTGTGCACAAGTGGTGAACATGACTCATTAGTGCCATGTTTCTTGTTTATATGTAATGTTTAGTTATGACTTTGTTAAAGTACCCCTGCAGTCAATCATTTTATCCCTTAATCTTTGATAATGTAGATGGCATATTTAAAAAAAAAAATATTGAATGGTTTTGGCTTCACTTTTCTTGATGCGTGCGGCACACTTGAACTCTGCACCTTTTCTTTGAGTTTATGTGGGTTATGATGAATTATACAGGGTTGTCTACAAGTCGGTGTCTCAGTAATGCATTTTATATATCACATTTTTTAATGATTTATGTAACTATCCAAAGATCAGTGATTGACTGATGGTTTTTTTTTTGAGTAGTCAATAAAGATGTGAGATTTGTCCTATTACAAATAAGATACACGCATTTGAATATAAACAAACACTTTTTTGCACAAAATTTAAGCATGGAAAATGTGGGCTATGCATGGACAAAGCTCTCTGCAAATTTTGGAGCTGAACACTATTAACCAGTCAATCAGGATTATATATATATATATATCAAATCAACAAACTTTTATATTAGAATCGATTTGACAGCACAAAAAAAAAATTATATTTTGATCATGTGATATATATCGTTATTGGTGAAAATGTGAAGAATATTTTGAAATAAATTATGTCGTCGTATCTGGTTTGAAGAAAGCTCCAGTTTCATGCTCTGTTAAAGGCCCATTGGGCATATAGTTGATGCAAGTCATGTGACTGGACAAACAAGCCAGGCGCATAACTTTCACTTCTGCTTCTAAAGGAGCTGCAAACGAGAAGTATCGTAGCAAAAGATTAAGCTTGATATGAGCCATTTTAAACTACTGATGAGAGAGAAATGCAACAAATGCAACAAATGCTCTAAAGCAAAAGGTAAAGTGCAATCTATAAAGTGAACTGACTGCTAAAGTTGCAGCCTTTGAAACGGCTCTCAGCAAATACAAGGACACGCTCTTCTTGCATTGCTGTGTAAATGCTAATATGTTTTATTTAACATGTGAAACCGTACCCTTAACAAGAAAGGGGATAGCTTTCTGTACCCAGCGACCGACAGGGCCTTGTTGACCAAACATATAAAAATGTGGGTCACACTAAAGATGAGATTGGTGTAGCGATACATGGATATAGTTTGATGCATCGATCAAATGACTAATTATATGATGTAATGTGGAAAAAAATCCTTTTTCTTTTTTTAAAAAAAAATTATTTTAAGATGTATATTTCTTCCATTTATTTTATTTTTTTTTAATGATTAAAAAAAAATCTTTTTAAAGGGTTAGATCACCCTTAAATGAAAATGAAGTCATTAATTACTCACCCCCATGCTGTACCAACCCCGTAAGACCTTCGTTCATCTTCGGAACACAAATGAAGATATTTTTGATCAAATTTGAGAGGTGGATCACTGCTACATCGGCTCCAAAAGGATTGAAACTTGACGGCCCATAAAGTCATTGAAGAAAATGTTTAAATATTCCATGTGCTTACAGTGGCTCAAGTATAAGTTTATCAAGCGACGTGAATAAATTTTGTGCGAAAAAACAAACAAAAATAACAACTTTATTCGACTATTCCTTTTCTTCCTTGTAGGCCTGGGACGAGAGTTCAAGAGATTTCCACGACGCATGTGCGAGAACTGAACTGAACTGAAGAAGAGTTGAAGATCGCAATTCTCGTGCATGCGTCGTGGAAATCTCTTGAACTCTCATCTCAGCCCTACAAGAAACAAATGGAGTAGCTGAATAAAGTCGTTATTTTTGTTTGTTTTTTTCGCACAAAAAGTATTCTCGTCACTTGAAAACTTGAGCCACTGTTGTCACATGGAATATTTAAACATTTTCTTCATTGACTTTCTGGGCCGTCAAGTTTCGATCCCTTAGGCAGCCTATGTAGCAGTGATCCACCTCACAAATTTAATAAAAAATTAGGGCTGTCAAACAATTAATCACGATTAATTGCATCCAAAATAAAAGTTTGTGTTTACATAATATATGTGGGTGCACTGTGTATAATTATTTTATATATATATATATACACACACATGCTTGTATATATTTAAGAAATATTTTCATGTATATACTGTATATAGATTTATATAATATATAAATATTTTATATGTAAATTATATTTTTTCTTAAATATACATGCATGTGTGTGTATTTATATATATATATACAAAATAATTATACACAGCGCACCCACATATATTATGTAAACACAAACTTTTTTTTGGATGCAATTAATCGCGATTAATCGATTGACACCCCTATAAAAATATCTTCATTTGTGTTCCGAAGGCGAACGAAGGTCTTATGGGGTTGGTACAGCATTGGGGTGAGTAATTAATGACTTAATTTTCATTTTTGGGTGAACTAACCCTTTAATTGCGAATGTCCCATATGGTATACAGGATTTACAATTTTCCGAGAGTTCAACTAAATGTTCATGTTATATTTTGATGTAACTGGTTGTGTAAAATAGACATAATGCTATATCTTGAGGTATCTGACCTACTTCTGCTGCTTCTACTTCTGGCTCAGTGGACAGTTTTTCCTGTCTTTGACTTGTGTCTTTCCCTTAGGGCTTTGATCCAGAGAGCTTATATACTGGGGAAAACTTCAACAAGGTTCTGTCAACACTCTCAGCAATAAACATCGCCACTCAAGGTAATTCATAATATTATGTATATGTTCTTCATTAATATTTGGTGTCTTCTCTTTTTGAGTACTGTAGGCATCTGCTTTGTCTTCTCATTGGTGAGTTTCTTCTTCCTCCCCAAGTGATAGTCGTGTTAACACTTCTGAGGGTTTTGCTAGACCGAGCAGACAGTCTAAAAGACGGCATTGTGTGCAAGCCTTGTGTAAAAGACATTTTTAGAAAATTAGGTCCTGCTGGTCACTTATAATCTACGAAGAATGTCTCTGTTTAAATCAGGATGGCAGGCACTCCATAATAACTCAGTGTTATGTTTCTGGTGGAAATGAGCCACATCTTTCCTTTTGCATGTTCCCAGAGGACCTGTGGCAACAACTGTCTTCCTTCATCCCACTAGCATCAGCTGCGTTTGTTTGTTTTAAAGTAGATTTAATGCTTTGATTCTAAAGTGAACATATTTTAATTCCATTATCAGTTCAAGTTTTTTTTAGATTTCCCATCGCATGTCAATGCAAGTTTATCTTGGTCAAATGCACAGTAGGCCATTTAATTCAGTTGAAGAGTGCAGTAAACATGAGATACAAATCACATTTTTTGTCAGGATAAGGATGACTGACCTCTTGTATTTTCTTTGTGAATGTCAAGTCGTGATTTGTCTGGGGTCGTGCTCGCATTTGTTTCTTTCAGCTGCAGCTGCTCTGAACTACTGGAGGCAACAGACAGTTGCTTTTTGTAGGGCCTGTCCGGGCGGCTGACAGTATCTGCATAACCATGCGGAATTCATGAGACATGTAGTTATTCTCAGTTTTTGCTTCCTTGTTATATGTTTCCCACTGTTCCCTGTGGCTGTTGCCTTTAAATTATGTCTTCCCATAAATATATTTTAATTTTTATATATTTTAAATTTTTTAAGAAATATATATTTAAAAAAAAAAAATTAATTAAAGTAGCTCTATGTAAGATTGTGGCCAAAACTGGTACTGCAATCACTTTCAAATTACTGTAGAGTAGTGTATCCCCTCCCCCCTGACTCGAGGTTGCCAGATAGGCTGCAGGATCCAACATTTTTTTATCCGACATGTTTGTATCTGCAGCTGTGCTAAGTAGAGCTGGCAACCCAGATGCCGCAACACTACTGACTCCATGATTGGTGGAGGGTGGAGCATCAGACCAAAACACAACATGACAACATCAACATAAGTTGAAGGCTGCAACTTCACTTTTTAAACGACAATATCCTGGCCAGACTCCTGTTGTCAGTGATATAAGTATTTGAAATGAACATGATTTCTTGATGTCCAGTGACATATCAGGGCCATTTTATAATTATTTGAAATACATTTCTTACATACAGCTCCTTTAAGTCTCATTTGCTTACTAAAGTTGCATTTATTTGATCAAGATGCAGTGAAAAAAATTTAATTTATTTTTTTGTGATGGCAAAGCTAAATTTTCAACAGCCATGTCTTTAATCTTCAGTGTCCCATGATCCTTCAGAAATCATTCTAATATGCTGATGTTTGTGGAAAATATAGTGTTTTTTTCAGGATTCTTTGATGAATAGAAAGTAAAAAAGATATACCATTATAATTGTTTTTACATTCATTCTGGATCAATTTAATGCAACAATTTAATAAAAATGTTAATTCTTTAAAAATAGATCGAACAAACTACTAAAATGCGCCATCCACGTCAAATGCCATTAGTTATTGTGTTTGTGGAATGATCACCCCAGTGCACATTAATGTTTATTTTATGGAGGAAAAAAAATCAGGATATTCTTCCAAAATTAACTTTTTCTTTTAAATTTAAAAACAACGATTCATTGAGTAAGGTCTTTATACACCACTGAACACATAGTTATGGATCTTATATTGCATTGCTGTCAATAGATCCTCTGAAATATTACACATTGCACCTTTAAGAATTTTCATTTTTGAGCAAAAATGCCTTTAAGTCAATGGCTTGAGTCAATGGCTTGTTTGTTATTCATAAAAAAAACTCATATTTATTCATAGAATATTCAAATGTAATCCTTTTTACTCATGACCCAACTTTAAACGCTTGCAAATAGCTTTGCTAACTCGCTATATTGAAGAGATGTGTTAGTTCTTAAGAATGACTCACTAATGGGGGCAGATCGATTTGACTGGATTGGTGTGAAAGATCTCTATGATGAAACAGCGAGGGTTTCACTCTGAAGTGTGCTCAAGGCATAGAGAAGACGTTCCCTGGCCTGGCTTTATCTGAATTCTCTGTTGTGTTTGCTGTGGAAAGCTTGGAGCAGGTTCACACACACTGTTTGTGCGCCATGGGTGTTCGGAAAGATCCTGCCGTGAAATCCAGCAGACATGCTGAGCTTTTATTGTGTAGATGGAGCAGGCGAGAACAGCGACGTGTGAGTCAGTGAAGAGCCCCAGAGGCCCCCGCAGCGCTGGAAATCTGTCAGGACCCAAAGTGTAGCAAACAGAGCACCTGAGTGTTTGCTTCTGTCGCTGCATACCGCATGCCTCCTCATCCCTAATCCTCTTCTATTTATGAACAACATATTGCTCATAGCAAATTAATACATCCCAGTCATGCAAATTTGGGATAAATATGCAATGTCTTTTTATGACAAAATGAATACTAATAGTATACCATGTTTCAGGCCTTGCTTTGGGTATACTAGAACATACATTATGTCTGTCAGTCTTGATCTTGATACTTGTCGTCATACACCGGAGACAGTGGAGAGTATGTGTCTGGCTGCTTTCAGTAGTTGTGTGTTAGTTGTGACCATAGACTGTAAAAAAAGGGGTGACCCATATGCTAGTGCATTAGGCTGTGGATTATTGGTCTTCTCAGAGATTACAGAATTATGAATGGGTGAGTGAGTGCTCTGATTGGGATGTTTAACGATGACAGAATGACCTGGCCTGACTTTGTACTACATTTAGAGGGTCTGACGGGCCTTTTGACATGTCCTGGATATAATGGGGGAAAATGGTTTTTAAGAAATCATTAATATTTTTTCTTTCTATTTTTGTCAAATTATCCGAGCTGAAAAAGTTAGTTCCACTGAATTTTGCTAAATGTTTGGCTAATGGAATTTTGGGCTGACCATATTGTTGTTCATTAGTTTAAACATACACTAGCTTTCAAAAATCTTATGTTCACAAAGGCTGCATTTATTTGACCAAAAAAATCAGGACAAACAGTAATATTGTGAAATATTATTACTCTAGTCTTCAATGCCACACTATCCATCAGAAATAATAATAATAATCAACATTTATCATCATTATCATAGTTGAAATCAGTGGGGCTGCTTAATATTTTTGTGGAAACTGAAAAAAAAAATAGGATTATTTGATTAATTAAAAGTTCAAAAGAAAAGTAATTATTTGAAATAGAAGTCTTTTGTATCGTTATAAATGTATTTACTGTCATTTTTGTTTAGTTTAATGCATCCTTGCTTAAAAAAAGAAAAACTTTAATAAAAATCTTAATGACCCCAAACTTTTAAACAGCAGTGTATGTTTATTTAGATGTGGTTAAACAAATTTGGACACCTTGTAATATGATGTGGCAATATCATACCCCATAATTTGGGGTGACATTTGATGATAATTTGATTTGAAATCATATGGCTTCAAGTAATTTGAATGTCACTTCATGAAAAATGAAAGACAGTTACATTTGCCAAAACTACTTCATATTTTATGCATGTCATTCACTCATTTCCTAACTGTTATAAGTGTAACAGGCCATGCTGAACTGAAATGTAGAGTACACAGGGACAAAATCATTGAACTGTCGACTGTAAGCATGTCTCATCCTTGTTCAGGACTTTCTGTATATTCATATCAGTAGACCTATAATCCAGTGACCACCCACAGATGTTCTGCTCTCTTTTTTGTGAGAAAGTGAAAAATGTTATCAGATACAGACCGGTGTTGTTCTAAACCTTATTCACTGTATTTATATTAAAAAAAAATGTTTTCTTTTTTGTTTCTCCATATATCCAGATTGTACCCCTAATAGATCATGTCCACAGTCCAGTGCCTCTCCTACTAGCCTGTCAACCCCTTCACAAGCTGTTCCCAGCTTGAAGTCCAGCAGGTCCTTACGGAGGCAGTCAAAAGCAGTGGCAAGTATCTAAACAGTGCCGTAAATGCTGATTACCTGTGGTCTTTTACAACATCGAAAATATCTTTTGTTTGTAATTTAAAATATATATAATAAATTCTGTTACTGACAGGAAGATAACAGAGGACAGATTAATCTTCAAATTCATACCTAGTTAGATGGCTATTCAGATCAGATATCTGTAGGAATACTATAAGAAAATCTGGATTTGGGTGAGCTTATTATGGTCACTTCTACTATATTTCAAAGAAACACATAATTATTAAGGAACATTATGCAAATAACCCCAATAAGATGACTAATTACAACACACTCTGCATTATATTTAGGCAATCATTTTAATTAGTTCAGATTCACTGCTCTATTATAACAGTATTGTTCTTACCTCATACCATGTAAAATAATAAATGAATAATGTAAATAATAATTTTACCACCCAATACTTATATAGTTTTATTTAGAGCTGGCAATCGCTTAAAAAAATGACCTAATTGCACAAGTTTCTGTAAAAATAATCACACCCAGCATTGAGATTTGTTAAATTATTATGAACACAGTCTAAAGAAAGAGTTTTAATCAATTAAATAATTGTTTAATAGCAAGTATATCTTTTCAACATTGCAGTATAATTGAAAGCTAGGCCTGTATTGTAAATTATTAATTTTTTTATTTATAATATTTGAAATATTAATAACTTTTTATTTTAGTGAACGTAAAACAATATTTGCATAAACCCATTATAATAAATGTGACATTTTAGCCTCTTAAACCAAGTTCATAGAGCAGCAGAATACGGTTGTCAGTCCTGCATTTTAAATTGTCTGTTTGAATGTTCTCTTTCAGCCGAAAACCTGAAAATGCTATTTTCGGCTGCAGAAATTTCAACGCATTCTCGGAAAACTAGGGATGCATAGCATTTTCAGTTTTCGGCTAAAAGGGAACATTCTTACAGACAATTTTCAAGACCCTACTGTAAGTTGCTGTGTGAACGGGGCATTTCGAGACTCACACCTGTAAATAAATGAAGTTGTCAATCCTGAAAACTAAGTGTGAACAGTCTATACTGTTTGGTGATGTTTTTTTTCTCTGTCAATACTCAGTTTGAATGAGAGCTGTCAGTTTTTCCTCAATTTAAAGTTTGTTTTTCACATTCATTTTCATAAAAAAATACATTAATAATTAAATTATTAAGCCCTAATAATTTAATAATACAACTTGCTTCCCTTTGACCACTTATTGTCATTATTGTGGGCTTGTTCAGGATCTTTATATTTTCTCAAAATAAACATTGGGTCTCATTCACTAATAATTGCATGGATTTTTTTTAAATCTCATTCTAACATTAGTGAATTTGAATGAGCAGACGCTTACTTGTTGTTAGTCATTTGCATAAAACCATCTCTGTGTTAGGGCTTTCCGCACAATTTTTCCTTTAGAGCCTTTCATCACTCTCGTCAAACACATGCCGCTCTGTGTAGACGCTCTCTCACCAGATCCCAGAGGAAAGCCGTGCTGTTCTGGAAACCATTTCAATCACAATAAACACCTTTTTTTACAAACTCAGATTATAGACCTCTCATTAGCCAGCTTTACATGCATATATCTGCGTTATTCAGAGAAATCTCACAGCTGAAGCTAAAACGCAGCTTTTTTACTCTTTACCTCTTTATGATTAAATATATTTAAGATTATAGTAAATGGTATAATTTATAAATGTATAATCTGTAATTTTGTATAATATAATATAATTATTGTCATGTTAAGATGACAATGATTAACTTAACATGATTATAAGGCATCACAAAAGTGCTTTCTGCGTAGGTGTAGAAGTTTGGTTCAGTTGTTTCAAATTTTTTTTGTAAATTTAGAATACATTTTTGTATGAAAGTTTTTGGTGAATCATGATTTGTTAACTGTACAATGATGTACTAAACTGATTCATGCACAAATTAGTGCGTACACTTGCTTAGTGAATGAGACCCAATGTCTTATTATTTTTTATAACTTTCTTTAGTGAATGTTAAAGCTAATGGTCATGAACAACTGTTTTTTTCGCGATTTGCTGCCCCAGTTGACTGCATACTGAAATATTTCAACGGTTGCTTTCCAGGAAATGTCGGAGAATGGAGGCGGTGGGCAGCTGATGGTAAAGGCCCGCTTCAATTTTAAGCAGAACAATGAGGACGAACTGTCTTTCAGCAAGGGCGAGCTGATCCATGTCACTCGCCAGGAGGAAGGTGGATGGTGGGAGGGAAACCTTAATGGCAAAACCGGCTGGTTCCCAAGCAACTATGTCCGAGAGGTCAAGCCTTGTGGTGAGTGGGCAATTAAATATATTCTCTTACATCTTAGCATTGTTATGCTGCGTTCATGTGCTATGGTAAATACCAAAAGCCGACGTGGAAAATGCACATGAACGCCCCCTCATGTGGTATTTACCACTGGGCAACTCGTAGAATATTTTGATGGACGAGTTGCCGAGATGAGATAACCTTTGACCATTTCAAAATGGCAGAGAGCACCGCGAGAGTTGTGAATGGTAAAAATAAATACTATTCATGATCTAGAAAATATACCGCATATTATTTACCTTTTGAGTTTTGATAAATCATTTTTTTGCTGTTGCAGATGACTTAAGCAATCTAAAATAATTTTAGCTAAATAACAGGTCTGGATCTCCATCTTTTTACCACATTACGACAATAAAGGCACTTGAACGCAACACACTGGTAAATACCAGTTCACAAGTGGAAACTATCCGTTTTTCCATAGCACGTGAACGCAGCATTAGAATCAATTTGTCCTAGCAAACATAATTGTCAAAACTGTGGCATTCTTATTAAGTTTTCCCTCTATTTTCCCCAGAGAAACCAATATCTCCGAAATCGATAAAAGGATTTGACGTTCCTCAGCTGACAAAAAATTATTACAATGTGGTGAGTTCTTTTAAACGCATGAACAAATGCCAAATGTACATGTAGCAAATTAATAAAATTAAAAGTTCTTATTTGAATGATTTGTTTGTTTCTTAGGTGGTGCAAGACATCTTGGAGCATGAGAGAGAGTTTGTCAAAGAACTGCAGACGGTACTTGGCTGCTACCTGCGGCCTCTACAGGCCAGCGACAAGTAAGAGCAAAGCACAGACGTCACCATGGCATCAGGGACCCTTTGAAATCAAAACCGATTGACATTTCGGGGTGCTGGGGCAGTCAATGAAAACCCATATGCACAATGACTCTTCTGTGTGCTCTCTCTCTGCAGGCTCTCTAGTGTGGACTGCTCCAGTCTAAATGGGAATTTAGAGGACGTCCTCACTTTCCAACTTGGACTGTGTCTTGCCTTAGAGGAGTGCTCCAAGTAAGAGCTGTTTTTCTGTGTTTCATAGAGCATATTGACGACTCAAATGATTCTCTGCTTTGTATAGAAGTCATACTCTTGGATGATACATCGCCATCTGGTGATGACTTTGTGTGTTGTATTTGTAATGTGTCAACATTTCAAAACCTAGGATATTTGACATGAAATAAAATGTATGTAAGAAAGTCATTTTCCGGGCTGATCTATTTATTTTTATTTTGTAGGATGCCAGAGGGCCAGCAGCGGATTGGTAGTTGTTACCTGAACCTGATGTGTCAGATCAGAACACTGTACTTGTCCTACTGCTCCAGTCATCCCTCTGCAGTGTGTGTGCTGACCGATCACAGGTCAGTGTCTCATAATTGTCATCCGTTAACATCCGATGTTAAAGGGTTTAGTTCACTCAATGAAAACGATGTTGTCATTTACTCACCTTCATGTCGTTCCAAACCTCATAAGAAATCTGTTTATCTTTTAAACACAGATATTTTTATTGAAACCTGAGAGATTACCTTTCTTTAAAGTCCATTACACTTAAACTTTAAAGCTTCAAAAAGTTCATAAAGAGATTGTGATATAAATTCAAATGAAGTCTTATGAAGGAAGAAATATTTAAAGGGGTCATGATAAGTATTTATTATTATTTTCTTGAGGTTCACTTATAATGTTAATAAAGTATTATATATTTGCAACAATTATTATTTATGTAAGGAATAATTGATGCCTAAAGTCAATTATTCCGCTTATACTACAGTTACCACACCTCAAAACATTGTTGTGATGATGCATATCAAGACGTTTGTCAAGTTTTTGTCATTAAACGCTCTTGTATGTAGGACTAATTTCTTACGCATCTAATCCCATGCCCCCGTTGCTTGGTTGCTAATTCCAAAACGTCATTTTAGAGGTCGTAACGAAGGTTTGAGCCACTTATAGCAGACTATTGATGGGGGGAACAACTCGCTGAAATATTCGAAGACCGACTGTTTCCATCGACCGTAGCAGGTCTTAAACTCCAACTCTGAACACAGACTGAATGCGCTGAACATGCGTTTGGGCATGATCAGTTATAAGTATCAAATTACATTCATAACGTGTGTCCGGCTTTATGCAGTTATTAATGCAGTTATTAGAGAGAGAGAGAGAGAGAGATTTTGAAATAATGAGACAGAAAGCATGTGCGTCAATATTATTATTTATTTATTTATTAACTTTGTTTTAATTAATTAACAATTAATTTAATTAATTGTTAAAATTAATTTATTTATATTGCCTATTCAGTTTAATTTTCTATTTAGCCTATTATAGATAGGACTACATACTTTATTTATTAAAATGAAACTGTATATGTCTTGATTGTGAAGTTAGACATCTAAAATTGCAGATCAAGCGCAGGGGGTAGCTATGCATGTCTTCTCTTGTTATGAATTGTATCCTATTTTCTATTATTGCAGTTAACTACGTGCAGTGATATGGAACTGTAATGCGGTCAAACCTGCCTGAAACTACTTTAGCCATGCGTTTCCCTGAAAAATAATTGCACACCTTTAGAACGTTCTCAACCAATCAGAATCAAGCATTCAACAGCCCTGTGGTATAAATTTCTATAATGCTCAGTCTGACCCGTGAACTGTTTTTAAGGTGCGGCTCCATTAAGACTTGTCGGTAAACAGCCACTGTTATGATTGGATAATGTCATTGCATAGAAATAAGTATCAACGCCTCCTCACTCTTGCATTTTGTTTTGAAAACATAATCCATTAGGGATGGGCATTTTTGTTAAATGGTAAGTTCACTCAAAAATGAAAATTCTGACATTATTAATGACTCGGTCTCACCCTCATGTCGTTCCACACCTGTAAGACCCCTAGTCCATGTTTAAATTAACCTTAATTTTATGAAGCAACGAGAATACCTTTTGTGCTTTTCTTCACACATTTTTTCTCTTCTGTATCAGTCTCCGACACGCGTTCACGAGAGCACCACGACGCATGCGTGACCCCGCGTGCGTCTTCCTCTGCTTGTTGGTCATATGTCACAACGCCATCTCCTGTGTCATCAACACGTGCATGGGTTGTGAAAATGTTTGGGGGAACTAACCCTTTATTTTTTGTTTTCAAGTACTGAACAATAGAAAGATGTGTAATCGGGCGAGTCTTGTCTGTCATGCTGAAATTTAAAAAAAAAAACAAAAAAAAAAACATCTAAACGAAATAGGACTGTCTGAAATAACCCAATCATCCTCAATAATGTCGGCATTCTGTTTGAGCTAATGCTGAAGAGTGAATGAACACCGCGTAAACTGAAGTGCTTCGCTATCGGGTTAATATACTTAACCAAACGCATTCTATATTAGATTAATCAGATACATACAACATAAAAGTCATGTTACAACTTATATCTGCAAAGATTGGCGCAAATTTGCACGTGAACTTGACCGTTCTTGTCTGAAAGTGTAACTCCAGTTGTGGATGCGCTCTTTCCTGTAACAACAACTCTTAAATACGGGCAACAAAAGCACAAGGAATTTACATCATTCTTTTGCAATAATACTGTTCTCATTGTAAGGCTATGGATAGGGAAGCTTGGTGCTGCAACTGTATTTTCATGATCAAATGTGCCTTGTTTACAAAACTGCAGCCATTAAACATAAACCATGTACTTGTTCCTGATGCTGGGATCCTTCTGACATACTAACATGCTGTTTCAGCTGGATGCATCAAAAAGAACGTTCCTTTGACCTGTCTTATGCTTTCATTTGTCCCATTGAGTCAAGTGCGTGGAGTGTCAGAAATAGAACAGGCATCTGCGTATTGTATCCAGTGTAGGCGGCATCAGTTAATATAATGGGTTCTATTTGCTTCTGGTGTAGACTGATGTCAGACATTAATTGACTGAGCACCAGGGGGCGAGGCTTATGGTGCGATGATATAAAATGATTTGGCAAATGTTTTTTGGAGCTTGATTACATAAATGCTTTTTTTTAGGAAGAGGGGATCTTTTAAAAATGATGTCTGCAGGATGTTTAAATGATACAAAATTTGATTTGTCATCTCATGACTCCTTTAATTAGGCTTTTATTCACATTATATTGAAGCACAAGCAAGCACATCTCCACATTATTCATTAGAGGAAATGCCCTCTGAGGGATTTCCATGATTAATGTACAATTTTATAGGTTGACTTCGCAAAATATTTGTATTGCTTGAGGCTAGTGGCACGGAAATTACACTTTGCCTTGTACAATGTACAGTATAATGTTTTCTGAAGTATAAAGGTGAACCAGCAGGTGTCGCTACAAGGCTTTGATTCTCTTATGTCTCATTGAGCTGTGTGACTAAACAAGCAAATCTCCCCTCTGCCTTTACATGTAACACTGCTGCCCTATTTCCATTTCAAGGTGTGTGTTTTTTTATTGGTTTGTACTTGTAAACTTCACAGCTATTTAGAAATGTCTGAGCCACATTTTACACACTTCCTGTATGATGAACTACAAAAAGGTTTCTGTCAGTTTTCTCCTTCCACCTCAGAATGCTCCACGACAGGAGGAGAGAGTGAAAAGGCATGCCTCATACACACAGGAAACAGCACTAACCCAACAGGATATCTATAGCTGTGGTTATGCTGATGGAGGCAGAAGACAGACTTTTGATTGTTTGCTCACTCGCATCACTCTGCAGCACTGTTGCAGCATTTTCCATTGTTCGATCATGTACTCAAGGCATGCGTTGAGATGATTCATCTTTTGTCTAAATTTATTTTAGCATAATTCAGCATCTAGTGATGAGTTCTCTTTACACCCAGTCTGTCACCTTCCCCAAAACATTTGCTATTGTTATGTTTATATGAGAATGCGTTGTTGACCTGATTGCGAACTGATTAAACCTCACTTTTCTTTCTCGTTTACACAAGTGTTATTTTATAAAAGAAAAACATACATTTTATAAGTGTTCCTAATTTTTGGACATTTTTAAAGTTTTAAAATGAGAATTTTCAGCATTGTTACTCCAGTCTTTATTGAGTGTCTCGTGATCCTTCAGAGATGTCAATGTTGAAAAGAGTTGTGCTTCTTAATATTTTTATGAAAACTTTAATACATCTTTTCAGGATTTTTTTAATTGAAAGTTTAAAAATCAGCATTTATTTGCTATAGAAATCTTGTAATATTATAAATGTCACTTTTTATAAATTTGATGCATCCTTACTGAGTAAAAGTATTAATTACTTTTTTTTTAATCTTATACTGACCTAGTGTATATGTAATAAGTTGTGATGAATTTTGAGCAATTATTAAAAATGTTATTCAAGTTAGTTGTTCAAATAAAGGGGTAGTCTGTTTTGGACATTAAGATGTACTGATCATAATTGTCTAGACAAGTCAAATAAATCTAAACTTTTTTTTCCATGAACAGTGAGGAGCTGGACAAGTTCATGGAGAGTCAGGGTGCCAGTGCTCCTGGTATTCTGACCCTGACCACCAGCCTGAGCAAACCCTTCATGAGGCTCGACAAGTATCCCACCCTCCTGCAGGAACTTGAGCGACATGTGGAGGTAACAGCAAGCTGCTAATGTCATGGATGGCCTTGAGTAATTTCATGTTTGTTTTAATATAATATTTACAGATTCTCTCTTTTTTTCTTGTAGGAAGCGCATCCAGATTACAATGACATTCTCAAAGCAACGGTTGCATTTAAAAATCTTGTGGTACGTCATATTTGCCATTTAATTTTGGTGCTTGTTGGGCAACTAAAGCATTTTTCACTTCTCATGGTTTTGACCAATGTGAGATGTTTCCTGTCATGGTGCAAAACATTTGAGTCTTTTCTCTCCAATTCCCTCTTACCCTCATCTCTAAACCGCACAGCAGGTTCACTTTACAGGTTGGAGGAGATTTTGCTGTTACATGAAATGTAAAGGTTAAGGTTTATGAGAGTGTCTCTATAAGATAAAAACAAATTAGGAAAGATGAGTCATTCCTTAGATAATGGCATTTCATGTCAGACGTCTCAGCATAGAAAACTATAGTAGTAGGTGATTTCTTTACTCGTTGAGTTCTGTGGAACAGTTTCATGTCTTTTTTCAGTTTCTTTTTGTGTTTTTTTTTTTTTTTGTGACAGGTAAGGTAGAGTCCCATGTTCATGGTTTAGGTCTCAGTAGTGGAGGTGTCATGTATATTTGGTCTTCCCCCTTTACCTATGTGTTCTCAGTTACCTATATTGGTAATTCCTGATGAGATGATTTGCCTACATTATTGTGAGTCGCGTTGATGATTAAGCATCAGTTAGGAACATGAATGGAATGGAATGGAATGGAGAAGTGACTATTTAAGATAACATATTTTCCTTTTCCAAGTTATTGTGTTGTAAAACGTTCAGTTACCAATATACCTATAATTTTGCCATTAAAATGATTTGCCATTAAAAACCATTGTAACCCATTTATTAAAGTTTTAAGTTATTAGATGTTTATCAGAGACTATAAATGTCTGAAAATTCAGCACTAAAAACATGCACAATAATTTATTCATATACCAGCGTTCAAAACCATTTATCTTTGTATTCTGCAAGAATGCATAAAACACATTACATTTATAATATTACAACTGTTTTCAACATTGATGATAACAAATGTTTATTGAGCACCAAATCAGTATATTAGAATGATTTCTGAAGGATTGTGTGACTCTAAAGACTTAATTAAAATAGAAAACAGTTATTTTAAATTGTAGTAATATTTCACAATATTACTCTTTCTGTATCACTGTATGTCATAGATAAATAAAAGACTTCTTTAGGAAAAACAAAAACAAATCTTACTTACATTATTGAGACATTTATCAGAGAACTATGAACAAAATGTTTTATAGTTTAGTGCTATTTAATCGCAGATGGTAACTCATTTTTGACTGGATATGAATCAGTCTTAATGTTTGACTATTACACAATGCTTTTTCGAATCAGTTACATTTCAGTATGTGTTTCCCCCGACTCACTATGAAATTCAACACATGGAATGTATCCCATTAATTCTTGTTTCACTGAATTGATCTGTTTGTGTTTTTCAGACTCAGTGTCAAGATCTGCGAAAAAGAAAGAACCTAGAGTTGCAGATCTTGTCAGAGCCGGTGCGGGGCTGGGAGGGGGACAGCATGAAGTCACTGGGTCAGGTGGTCTACATGTCACAGGTCCACATGCAGAGCAGCACAAATGAGGTGAGGAAGAGGGTGAGAACTAGGAAATAACAGTGGTGGGGTATCTAAGCCTGACCTGTTGCTTTCACAGCAGCGTGATATATCACTGTTTATTTTGTCGGAAATGCATGTTAGTGGTTTTTGGTCATGTTTGCACAATTTCGCAAGTGGCTGGAGTGATTATTTTGTCAAGATTAATTGAAGTGTTGTGCAAAACAAGGTTAGTTTGCATAGAAGTGCTGAACATGGCCTTTTAGACATAATGGTCAGAGCCACACTCATTTTTTGCTTCATGTGACTTGTTTTAGCTAATGAATGGAAACTATTTAAATGTCAACAGCTTAAATCCTCCTGCAAAGTTTTGCACATGTGGTCAACTGAATGCGTTGTCTACTTGAACCTCAGCCCCCTCTGATTCTGGTTAATGGAAACAGTGTTGTTTGAGGGGTTTGATACTAGAGGCCCCTGATAACATCAGGAGGGCTAAGCTGAAGGAAAAATAGTGGAATGATGAAACCATTTACTTACTTAGTCATTATAAATTATTTCCCTCCAATTCTTTTCATTGTATCCCCTTTCTCTTTCTCTCTTTTGCTTGGCTGAAATTTATCTTGGTTTGCTAGAAATAAGGTATGATATTTGTTGATCGTGAGTAGTAATCAATGTAGCAAAAAATGGAGTCGTTCACCAATCCAAAAGTATGTGTAACATAGAGACATTTGATGTTTGTGTTTGTTTGCTGTAAAGGTGCCGTAACGCCATTCACCTGCATCTGTGCCATGAACAATGTGGTTGTTCTAAGTTGTGGTAATAATTAATGTAATTTGTACAGAAGTTCTGAATGTGATATAATGTGCATTTGTTTGTTTTTTTCTAGGAAAAAGAAGAGAAGTACTTCATGCTGTTTCCTAATGTGTTAGTCATGCTGTCTGCCAGCCCAAGAATGAGTGGTTTCATTTACCAAGTGAGTTTTTTTTTTTTTTTCTGTTGTGTTCATCCAGGTACATAATCAGTATCTGTTATTCATGAAAAAGTCAAGCGCAGTGCACTCATTTGTCTCACTCTCGTCTCATAGGGACGTCTGCCCCTAGCAGGAACCACTGTAACCAAACACATAGAAGATGCAGACACAGGCCATTTTGCCTTCGAGATCACAGGTTTGTTTCAGTCCTTGTAAACAGATTTAGTGAGGTCTCTTTTTTTGAGAGGTCACAGAGCAATATATTCTCAACTGTGTCATTATCCGTTTTTTCATTGCCGCTTGTCTCTTGACCTGTTTTTATAACAAGGCAGGAATGTAGTTTAATCTAACAAATAATGAGCATGAGCAGATGACTTCTTGCAGGAATAGCTCCCCTAAAAATAAATAGTGTCATCATTTGCTCACCTTGAAATTAATCAAAAGTGAATGCACACTTTTGAAGCCACAAGTTGTCAGTCATGTATTTGAGTCCTTAATACGGTTATTTACGTAGGTGACAACTGCTTTCCTTAACCAAGCTCACACCAGAAAATTTTCAGGATAACCACATTCTTGGAAAACTTGCCCTGTGTGAAGGGAATTAGACTGGACATCTTGTTGTCTGTCTGTCATACAGTGCGAGAGAGCCGTTCTGTGCCACACAAACGTGTGTCGGCCGTGTGTTGCGGGTTTTCATGTGTGGTTTTTGGTAACTTCCAGCGATGGAGATAAGGGCTGAGTGTTTCAGATCCAGTCTGTTCTTGTGGCTCTATTGGACACTTGTTGTGTCAAAAGTGATAAGACATCGCCATCTATGATATTACTTCGGTAATTGTCGCTGTGATTATTGAATATGGGCTTGACTCCCATGCATGTTTATACAAATAGACATTTAGAAACTCACACCTGTACATAAATGCTAATCCCAAAGTCTGACAGTGCGAGCTTTGCCATATAATGTGTAACGAGTTTGCTCAAAGGGGAAATATTAATAATCAATCATACAGTAACTTGTGATTATTTATGAATATTTGGGCCAGTTAATTGGATTAACTTGATGTAGCTAAATTAATATACCATCAATTAATCAGTTCGTCCAACAAAGTCTTTTGGTTATTCATTTATTATAAGAAATGTGAGCATGTAACAAGATCAAGGTCGTAAAATAAACCTTGTTGCAAGCAGAGAATCAGAACCAAATATGTATACAGTACATACATACATACATACATACATACATACATGGGTAAAATGTTGAGTGACATAATTAAACTGGAAGTAGGAAAGGGAACTATAGAAAAGATCCATTAACTATAAAAAAGAACCATCAGCTTATCATTTGCAGAGGAAATGTATACTTGCATGGGCTTTGCAGTAATATATTTCATGTAAAGTTCCTGAAGGACAATTTTTGACTCTGTTCCCATGGCTGGAGTGCAGATTGTGACCTGCCGGCCCTTGGTCATTTAAAGTGTGAGAAAGGTTCAACCTTTCAGGGTTGGCTCTACCAATAAGAAAGGGGGAATTTCCAAACTGCAGATTCCTCTGTTGGGAGGACTTATGACTCTATCTCAAGAGTGTTTATAAATTTGTGTCCATTTATACTCCGATATATATAACAAACACACATTGCATTCTAAGAGAAGGTGATGTACACTAAAGTGTGAGTCATTAAAAGAGGATGAAATAGATAGGAGACAAAATTCGGATTGGGTTACATTGACCGTTGGTTGTATCATAAAATACATACTGTAGAATCAAAGACATGGTACACAACAGTTAATTATTAGAAGGATCGTGTGTCACTGAAGACTGGAATGATGATGCTTTGCTTTACAGAAATAAATTAAATTGTAAAATATTTTAAGATTGAATACTAAAGTTTTACTGTATTTTTGATCAAGACTATTTTGCAGAGCCCAGACTTTTTACAGTAGTGTATATTTGTATTTCTTAATTGGAACTTTCCAAACAAAACTTGTGTAATGCAAAGAAGCACGTGTTTAAACAGTTTATCTTGTTCTCATTGAATCTTCCCTTTGGCAGATTATTATTTTTTGGTTGTGTTTTTTAGGAGGGACAATAGATCACATCATGGTGTTCTGTAGTAGTTTACAGGAGCAGCTGGAGTGGTTAGAACATCTTCATGCTTACACCAAGGAAGGAAGTCCAGTTGGAACAATGTTGAAGGTAATAAGAACCCATTGTCAATGTTTTTTTGTGTTTTACATCACTCCCAATGATGCGTTCCTACAGGTGAATCGTTATTTTCTTGTTTTGCAGAGTGTTGAGGGTAAGCCTCTAACCGTGACTGGTGCTTTGTCCCACCACTTGCACAGTTTCGGTACTCCTGTGGCTAACCGAGGTCCTCTCGAACCCCCCAAGGTCACCAAGCCCTGGTCCTTAAGCTGCCTGAGGCCAGCGCCACCCCTCAAGCCCTCCGCTGCCCTAAGCTATAAAGAGGTACGCTGTCTGGAAAATAGTCATAAGAGATCTTGAGTGGGAGCGTAATTTACCTCTGTGCATTCTTGGTGGTCCTAGCAGGAAGCCGATGCATACAAAGCAACTCTTACTGTAAGTTTGCAAGCCACCGTCAGTCTCTTTATCTCAAATTGCGGTGGAGGTGTTACCTTAGATTTAAGTGGAATGTTTAGTGGTCTTTGAGCTGGATATTAGCTAACACTACCCAAAGCCCACTCGAACTTCTCTCTAATGTGCACTGCATCTCTACAAGATTGTGCAACGGGTGTTAGCAACTGATGAATGCATGTGAAATCTTCTGTTTCTCTACAACAGTTAATGTTCACCTCTCACTGATCTTTCCATCATATTCCTATCAGGCTGTTCTTTTATTCTCATCCACATCTTCATTCTCTCTCCATTTTCTGCTTCTATAGAGGATGTCTTATATCCTGAAGGTAAGAGTAGATGTGAATCTGTTTTTGTGTGTGTGTGGTCGTGTCTGTGTGCTTGGCTAGCACTGGTGTTGCACGCTGTATCCATGCTTTTCTGTTTTTTTTTCTCTTTCGTTCTGTGGCAAGCCACTCATTTCCGGTGTCTTTTTGTTTGCCTTGTATCTTCTCCACCCTATGCAATGATCTTTGCTCAAGTTCCATTCATTTATCATTTATGATCTTTGCTATGTTGTATTTAATTTTTAGTTGAAAGGAAGTTCAGATACAACGGCAAAATGTCGGTAGGCAGTAAACAATGTGTATTGTAACATATCTTGCCTTTTAACCTTCAAACCTCATCTTCTTTAATCAATATACCCACAACCCCAAACAAACCCTTTTCTGCATGAATAAACAGCTTTTGTTGAGATGCTTCATACTGTATTGTATATACGGAATTACATTTAAACACATTAATTGCATGAAATGTAATTAATCAAATTAATAAAAAGACACTTGCAGATACATTATTATTGCAGACAAGTAAAATACTGAAATGCCTTTAGAAGTCAATATCTTGCTTGTTTTATTTCCATTCCATGCTATTTTTTTTTTAATTGTTGTTCTATGGAAAGATTCACTCTATATATTTTTATATCCACATTTTTAAGTGTCCATTTCAATTGAAAAAATGTAAAACGTGCATCTCAAGACCACTGCATTGTTCCTGTCCTACACCAGTCCAGGTTTTTTTTTTTTTTTTTTCAAAAAGCAAGATTGGTTTTTCGCTAAACACTTTACTCATTTCAAGCTGAGTGTGGTAGCAGAATTGCAAAAACTTGCTTTCCATTTGGTGGTACTTGACGCTGCAGTTGAGTCCGTCTTCATCATGCAATGTACATGCAAGACATGGCAAAATTACAGGCTTTTTTAATCACTTTTCTTGTTATTTTAAAAAAATTATGTGTGCGTGTGTATATATATATATACGCACACACACACACACACATACCTGTATATATATATATATATGCTTGTATGGGCCAAATGTCCTCAATTACATAGTGAAATGTTATGACAACGTTTTACTGGCCCTCGCTAGTTTAGGGTTATGTTAATTAACCTAATATAAAATCAATGGAAGTCTAAGCAATGTCCTCAATAATATAGTGAAACAAACGTGTGTATGTATTGTATTGCGTATTGTAATTGTAGTTAAATTTACAACCTTAAACACTACTTATAGGCCTGGCATCACAGACAGTTCTTAGATTAAGCCAGGATTCGACCTTACTATATTTAGGGCATTTAAGTAGCTTTTATAAACGTTTCTTGAAAAAGAAAAAGCATTACTGGTGTGCACCTTGAGACAAAATGATGCCACTGACTTATTTTAAGATATTTAAGTTGCTTTCAGTTAAAACAGCTCAAACACACATTTTAGTTTGGGACTAGCCTAAGACTTGTCTGTGAAAACAGGAAATCAATATATAAAATGACTATATGAAATGACTTTTTTACCATTTGACTAATGAGAAAAGAATGTGAAGATTTTTACCATTTTACATTCTTTTTTTTTTTTGTGTAAGTGAGCGTGTATGAGCGTGGGTATGTGTATGCGTGTGTACACAAAGTAACCATTTATTATTTATTACCATTGTCCTTACCATCACTCCCCACTACCACCATACTGCCCATATTGTTTTTGTAGATTTTTATTTCCATCCTTCCTCCTATGTAACAATTGCCATTGTCAATCCTGTACAAAATATGATAAATATAATAATATAATATAATATAAGACCACCTTCCCCCATATCTCATCAGTCCCTATCTTTTCCTATTTTTCTGTTTTTTTTTTTTTTTTTTTTTGTTTTTGTTTTTTTTTTTTTTTTTGTGTGTTATGTGCAATGTCTAAAGTGCATTTAAAAGAGGTGAGTACAGTGCGAGAATGTCTGCATACTATCTCGAGTGATTTCGAGGGGAATGAGGCATTAGCTGTTGCCACAGTTACTGAAGGGTTGGAAAACATTTTACATTCTAAAAATTCTAATCAAATATTCCTTTATGAGAATTCAAGTTGATGAAAAGCTTTCTCAGTGACAGATGATAAAACATAACAGCACATTTAAATTGGTTACCTGTGTTATAAACCTGCGAAGTGCAGTTTAATCAGGGACTGGTGCAATTTCTTGAGGGATTGATGCCCCAAGAGAATTTATGTTGGTAAGCTAAATTTAGATGTTCAAAAAAAATCAGTATCTGCCATTTAGATGTTCATAGAAATGGCAAAATGACTCATAATACCTAGTTACTGTAAGGTTTAAGATCACAGTTCTTGTCAACATAAGAAAGAATATTATTTTCCAATCATGCTGCATGATTCTGTTTTATGTCCCGGTATTCTGAGCAACATGTACCGCATTGTATAATGGCAATTTGTTAGGTCTAGATGACTTTCCCTAAACCAGTCCTTGCTGCTAGTTTTCATGGTATTTTACAAACTAAATATTTTATTTATTTTAGCAGCATCCTTCGAAAGTCCTTCAAGAGACCAAGCACTTCATTCACCTTTTTCTATATGTAGTTTATGCATTGTATGCCAGTTCGCTCATATTTTTCCACTTTCGCTTCTGTTGGTTTTGGTAACGAACATTACTGCATACTGCAAACTTCTTCCATTTACTTTCACTCTGTTTGAGTAGAGCATACAAACTGAAAATGCCATTCAGCATGAAGCATGCCGAGTGAATTCTGTATGTGCATATTTCTTAATAGAAAAGTCTTTGAGTCAATCAACTTTCAATCTAACTTTTATACTTCTGCTGCTTGATGGCTTTTTGCTAAAGCTGTGACTAAACTGAATGGTTGTCATTGACAATGCTTTAAAGTTAAACCCTTAAAAATATATTCATCAACACGCTCCTAACATCATTTTTATTAAAGCTGTCATCATAACATTGGCAGACAAAAAAGGTGTGTCTTTAAATAAACTGTCCTTCAGACAATTAAACGAAGGTGGCTCTAATAATTAATTTTGATGACTCATTACGAGGTGTTAGCATTTGACACTGCTGTAACAAAGTCCTCAAATGACAAACTAAAATAATTAGTTCACAAACAGACAAGGGTCTTTCAAGTGCGAATTGTTTTTATTCATGAGTCCCTGATAATTTGCTCTTAAATTATCCTGAATGGCGTCATAACTTATGTAAGCTACCATTTGTTGGTCTAATTTCTTAGCATCCTCGCTCTGGATTTGAACACAAATTAAGCTCTGTTATCTGCAGTTTTGGTGCTTTTATTCAGAGCTCAGCAGATGTGGTTACTTCATTAACACCAGACTGTTTCCTCAGGACTCTAGTAAAAGCCCCAGACCAATCAAGAAGTTCCTCCCAAAGAGAAAAACGGAGAGAAAACAATCAGATGATGAGTTGCTGATTAGAAAAAGTAGGTATATTAAAATTATAAATAAAAATCAATCTAAAGTCACCCTTTTACATGCAGCTTTGCCAACTTATCTTTTAGCATGCACAAACAAATAGAAATAGATAATATTTTGGTGGTTTGTCCCTCTGTAATTGTTGTTTCTGTGACTGGCAGGCACAGTAGCTCTAGAGGAGGATGCCCAGATCCTTAAAGTGATTGAGGCCTATTGCACTGGAGCCAGCCTCCACCAATCCACCACAGGTTAGAACTGCCTGTTACATGTACGGTATAATTAAGCTACTGATGCTATTTTTAATAATGCCAATATAGTTTAATTAAAAGCTTTGATTTATTCACACAGCTGTGCGTAAGGAGTGCATCCCCCAGGTCCTGCTTCCAGAAGAAGAGAAGATCATTGTTGAGGAGATCAAGAGCAATGGCCAGACGATCATAGAGGAGAAGTATGTTCAGTTGTCTGATAGCAGAATTACTCAAAGGTGATCTTGTTCTCTAATTAGCATTAAGTCCATTTATGAAAATACTTAGACTTTGTTTTTATGTTTGTAGTGACCTAGAAATAGTGCAGAAATGAGGGTTAAAGGTAGGGTTGGCAATTTTCAGAGAGGCTAACAATAGTGAGCTATATTTGAAAGCCTAAGATCTCACCCTCCCTTCAGAGCATCTCTAAAGCCACGCCTCCTCCAAAATACATGAACATCAGCCAGAGAAAACAAAAGTGTCAAGAAACTGCAATGAATGAACAAATACTTTATGGTTCTATGCCTTTCATAGATTTTTTATATATATATATATATATATATATATATATATAATCCACAAATAAATGTACTCCACCCACCGGTTTCCTTAAGCCAATCAGATAACATTGACCTGACCAATCGTAGCACGTTCTCTCTACAACCAATCACGTTAGGGATTGTCAATGAGACCAGATACTGTCTGGTTACAGATATTCTTCTAAATATCAGAAAATTGTCTGAATGGATTCGAAAACGGTGAAACCCAACTGATTAACTCTGGAGGAGTTGGAAAATGAGCCTATTTCCAAAAAAAGTGGAGTATCCCTTTAAGACACATGCCTTTGGTGTGAGAAACCTGGGTTCGAATCCACTGTGAGACACCAATGTGTCCCTGAGCAAGACACTTAACCTCTAGTTGCTCCAGAGGCGTGTGACCTCTGACAAATATATTAATTGTAAGTCCCTTTGGATAAAAGCGTCAGCTTATAAAAGCGTCATTAGTCATACCGTGAAATAGAATTTTGGTCATATCGCCCACTCCTATATATATATATATACAGTATATACATTTAGACCACTTAACTTAAGTGAGTACTATCAGACTGTGAAGAGAATTGCAACCACGTTTACAAAAAAACTCAAACAAAAAAATCTGGAACAAATCACTTACTTTGGTGTAAGAGAAAAAATAGTTAACCCAAATTTTTTCGATCTTTACTCTGGTCTTGACTTTTTATTCTTACTATACATGTGCTTTTTTCCACTGTGAAATGAAATTTCCATTGAATGTTTTAAAGAATATTTTTTAACGTATTGTCTGCAGAAGTCTTGTTGATGCGGTTTATGCTTTGAAAGATGAAGTCCATGAATTAAAAAAGGTAAGATTTTGGGTTATAGTAATATTTTTTGGCCTGAACTAACTGTTGTTATGCCGTTATATTCTGATGCAATGTGTTTGTGAATGTAGGAGAATAAATTGATGAAGCAGTGTCTGGAAGAGGAACAGAAGTCCCGTAAGGAGCTGGAGCGTGTAGTCAAGAAGTTGGCCAAGCAAAAGAATGACTGTTCCTGGGAGGAAGGAGGTCACTAAAGAACACTCTGGATGCTCGCCTGTTTCCCCTTGCCATGCTCATGTATGTGTTTCTATGTCTGTTTGTCCTCCTCACAAATGTGTTTTTATGTGTTTTTCCATCACATTACACACTGAACATTGCTTTTGGAAAGTCACCGTGTTGGGGATTTTTAGCCATTTTTCATCAAAAGGACAAGAATATCGACTTATCGACTGTTTTTCTCGCCATATGGAAGAATATCACTGGGTGGTTTGCTTCACGCTCCTGTGAAGTGATTTCTGAGAACAATACGGCAACTGTTCTAGAAAACCAAGTGAGCTGCTTATTTAGGTAGTATTCAGTGATAGGAAAACTTCAGATAACTGTCGGATTCAAGTCCTCAACTTTTCCATATTTTTCCCCTTCCGGTTCATTCAAGCACTCCAAGAAGAAACATCACAGAAAAGATGGTGTTTGAACTGAACAAATATCTGCCTCACTTTGACTGTTACTGGTCATTTAAAAGAGAAATCCAATGACATTCAGCCCATTAAACAGCATTCTGACTATTGCACAAGTGAATATATTCTGTTAATGGTGCTGGAGAAGATATTTGTGGTTGAACATTACAGTACTCCATCGTATCCACAAGTATTACTCTTTTATGCCCTATTTCTGCTTTTATAATGTGAAAATGGTTGTTGCTTGAGGTAGCTTTTAGGTCACAAATGAACAAGATTGAGATTTGTGGTTTCACCTGATTGACATGAGATGCCCTACTTGCCATCTTGAAATGAGTTTGGTTTTTCCTTTTAGTTTGATGGTTTTGAGTTAAATTCCTGTAATATGTCATTGGACGGTTGGTTTAGATTCAGTGTATTCCCATTCAAACGTGTTCCCCAGACAGTCACTTACATCAGCATGGGTGCACGTTTTTTTTTAATATATAACAGCCGTTATATATTACATAATCATGCTTCTGATAATCATCAATAGTATAAGGCTTTCAGGGATATAGTTGTCAGAAAGAGTCAAGTTTATAATACTATACTAATAAAATACATCATAAAATGTATGTAAATATACTTGTATACAGTATAAATATGTATATATCATAGATACTATGGCAAAAAGAACCATGTCAACTATTTTGATGATAAAAATACAGCAGGAAATTTGCTTGCACTTTACAATAAGGTTTCGTTTGTTAACATGGACTAAGAATGAAACATTTCTATAAAATCAAAAGTTGAATCTGTTATTATTATTTAATGCACTGTGAACTTACATGAACAAACAATAAACAGTTTTATTCCTATTAAGGTTAAAAAAGATTGACAAATACTGTAACAAATGTTTTGTGCATTGTTATTTAATGTGATCACAATAACTAATGTTAACTAATGAGACCGCATTGTAAAGTGTTACTAGAAATTTCAACCTTTTTCAGAGGCTTAAAACTATTTCATATATATTTGAAACCAAAAAAATCCTGTATGTTTGTGAATTTGATACTATGGGCCCTTTTAGGACTCGAAAACCGAGTGTACGTAGAAACATATGGTACTTTAGGCACTGATGTTTGATCATATCTGGAGGCTCATATTTGAATGAGAAACAAATGTGGTTGGAACCCAATTTTAATGTATCCCCCCTCCCCCAGCAAACCTCTCCCTATCAGCAAGTGCACTGGAGGTGCAGTGCAATACATTTCTTACCCATTCCTATTCTGCCATAGTCATGTGTGGCATTCATGGTACAGCTTTTTTTCCTGACCTTTAAACATCGAATGAATGAATAATTACATGGCCGCTTACACAAATGACCCTGTCTGGAGTGCTAAACCTTTCAATGACTCATTGCCGATCATAACCGTGACTAATGCTTTCTATCGCTTTTGGACTGGAGGGACGATCTCCGTCTTAAGCAGTGGAGCAGTGCAGACAAAATGCTGTAAAGATGAGCAAAACTTGGGTGGGGAGTTTTTTTCTTTGTCTTTTTAAACCCACTATGTCACCTCCGGAACATTGCTGTGGCAGTTCAATGCAATATGCGACTGGTTACAATTGCTGTGCGTTCATTCAAGAGCCAGTCTTTCTCTTGGAAGGAGTATTCTGTATAATATATTCTTCCAATTAGGCAATAAGATGTGCTCTGAGGTGCACAAATATAATTCTGTTACTGTGGTACTGTGTAAATCTGTTTCATGTTCGTGTGCGTGTTTGTTTTCCAGCAATTAACCTTGCATGCCATGTGTTACACATAGCCTTAAATATTATTTTAAAGTGTTAACCCTGATTGTATTGTTGTTGTTGCTGTTGTTATGGAAACTCCTGAATTTTTAAACTATGTGTCTAAAGTTATGACATCTGCAGTGGTAAATGTGATATTCATGTGTGTATTATGTGGAACAGATTGGGCAGTAGGTTATGCGAGTGTGCATAGTATCATGTGGAAACTTGCTATTTGCTACAGGTGGCTACTGCTATCAATGAAAGGAACTTCAGTTTGTTCTTGCAATGTCATGAATGTGTCAGGAAAAAAAATGAATAGCACTTTCAGGAGATCATAAATGAGGGTTTTAAGAATGTTGTCCGCGTCAGTTTCCTCTCTTAAAAGTGCCCGTGTCTGCAGAACACAAGTTTTATGTTTTGCGAAGCTGATCTATGCAATATGTGCTTATACATCTATAAGTTGTTGTTTTTTGTTGTTTTTTCTAGTGCTTGTGTTTTTAATGTTGTTATAATTTCAATAAGGAATTGTTTTAATAAAAATAACATCATGTTAATAAGCTATATATTAGATTTTTTTTAAAATCTTTTTTTTAAACATGAGGAAATTCCACCTTGTGAAATGTGGACGACTACATGTGTCGTATGTGTGATGTGGTGAATTACTTTGCTATAGGGACTGGGTAAATGTAGAAGCTGGAGTGAGTGTAGTGGCTGGCAACTTCCTGTAAGCAGAGGCTTCAGCGTGGCTCTGAAATGAGAACACGTTTGTCACCTAAAACTCACTGTTTCCATGGAGGAGGGTGGAATGCTGGAAAATCACAGCAGAAGTTAGCTCATGGTTGTTATCAAATAGAAGGTTAAAAACAGAACTAGTAGGCTTTAGTGAAATATACACTATCCTACACATTAGTTTCCAAACTCTGAGAATAGAGCTTCTCTCAACCTGAAGACATAGATGCCTGCTATATTAGGAAACACTTGCACAGCTCATGGCCTATTGGAAACGTTGATGATAAAATACAAACTCTTAGCCGGCCTGGGGTTATTGGGGGAATTGTGTGGTAGTAGACTTAAAACAATGAATGTATGAATGAAAACCCATATATAAATTACCGGTCAAAAGTTTTAGATCATTTAATGTTTTTATAAGAAGTCTCTTCTGCTCACCAAGGCTGCATTTTTTTAAAACAAAAAAAAAACAAAAAACAACAGTAATATTGTGAAATATTATGACAATTTAAAATGATTGTTTTCTATTTTAATATATATTAAAATGTCATTTTCAGCATCATTACTCCAGTCTTGAGTGTCACATGATCCTTCAGAAATTATTCTAATATGATAATTTTATGCTCAAAAAACATTCATTATTACTTTCAATGTTAAAACAGTTTTTTCAAATTCTTTGATGAATAGAAAGTTCAAAAGAACAGCATTTATTCAAAATAGAATCTTTTCTAACATTATAAATGTCTTTACTGTAACTTTTGTTCAATGTAACTCATCCTTGATGAATAGAAGTATTGATTTCTTATCCCCCCCCCCCCCCCCCCCCCCCCCCCCCAAAAAAAAAAAAAATCTTACTGACCCCAAACTTTTTAAAGGGTAGTGTTTAATGTTGCAAATGCTTTCCATTTCAGCTCTTCTTTTGAACTTTCATCAAAGAATCATCAACTGAACTATTGAACTATTCATCAAAGAATCCTGAAATAAAAATGTAAAAAATAGTTTTCAACATTGATAATAATCACATGTTTCTGGAGCAGCAAATCATCCTATTAGACTGATTTCTGAAGGATCATGTGACACTGAAGACTAGAGTAATGATGATGAAAATTCAGCTTTGATCACAGGAGTAAATTACACTTTACTATATACATTCACAAAATATATTCACAAAATATATGTATGTGTGTGTGTATGTGTGTGTATATATATATATATACACACACACACATATATATATATATATATATATACACACACACATATATATATATACATATATATATAATATATAGCAGCAGGAACAGATTTTTTTTTTAAAGTTTGTTGCCTAAATTTAAAATAAATAGCCTACTCAAGGTAAGATTTAAGCATCAGATATAAGTTTGTCAAACATATACCTAAATAAATATATTTATTATTAATTCAATAGTTTATTATTATAATTTATAAAATATTAAAAAAAGGGAAGCAGAAAAAACAGAGAAAAGGGGAAAGCAATAAATAATTCCATACAAACACTGCCACTATAGTGGTTTGAAAACATCCATGGTATTCTTATTGAATTATATTTGCAATGAACGATAAAGCTGAAAGGAAATTCCAGGAGGTTCCCTTATTCAGAAAGATTTACGTGATTTCCTTGTATGCCCTAAACTTGGATTGTGGTTTGACGTCAATGAGAAGAGGTGCACCGTGGGAGCTGAAATCTTTCATATGTCACGTAATCATCACGGTATCCGTTTAAATATAGTGCATCAATTTCCTCACTGTCTCGCATCATCCATCTCTATCTCCATCTTGAACAGTTCAGTTCCTGAGAGTTCTTTACCATAATTTGAATAATCCAAAGCTGCAGGAGTCCCTGTTCACCAAGGATGTGTTTGTTGCTGTAACATAGAGCTTTTGGTCTTTCTGTAGTTGGAACACCCCCGCCAGGGAGGCTGTGCACAAATTTGATGTCCTGTCATTCAAGCTGCAAAAACCCTTGAGTAGCTCCTTGTCTTCCTGTTTCTCGGGTCCGGTGACCCTTATGGCTTGCTTTAATGCACCTTTAGATTGTTTGGAGAAGGTGACTTGGGAGTAGATAAAATAGATTCCAGGTTTTTGGATGATCAACATGTCCCCTTTGCTGCTGAGCTGTACCTCCTGTATCAGTGAATGGTCTAGATCCCAAAAAAGGTTGTTTGACCTTGTGAACTCACTCGTATCTGTTGGTGTTAAAAAAAAGGTAAAATGCCATTATCGTCACACATTCGCATGTCTTCCCGTTATTTCATGATTTGGTTTAATGAGTCAACTAAATGAGTCTTGAATATATTGTGTCATAGACTGAAAAGGTAATGTGTGTCCATCACCTTTCTGTTTGGTGAAAAGAACCATGTGTGCAGCCGGTCCAGTTGGTCCTGCAGTTAATCTAGACACTGATAATTACACAACAACAGTTAGGTCTCAAGAATTATATACAAATATCATATCAAAACTAGAATGACACCAAATTGCTTGCTAAAAGCCAACCTTTTTATTTGGGTTTTTTGTTTTTGGTGCAGGCACCAACATACAGAAAACCATGCTAACCCAAATAGCAACAGAAAAGAAATCAATAATGCTACTTACCTTTTTTATTTGATTGTAAAACCTTTGGGATGAAGACAAAGTATATTATTGATACATGCAAAATAATGATATTTTAGTTATAAACTTTTCATGGTATTACTTCTATACTTAATGATTCACAACACATGTAGATCTCGGATTATCGAAAGCAGGACTTAAACACATGGCATAAATGTATACCTTTTCTATGACCGATATCAGTTCCCTACATTCTGCCTCTGAGTTTTCTCCAAATTTGTCTTTCAGACAGTCCTCTAGTCTCAGCAGGTCCGTCCCGTCTTCATGATAACTCCCATGGAGCTGCAGCTGATGAAGGAACAAGATAAACCAATTATTTCCCTTAATGCATAAAGAATATTTGGTAAAAATGAACAGCACCAAAAATAAACATATTATCATAGTGTTATAAGCACATCAAAACCACTATGTGAACAAGACAATGATTTTCAGGGGGTTGAGAATGTTATCTGAATCTCTGTTTTTATAAAGGAATTAGACAACAGCTAAATTGTGTTCAATTGTCTAAATCATTTGCTATTATCTGGATTTTTTGCACCTCACAGATGATAATTTAAACCATAAACATCAATGATTGGTGATTGAAAGCAATACGTCTTTACTTTTGCACTTGGAATCTCTAATCAACTCAATTCTGTTGTTGTTTAATTATTGCTGATGCTTATCTGAGGTAATAATCATGTGTATTATTATTGAGTCACTCCTCTTTCATTTAACTCGTACAATGAGATTGCATAATAGCTTCCTCTTGACATCGAAATGCTGGTTTATGTTGCGTTTTTTTCTTTGATGCACAGCATGCTGCCTTGCTCATGAAACCACACAAACCAGGAAATAGACCATTGAGATCAGGCCTTTTAGTCTTTTCAGTCTGTTTCTGTTTATGCTGAGAGAAAATAATCAAGATTTCGCCTCTGTTTCTCTTATCGTCGTACGTAATTAGCACATCATAACAGGCTTCATAATATATTTTTGTCAATTAGTTTAGTACCATTCTGACATTTTTTTTATCAATTTTTTTTTGAGTGAATGAGCTAGTTTTTGCATTTGAAAACTTGATAAAGAGACACATTGTTAATTGTCTCTACAATAAATTAGCTTAAATCCTTAAATTTTAAATAATGAATCTCTTCTGTGTGTCTGTGTGTGTGTGTGTGTGTGTGTGTGTGTGTGTGTATATATATATATATATATATATATATAGACTTTCACATGAAAATGACCTTACATTTAACAACATTTAATTAGTTTCTTCCTACCATTTTACCATAAATACAAATGCGAGAGCAAATAGTCACAGAAAGAAGAGCAGCTCATACCAGGTTGAGTTTCTTGAACATGTAGACGAAGCCTCCGAATGTCAGCATCATTAACATCAGTAGAATCACTGACAAAATCTTGACCAAAGCTGTATTTCCCACTGGCTGGGGTTTGCTGTACCCTGCCCGTGGAGGCACGGGTGGGGGATTGTAGCTACTGTGAAATGTGTTTATCATGATGAAGAGAAGACGAGTTGACAAGAGAAGAGACGTGTACTCCAGTGGCACCCATGCAGTTCTGAAGAGCTGTTCTGAATGCAATTGAGCACATTTGACTGTGACTTCCTGATAGATGTCACCTTTTTAGATGGGCTGGGACTAACGGGGTGTTTACGCAATTTGGCGTAAGCAAGGCATGGATTCCATGAGGCCACAGATTTTATTTGCTCAAAGGTCATTGTCTTTGCAGATTCAACATTCTGTCTTTGGCCTAACAGATTTTTTGTCATTAAATATTTCTAAAGAAATGTTTTGAATAAATATATATTAACTTAAGTCACACAGTGTAATAATGCCATTGCAATTTATACACGCATAAAACCAAGTGACATCTTGCAAACAAATGATATGAGTTTTTCTATGCCCTAGTGTCACCTTTCTGAACCAACTGACTATTTTTAGTGCACGTATGAAGCCAGTTCTTATTAAGTGCAGCAGAGTAACTATACGAAGAGTTCAGATGCAAAAGCCTCTAAGTGCCATTTGAAATTTTCTTCTAGAATGATAATTTTTATCAAGATTGTATGTTTAAGTTCAGTAATTTCACTTAAATGACATTTCATTGCAATTTAAGTGAAATAACTTAACTTAAATATACAATATTGATAAAAATGATCATTCTAGAAGAAAATTTCAAATGGCACTTAGAGGCTTTTGCATCTGAACTCTTCATACACTCTTAGAAATAAAGATTTTAAATCGATTGGCATTGATGGTTCAATGAAGAACCTGTAAAGTCCATGGAATCTTTTCAATTGCACAAAAGATTATTTATACTGAAGAAAGGTCCTTTAGATTATTTAAAAAAAATCTTTCTTTGAATGTTCACTCAATGGTTCTTTGAGAAACTAAAAATGGTTCTTCTATGGCATCTCTGCAATATAAAGCTCTGCTCTTTTTTTTAAAGAGTATAGGGTTATAAACTATACAGTACTTCTCGTCTTTAAAGTCAACTGCAATGTTATTTTGGGGACCTAACCTTTCTGTTTGTCCAAACCACAGGAAATAAAGTCACATGTTGTATATCTACACAACATAATCTATCTAAATAAAATATCTGGCCACAGAGAAGAACGGTGCAGAATCTGCAAAGCTGTGAATACAAACACAGGAAAAACAGACTTTCTGAAACCTGTTATCAGTGAGCCATCGTTTCGTTCATTGACAATCAAGGTCAATAAAATTCTAGTTAACCACATCTGTAAAAGATCCTCGAAAATACATGAAAGACATGTTCTTTGTTTTTGCTTTTAAAAGCCCCTTCTGACCTCATTTTTACCACTAAGTGGTGGTCTCTGTCGAATATTCTCATAACTGGATTTGATCTTCCTTGACTTCTGGTTAAATAATCAAGAGCATTGTAAAGGAGAGTTTCATCTGTGAGAGATTCAGTTAAACATTTTTTTTTTAATTGTTGGACATTCAATGCCACCATGTTTTGTGCTTCTCATAAGCCATCATTTACATCAAAACAAAACAGCTTTCATCTCATTTATGTACTGTTGTGGACTGTCTACAACAGAAACTGCTGATTATTAAGTATTGCTTAACTGCAAAGCAGAAGAAAAAAAAACAGGTTTCAAATGAACTGCAGCATCTAACCTCAGTTCCACTCCCACTGACTTTTCTTCAGTCTCTCTGCCAGGGCTCACATTTTCTAAAGTCATCAGTATAATTTAAAACGTGAGATCTTCACCCACAAAATGCAATAAAGGATACATCTAGGCCCAGTAATCAGATCTTTGACCTTTATTAACAGAAACATTCTTGTTTTCTGCATAGTGTGACTATGTGGGTGGAAGTGCAGGTGATCCTTTCCGCATTCATTGCTTTAAATATAATGTTCTCATGAGTAATGTGTTTACTATGAATGATATTGGCATTATAACACAAGGCATTATAAAACTTTCATGGGGGACAACTTTATGTGGGAACTTAATAGAGTAAATACAAGTAAACACATGTCCAAATATCTTAATTAAATCAACTTTAGACACTATTTTATATATATAGACAATTTTTAACAGCTCAAAGATGATACAGTTTACATTCAACATTCCCACAATTCTTGCTTTTTTATTAAAGCAACTAATGCATGTTAGCAGGTCTTCGACGCAAACACATGATGGTAGGAACTATACTCTCATCTTGCTGAAAATATAAATAACAACACTTTATTTCAACATGAACTCTCCCTATCCAGCCTGTAAAACACGGTGGGAAGTGGAAATCATGTCCCCATGTTCTAATGCTACTTTAACACAAATAAAATCATTCATGTAATCTCAACTCAAATGGATAAAGTACACTCCTGGATGAACAGTTAATTTGTTAGATTAATCTGATTTCTTTAAGTAAGCTGAACAAAATTAATTTGCCCTTTTTCATCAAGCTACTTGAACATGTTATTTCAAAATGAAAACATTAACTAATTTAACATTAAATCATGTTTGAACAAAAAAATAAAAGTGTATAAAGTGAATAAATAAAAGAATGAAGTGAATAGCATAAACAAAAACAATTTTGAACAGTGTTGCATTGATATTAATGCTCATGATACAGTGAACATTAGTGTAGCTACAGTAATATATAAAACACTTTTAAACCTCAAAAATCATTCCAGGGAGAAAGAATTCAACACATTTATAGCAGACTCTGCATTCACTTCATCTTTTCCAGGGATAGGAATAATGATGCACATATAGGACTCAGTGGGTGTTCCGTTGATGAAAAGGAGAGAAACTGTGGGCTTATGGAACTTACTATGCAAATGGCACATATTCAAATTTTCACACTTTCTAAAAAATGTGCATATATGATGCAGGACCGAAGTCCCAAAATACTGCAACGTTCGTTATAACTGCATTTTAACATGACATGACTCACAGTTATATACATTTTTATGAAACGTAATGAAAGTAGATTACTTGATAGGATAATGGATATCAGTGAAGCAGAGGAAATGTACATATATACAACACAGTCTTAAAAATATTGTGCTACATACACAGGAACTGTCGAGAGATTAAATAACATGCCACAAACAAAGACCAATAATTTCTGTATTAAAGGAAAAAGCACATGGACATCGAATGAACTTGCCACAGTTCTATGTGCATAAGCAATGAGAGTGTTCATGGGAACAGACTTTGGTATGACAAGGGCAGGGGCTCCTACTGTTGGCAACAAGTGTCACTACACTACACACAGCACAGACACTTACACTAACTGCTGTTGCACTGCACCATTAGCAATGTATTGTCTTCATTCAAAAGTTCCTTATATAATCAGCATTTGAGTACAATCAGTGTATTTACAGTGGGGAGAACGAGTATTGGGGGAGAGTACACTGCCGATTTTGCAGGTTTTCCTCAATTACAAAGCATGTACAAGTCTGTAATTTTTATTGGTATACTCTTTGAGTGACAGAATCTTAAACAAAAATCCAGAAAATCACATTGTATGATTTAAGTAATTCATTTGCATTTTATTGCATGACCTTATTATTTGGGACAGAAACCTTTGTTTGCATTACAGAGATCATACGTTTCCTAAAATTCTTGACCAGGTTTGCACACACTGATGATTTTGACCCACTCCTCCATACAGACCTTCTCCAGATCCTTCTGATTTCAGGGCTGCCGTTGAGCAATACAGACTTTAAGCTCCCTCCAAAGATGTTCTATTGGGTTCAGGTCTGGAGACTGGATAGGCCACTCCAGGACCTTAAGATGCTTCTTACGGAGCCACTCCTTATTGCCCTGGCTGTGTGTTTCGGGTCTTTGTCATGCTGGAAGACCCAGCCACGACGCATCTGCAATGCTCTTACTGACGGTAGGAGGTTGTTGGCCAAGATTTTGCAATACATGGCCCCATCCATCCTCCCCTCAATTAACACAGTCTCATCCCAAATCGTCATATAACTGACGTTTTGGGACGTATTTTGACCATACGTCAATATCCGCCTTTTTAGGGCCCCCTTAAACGTCGGTAGATGGCGATCCCGGGCCGTCATACAACTGACGCTTTACCTTTAACGTCAGTTAGGTGACGGGTTAGGTTTAGGGTTAAGTTTAGGTATGGGGTAGAGTTAGGATCCCATAACCTCATCTACCGACGTTTAAGGGGGCCCTAAAAAGGCGAATATTGACGTATGGTCAAAAGACGTCCCAAAACGTCAGTTATATGACGATTTGGGATGAGACCGGGTTGCCTCAATACGATGCAGTCGTCCTGTCACCTTTGCAGAAGAGCATCCCCAAAGAATGATGTTTCCACCTCCATGCTTCACGCTTGGGATGGTGTTCTTGGGGTTGTACTCATCCTTCTTCCTCCAAACACAGCGAGTGGAGTTTAGACCAAAAAGCTCTATTTTTGTCTCATCAGACCACATGACCTTCTCCCAGTCCTCCCCTGGATCAAACTTCAGACGGGGCTGGGCATGCGCTGGCTTGAGCAGGGGGAACTTGCGTGGACTGCAGGATTTTAATTCTTGACAGCGTAGTGTGTTACTAATGGTTTTCTTTGAGATTGTGGTCCCAGCTAACAGTCTCATCCCAAGACGTCATACAACTGACGCTTTTGACCATACGTCAACATCCGACGTTTTACGGTACCCTTTATGACGCGGGTAGGTTTAGGTCTGGGGTAGGGTTAGGATTAGATGGCGTCATCTAACTGACGTTAAAGGGTACCCTAAAACGTCGGATGTTGACGTATGGTCAAAAGCGTCAGTTGTATGACGTCTTGGGATGAGACTGTGCTGTCCAAGTCATTAACCAGGTCCTGCTATATCAACCCAGGGCCGATCCCTCACCTTCCTCATGATCATTGATGCCCCACGAGGTGAGATCTTGCATGGAGCTCCAGACCGAGGGAGATTGACCATCATCCTGGACTTCTTCCATTTTCTAATGATTGCACCAACTGTTGTTGCCTTCTCGCCAAGCTACTTGCCTGTTGTCCTGTAGCCCATCCCAGCCTTGTGCAGGTCTACAATTTTATCTGATGTCCTTACACAGCTCTCTGGTCTTGGCCATTGTGGAGAGGTTGGAGTCTGTTTGATTGAGTGTGTGGACAGGTGTCTTTTATACTGGTAATGGGTTCAAACAGGTGCAGTTAATACAGGTAATGAGTGGAGAACAGGGGGACTTCTTGAAGAGAAACTAACAGGTCTGTGAGAGCTGGAATTTATTACTGGTTGGTAGGTGATCAAATACTTATGGCATGCAATAAAATGCAAATGAATGACTTAAAAATCATACAATGTGATTTTCTGGATTTTTGTTTTAGATTGACCACTCACAGACTTCTACATGCTTTGTAATTTGGAAAACCTGCGAAATTGGCCGTGTATCAAATACTTGATCTCCCCACAGTGTGTGAATTCAATGCGTTTTCAATGCATCATTAAAAAAAAACAAGCACACAAAGAAAAAAATGTGATTCTGGTTTGGTCCTTCTCAGTGATTCTGATATTGGTCCTATGGATCTAACATCTCAAATCAGTTTTCCATCCCGTCACATGATAAACGCTGAGCTGTACAGATAGTATGAGAAGTCTTTGAGAGTGTCAGGGTGTGTAGTGAACCACTAAGGACAACGTTTGCTGCTCTTTATTCTGGAGGGCCTTGATGTTTCCATGCAATGAGGGCCCATCACTGGGCCTGAGAGCATGAGGATCTTCTTTGCTGCTGTGCTGAGGGTTCTGACCATGAATAGATGGTTCACTTTGACACTTCAGAAATGCTAAGAAACACCTGTAGATCTGAAAGGGAAATGAATGAAACAGAGTCATTAGTATGCCTTTCATTTCACTAATAAAGGTACAAAGTCCTTTCAAGTGTACTGCCCATGTGACAATGTTGTACCTCTAAAGCTGAAAGTAAGGTTTTGCTCTGGCTCACGGATAGTTGAAACAGAGAATTCTCTCCGTTTCAACTGTTTGGTTAAGGAAGAATGCCCGTAACCAAATGGTTGATGGACCCCATTGAGTTGCATAGTATTTATTTTCTCCATATTATGGATTGAAAGTCAGTGGCACCCATCAACTGTTATGTTACCCATATTCTTCTAAATATTTTATTTTCTATCTTCTTCCCAAATAGCATACTGTTCTTACTAATAATGTGCATTATGCAATAAAGAAATTCTCCAAAAAAAAATGAATTATATTTATAATATCAATAAGTCTCAAGCAATATGTCAGTAAATATGCTAATTAATTTGTAATATACTTAGTATGAAATAAATGTATTTAAACATTTTGGTATAGGTTTTTTTCACTAGGAAAATAATACCATGTATGTTATTTTAGTTTTATATTCAATAATTAAATTCCATAATTAATGCATAAAAGTTTTCTTTGTCAAATCAAGGGGAGTAAAACCATAAGTGTGTCCACAGATATTCTTTGACACCCTACTAAAAATGTAGAAAGCAATCAGAGATGGTATTATTATTGGGCGATACGAGGGTCCGTGGATCTACCGTTGTAAAAACATAGACAGTAAAAGAAATGGACACATTGATTTCAACTGAGAAAATTGAAGCCTGTTAAAAGCTGATCGCCAGGCGTACTGCGCAGGCTCAAACTGAGCCTGTCCCGTGAGCAACCTGTGTCTTCTAGTAGCTTTGCAGAGTGAAATCTGAATCATTCCCTTTCAAGTCTCACAGAGACAGAGAGAGTGAGTATTAGCTGTTCATGAGCTAGCAGCAGATGAATCTCTATGGGCTTCTCCCTTGACTTTATCGGACTTTATGCCTCCACGTCCCCCCGATTGCCTGCAAGGTTCTCCTTCCGTCTATACGGTTTCTCTACTGTGTGACGGAGGGTCGTTTCGTTATGACGCAATCGTTAGCCTATTTTTTACAAAAAAAAAAACGCTTCTTCGGAGCCACAACATAAGATACAAGGTAATGGAGCCTTTTATAGATTGTCGTGTTTCTTTAGAAATAAATAATGAATGGAGTCTTTGGACGCCTCACATGTAAAGTTATTCGCTGTCAAAGTGACGCCAAAATGTGATCGAAGTGATCAAAAATGTATGGCTGAATCTGATTGTTAGCCATGGTTTATTTTTGGATGTCACAGCTTCCAGACGCTCTTGACGCAAAAGCTTGGTGCGCTCGTGATTATTTAGCTCCGTCCACAGGGAATGCCTCTACCCGCTCGTTTTTTTTTTCCGGAAAGACTTGGTACAGCCTATCTTGCTTTTATAAATATAATAAACTAAAGACTTTTTGGAGATATGAGGGATGCATATGTAGAGTGAAGCATCTCCACCAATGACCTCCATTAAACAAAACAGCCTTCAATTGGCTTTGAAGCAATCCCTCTGTGGACTCACCTGGTTGTTGAAAAGCACATAGATTACCGGGTTGACCACAGTGCTGCTCTTGGCCAGGACAGAGGGCACCACACTGGTTACAGGAGTGATCAGTCCCCTCCTGCCAAATGCAGCTAACAGAGCTACCACCCCATAAGGCATCCAGCACAGCAGATAGCAGGATACCATGGTTACAACCATTAGAAGAATGTGGTTCTCTCTCCTCTGTGCGGTCAGCAGGTTGATTTTAGTTACCTGAGCCAAAAAAAGAAACACGTAAAGTTACAGTTAGTTTTCTTGCCTGCTGTGACATATCCAAGTGAAATGGCTTTTTCCATTGGGAATTTGTTGTTGTTTGTTATCGCTGTGAACACGTCATCAGAGAGGGAAGGGAAGTTATTTAGATTAAAGATTACGAGGGCACATAAAAAAAATAAAAAATGATGTAGATATAAATAAATAATGTTTAATTAACAAAGTTCGAGAGGGGCACGTTCAGATAATTAACACGAGTGGAGAGCACTCAGCAATCAATGATAAGAGGTGTATATAGATTCAGCAGTCTCACCTCAATTCATTTAGCGTAGCCCACCCCCCGGACAGCACGCCAAATACGCATTAAACTTTACTCCCTTCAATTTTATGTAAGTGTGAACTCGTGAATTTATAATAAATATTAAGAATCCGAATTGCCTGTGATTTCATTGTGACTTTAAGGCATCTAAAAGTTAAAAAGTTCAATTTTGATGCAGAAATAGGCCTAAAAGCTAAAAGCTTCTATCTTTCTGCAGAGAACATGGCCTATCCTACAGCAAACAGTTCATGATTTGAACAAACTTAGTACAAATTAGCTTGCTATGTGTGCATGCAAGCTGTTCGCGAATCAGAGTAAGACAGATGAGGCAGATGGCTCCTTCATGCGTCAGGTCTGAGAGTCGTGACTTGTGTCCTCTGGGGTCTGTTAGCCTTCCCTATCCCCTTCCCATCATGAAGTAATCTCTCTGCATATAGATATCCTACTGCTCGGGGCACAGAATAGGAACTTCCAATCAGTAGTGGCGGCAAATGAGAGCTGATAAGTGGAGCTGGGCTCTCTTCACTGACTCAGGTCGTCATTCACACCTTTTACACGCTCCATTCGTCCGAAATAAGATGATTGTGATTGTATTGACAGCTCCAGCTTGGTTTCTCACTAATGCACAGACTGAGTTTTCAGACAAGTGTTTTCTCACTTGTGTAATCCCTTTGCTTTTGTGTCCTTCAGAAATTTTGTAGGATCAATATGACACTGACAAAAATGTTTATTTGAAAGGAACATAAACTAAATGTATTTTAGTCGCGCAGACTCAAACAGAGCTTGACGACGTAGATGTGATGTGAGCAACCCGTCTGTCTTAGTGGCTGTGGCATTCCCTTCCGAAACATGCAGCTGTCCATGAGCTAGGAGCAGGAGAAACTTTTGCGAGGTATTCTGATTAATTATTTTGTCATTTGCCGATTGACGCGAGCTTCTCCTCCTGTCCATACGGTAATCTCTCGACTGTGCGACAGAGAGTCGCGTGGTTATGATGCAATCGTTAGCCAACTTTTACAAAAAAAACTGCTTCTATGGGCCATAACATAAGCTACAAGGTAATGGAGCATTTTATACATTGTCATGTTTCTTTGGAAATAAATAATGGACAAATGGGGTCTTCAAATGCCTCAGATGTAAAGTTATTCACTTACAAAGTGACGCCAAAATGAATGGGAGTCAATGGAAATGCTAACGCTGGTGAAGTTCTGCTACAAGATGGCAGCTCCCACATGGCTTCAACATCCGGTTGATGGATTACCCCCTTGCTTGAATGATGAGTAATTGACATTTCAGAACTCCTTGAACATACAGCGACTTAAAGGGTTAGTTCACCCAAAAATGAAAATTAAGTCATTAATTACTCACCCCCATGCTGTACCAACCCCGTAAGACCTTCGTTCGTCTTCGGAACACAAATGAAGATATTTTTGATTAAATTTGAGAGCTGTATAACTACCACATTGGCTCCTGAGGGACTGCCTCTTGACGGCCCAGAAAGTCAATGAAGAAAATGTTTAAATATCCCAAGTGACTACCGTGGCTCAACTATATGTTTATCAAGCGACGCGAATACTTTTTGTGCGAAAAAACAATAAAAAATAACAAGTTTATTCGACTATTTCTTTTCTTCCTTGTAGGCCAGAACGAGACTTCCTTATAGATTTCCACGACGCATGCGCGAGAATTGCGATCTGAAGTAGTGTAAGCTGTTGTACGCAGATCGCAAATCTCGCGCATGCGTCGTGGAAATCTATAAGGAAGTCTCGTTCTGGCCTACAAGGAAGAAAAGAAATAGTCGAATAAACTTGTTATTTTTTATTGTTTTTTCGCACAAAAAGTATTCGCGTCGCTTGATAAACATATAGTTGAGCCACGGTAGTCACTTGGGATATTTAAACATTTTCTTCATTGACTTTCTGGGCCGTCAAGAGGCAGTCCCTCAGGAGCCAATGTGGTAGTTATACAGCTCTCAAATTTAATCAAAAATATCTTCATTTGTGTTCCGAAGACGAACGAAGGTCTTACGGGGTTGGTACAGCATGGGGGTGAGTAATTAATGACTTAATTTTCATTTTTGGGTGAACTAACCCTTTAAGCGCGTGTTGCACACATAGACTGTAAACATTTTTTTTTCTTTTTTGGAAATGCAGAGGAAAAAAAAGGTTTGTAAGCTATTTTTGTAGTGTAATGAAAATCAATTTCATACCGCATGTCTGGAGTGACTTTTTTAGAAATGCAATTACTGTCTCAGACATGTCCTCTGATTTTCACTGTGCTAACTTCTTGTAATTTCCTCTTTCGAATCCCATCAGAATTCCATGTTTGTGTTTCTATAAAAAGCCTAAAGGCTGTAGTGACTGCCCACTCATAGGTTTGAGTGGGCCAGGCAACGGACAAAGATCTCTATACAGTGTGGTGCCTGCTATACTGAACAGAGCGAATGCTGGAGGAATTTTTTTGCAGTTGTTAGCAGCTCGTCACAAATAGTAATAGGCATGCGTTCTAAAAAATACCCACGATGGTGGTTGATTCATTGAATTGCCTCGGTGTCTAGAGGCTCTCTGCCTTACTACCTGCTGGAAACGCTCATTAGATATTCCTTCACACTGTGATGTGTATGTGTTAATGAAATACGCCATATGAGTCATAAAAACCTAAAGACTGCGTCTCCCTGAACACAGTCTAACCTGATGCCCCAAAGAGCTTTGTTCTTATTCTCTAACTGGACAAAACAATCTCAAATGTATAAATAAACCATCCAAGATCAGGATTTGTCATCTGTTGCTTGTCTGTGTTGAAATGTTAATTGGACACTGACTATGACACATCACTGCAGATTTCTGAGAATACAACTGCTATTTTTTCTCAGAAGGGAAACGTTGAGAGAAGACTGTAGTGCATGCTAATTGTCACTATCTGGTGTTATACAAAAGCACTGAGACCTTTCAATGTTTGTATCACTCTGCTCATGTCAGTCTGTGCATTAGGTGATGGGGATTTTACAGTGACTCATTCAAATAGTTACATAGATGCGCCAGTAGGTGACGGCAATTGACGAATCATTCATTGAATCATTCATTCAGTCAATCCATCTCAAATCATTGATTTATTCAAGAAAAAGAAACTAGGTCAAACAAGTTTAAAAGGCTTTTTAAACCAAAGTACATATCCTATGAGACCACAGGAGAGGATTTGTGAATGGCAGTGAACCGATGTAACTGATGATGGTAGGTTACATCACAAGAACAACATGACGAATGTCGTAGCTACGTCTGGATTAGATTCACACATTCATACTAAATAGAACATCATTTTTTAACAGATAGAGTAAAATTAGTAGTAGTATGCAAGTATGCGAATAGTAAGACAAATATGCTAGTATTTATTGCTAGTACAACTGTCTTTATTGAATTATTCAACATTCACTCAACTGATTTGTGAATCATCAGTATGACAACCGTGATAAGAGAAAAAAAGATAATATCATTTTGTTTACTTTTTAATTAGAATTTAACATTACAAATTTTGTTTTGCTTTCTAAAGACTGCCCAGAAATCATGAATTCACTCATCATTTTTATTTTATTATAGTGAAAGCCACAGTTTTATATTTGTTTTCCAGTACAGTAGGTTAAATAGATAATAACATATAATAATAACATAACACCTATTCAGAGGGGAAAGTGTCAAATTGAGTTTCCTCATAAAGCATCTCTCACTCACCCCTTTGATAATGAACAGGATTTTGCCATAGCAGAAGATCATGAGCATCAGTGGTAAAAGCAGACAGAAGATGAACAAGCACATCACGTATGACATGCTGTTGGTTGAGCGCAGGTGCCACTGCACTGAGCATGTAGTCCCGGGTCCTTCAGGTCCATAGCTACTCCAGCCCAGGAATGGTGGGAGAGTCCATACCAGCGAATAGAGCCAGGATCCGGCCACACAAAGCCAGGCCCTGCGGAAGTCAGAAACGTCTGCCTTGGTGGGGCGCAGCAGGGTGGCATAACGCTCGTATGACAGTATAGACAGAGACATCAGAGACACAATTCCTGTTTTGAGATAAAGAACACCAATATGGAACTAGTTAAATAGTTGCTAGCTTATGCTGTTCTAAATGTTTTTATTGTAAAATATGTTGATATTTGTACTGTGTCATCCAAGATGTCCATGTCTTTCTTTCTTGAGTTGAAAAGAAATGAAGGTTGTTTTGATGAAAATATTCCAGGATTTTCTCCATATCATGGACTTCAATGGGAACCACAAAGTTTAAGTTTTATAAGCACAAATGCTCGCCTTACTCTGTTCTGTGATGAGTGTTCGTGACTTTCCTGTTCAAACTCGTTTATCAAAATGAACAAATCTTTTTTCGAGTCATGACTCGAGGGGTCCTAGATAAGACCCTTATACATCGTCTGGTGTCGTTTAAAGCCCTTTGAAGTGGCACTGAAACCCTCATTTGGACCTTGAACCATTTGGTTCCCAGTGAAGTCCATTATATGGGGAAAAATCCTGGAAAGTTTTCATGGAAAACCTTAATTTCTGTTCGACTGAAGAAAGAAAAACGTGGACATCTTGGGTAACATGGGGGTGAGTAAATTATCAGAAATTATCAAAAGCACTAGGATGCAAGTCCTAGTGCTCCTGACTTCAGCAAATCAGATGAGTCTGTGTAATCTGTTTTCAGTGGTTGTTTTCTGGGAATGACATACATGACATGGATGGCGTGATCAGAATCAAGTATTCCACAGAGCTGTGTAATACATGTAGTATAATGTAATAAAATGTGGCAGCCACAGACTCGAGATTCTCATTAAGGCACTGATCGTGTTGAATAAGTCGAAGGTATAATGACATTAGACCCTTATGTATCAACGCACTTGTGTCATCCTGTAAACAGTGAAGGTTGTAAAGTGACACGAGATCATGGAGCTAAAACAACCTGATGACAACCTATTTATTATTTTAGTTGTCCAGTTGTCAGAAATATTTGGTATAGTCACCGAGAGAAACTGAGCCTTGATGAATATGGTTAATGTCAACAAAGGAACACATTCATTAAAAAATTTATGTGAAAAATGAGGCGAATGATGTATCAAATGTAGGCTACTCAGAGTCAGACATTCTCCTTCAATGGGTTTGCAGGTCCACAGGTTCTGCATTAAGTGCGCTTCCCTCATTTCCTCTTACAGAAAGAGAGACACAACACTCCCACTACAGTCATTAATGTCCTTAAGTGAGCTCTCCATTCAAATGTCAGATCACTAGGGGAAGATGTGACTTCTGAGACAACCCCTGAATGTGATAAAATTACAGTGATTTATGGCTTGTTGATATGTTGAGCATATAACATTTGTGACAGACAGAAAAGCGCAACATGTCGTTTAATGTGGAAAATTATATAATCAAGAATTGTTTATTTGTGGCTGTTGAAAAAACTGCAAATATCCAGTTGATTTGATTTTATGATTTATATCTTGGTTAAATAAATGTTACCTACATTAAAAAAGAGAAACCAAAAACAATTACATTTTGTATTTTCAAACTAGCCTATGCAATTAATGTTATATTCGTTAAAACCAAGTATAAATCTTATTCTCATCAAGTTAGTTTATTAAGCTAAATAACATTTATTCTAAAATAATAACAAAGGGCACGATTAAAACATTTAAACAATATATTTTATTTGTGAACTGATGTTAAGCTGTTTTTTTTTAAGTTAACACTGATCATAGACATACACCATTAATTTCAAGCTGATTGCTCTCTAAAAAATACCTACAGTAAAGTCATCATGTTTTTTAGTCCATTTCAACTTTGATTTTGACATGTCAAAGCGGTGAAATCTAAGTGGCTACACTTATCCAGCACCGCAAACTCCGTTTTCCTGCTGAATTAACTTTAGAAAAACTTACCAAAAAGCGAATTGGCGAAAGCGTACCATTTGCAGCCGGATTGTCCCAACAGCCATTTCCCATAGAGACTGGAAGCGAAACTGAAGGGAGTCCCAAATAAACAAACCAGTATGTCACTCAGACTTATGTTGAGCAGAATGAGGTTTATGGGTGTCCGCAGTGAGCGAAACCTCGCAAAGATGAGCAGGACAAAGAGGTTGTTCAGGCATCCAAACGTCAGAATGATTCCGAGGCAGACGGCTGTCACCGTGTGGCCAGTCCGGCTCAGGCCAGCTTGGGTGTTGTCGTGGGGCTCTAGGGGGTCTCCTGAACTGACATTTGCACTTTGATTAAGCGCAGAAATATCTTTGTTGCTAATGTTCAAACTCCAGATGTGGACGACCATAGTGCCTCAAAGCACGGGTAGATGCTGACACTTCCTTACGGATGGATTCACTGTTCTCATCCCCCCACCACTATCATTAACACCCTACCTACCTCTGCTTTTCTGCTAACCTACGTTTTAATGACTGTCTGAGAGTCTCTTTATGATCCGCGGTGTGTAGGTGTGTGTGTGTGTGTGGGGGGGGGGGGGGGGGTTGGGGGGGGGGGGGGGTACAGTGAACAGTGAATCCATCTGTAAGGAAAGTCATAGTGTCATCACCTCTACCCGAGATGACAACACTTATTACATGGCTCCTAAATAAATACTAGGCTACTTTTCATCTTTTTACTCCGGAGATCATGAAAGCGTGCCTGATTGTTATTCTACTTTACAAAAGCACAACGTTTTCCTGTTATTGTGAGTTTACACAAATAAAAGTAGCCTTGTTGCAGATGATTTTTTTTTTCTTTTTCTGTATGACCAGAAATGATAGATTATTTTAAGTTGTTTCCACTGTTGATAGGAAAATGCAAGTGGTTGCGCGGGTGCCTCTGTACAATGCAGTGTGCACTCTTGGATAGAGTGACTTGGAACACTTGGCACATCAAAAAAAATTATTTATTTTTTTACATTAGGCCTACAAGATATGAAAGCAATAAAGACTCTACTGGACATTTGCAGAGTGTGCGCGTGCATATGCGGTGCATGTATTAAAGTGCATATTTTAAGTTGCTTTTTACTTTATTACTTAAGTTTATTTTTACTATGTAGCCTATACTTATATTAAAATTTAGAACATTTTAACTTAAAACTTAACATTGACAAAAACATTAGACTCATACCTTTTGCATAGGCTAATTTAAATATTTATACAATAAATCTTGCATGTCACAAAGAACTTGTTTTTCCACCTCAACGAATGAGATGAGTGTCGTTTATTATGTCCTTGTTGAGGTAAATTGTAGTTCTCTTTACTTAAAACACATTTACATGAGAACAGGCTGATTTGCTGTATAAGCCAGTCCCTCACATTCATTCTCTGTCTGATCACCGTTACCCTGTGCGCCTTCCTTGTGGATATTTATCATTAAACATTGTGTTGGAACTTGATTCTTCTGTCTTCCTGAAACCACATGTGAAGTGCTGTCAGAGAGACACTGCAGTTAAAACAGACATATCAGCATTAACATAATGCTATATCCGGATACTCGTAGGTCAGTGTTCTCAGCTATTTAGTCTCTAATGTCAGACCATTGTTTTAGAAATGACATATTATCATGGAAATTGGCTAAGCAGCACAGACAACAGAGATAAGATACAATAATAATATAATAGTGGCAGAAATTAAATATGTCCTATTAAAGGTGATCCCTCTATATGTCAGCACACTAATTGAGTTGTGTGCTGTGGATTCTCTGAGGTAGCCTATCTCTGCAGACAATATTAGAATTACAGATTGTGTGAGTGAAGAGGAGAGAACAGGCTTGACTGGATAACAATGGCAGACCGAAATGCCAGAGGAGTTGTGAAATACATCCAATTTGCCTTCTACAGTAGGCTACATTATCACAAAAATTAAAAAATATACTTTTTAAATAAACAATGTCACAAATGAGACCATTTCTCATTAAACTGAGAGTACGCAGATCAAACCTCATGCTTTTTTGAGCTAAGCAGCAGAGTAAGACAAAATATGAGAACATCTGATGAAATCTAGTAAAGGGCTTGACTGTATTAACCTGTGATTAAACAGCGACTCGACAAATTAATAAACACCGGCACAAAATACTGATTCCAGTTGAAAATATTTTATAACTGTAGCTGTATGTTATCTTTAATCTTCTGTTGAAAAAATAGTTGATTGCAATGTACAACACTATCACCAATCAACAAAATGAACATTGCAACAATATTGAAGTAATATTAAAACCAGACTATTCTAGTAACTTTGCAACTACATGTCAACTAATATGCAATAATTTGCATGTCAACTGACTCTCATTCAAGCATTAGTAGACTGTTGGGTTAGGTTTAGTAGAATAAGCAAAGTTGCAAAGATAGTCAGTAGAATGTCTGTTGGAGGACAATCAAAATAAAGTGCAGATAGTCTACTTATTTGACATGTAGTTGCAAAGTAGTAGAATGTCTAAAGTGGACAATTGAAATAACGTTTTACCTAATGCAGAAGTCTTCTGATGTTTCACTATAATAATCGATAAATGAGGTGCAAGATGGCAGCAGTTGAGTTTTTTTTAATGTGCAGCTGCGTCCGAAATCATGTATAGCCTATACTGTCAGTGTAGGTACTACTTTGATGAAGAACTTTTAAAGGACGTCTAAACTTGTGGGCCTATTTATGTGTTTAGTCAAGTGTGAATAAAATATGGGCAAACTATATCCACTATGGTGTGACTTATTGAGTCAGTTGCGGTGCTTCCCTTTCATTCACGATTTGTCATGTGGCCTCTTGTGAGAGATAGTAAAGTGTTCATTAGGTGATATGCCATTGCGTGATAGCCTATGTGATATTATTATAACCTTTATTTTACCCAGAAAGAAGCACATTGAGATTAAGAATCTCTTTTACAAGACCATCCTGGCCAAAACCGACAGACACAGCACGTTTGAGTGTAACAAATAACATACAATAACAAACAATACATGTATACACACACTAGCAACTCATTTTCAATATCATATAAAATGTCAATATCAAATACATAACTATAGCTAAAACATCTACAGCCCGATGTAGGGGTAGGGTTACGCGCGATCCTAGGGCGTCATCTGGGCGCCTAAAGCGTCAGATATTGAAGCATGGTCAAAATGTGAGAATGGGCTGTATAGACCTTATGTAGCCCCACCCCTTTTCAGCGTTGCGCTCGTCTTTTGACTTCCGGTCTGTATTTCCACAGCGATCTTGCATAGGTAGCCTATGAATGAACTGCTCGTAAAAAAAATCTCGTTCGACATTTGTTAAGAAATCTGCTTTACAATGCTTGTGATAAACATTACAATGCTCATGATAACTTTTGTTAACTCTACAATAAGTAAATCCACTTCACCAGCTAATTACTCCTCGACAGCAATGCCATAGAAATACAGAACCGGAAGTTCAAAGACAATATTCTGAAGATGACGGCGCCCACTTTTCTCTGGTGCATAAGGTCTATAGCCTATATAACATTACTACCTATATAAAAGTCGATGGATTAAACAACTTTGATTTTGTTTTATCCACATTTAAAGCCAGTTTTAATTCAATTAAGTTATGCTGCTGAACAATATCAAATGCAAGCTGTAATTAAAAAAGAGCTAGATTGGGTGTGCATGCTGAACTATATATTACAGTATCATCAGCATTAATGAAACTTTACATCAATGAACATTATGATCAATATTATTTATAGAGAGTAAATATGAGTGGTCCTGACTAACCCCCGAGGCACACCTTTGATGACATTAAGTGAACCAAAGATAAAACCTTCTGCCTGTATTGAGTTCTGTTTGAAACAGTTATTATACCAGCCAATTATGTTAATCCAAGAGTAGATAATCTTTCTATCAGTAAAGTATGATCAACAGTATTAACTGCTTTTGATAGATCGATGAATAAGGCTGCACAGTATTTCTTGTTTTCTACAAATTCAATAAAATCATTTAGTGCTTTTAAGGCTGCCGTAGTTGTGCTATGTTGTTTTCTAAAACCAGATTGAAAATCAGACAGGGTATTATTAGCAGACAGAAATTATTTTAATTGATTGCTGACTAATGGTTCAAGGACTTTGGCCAAGACTGACAGCTTGGAAATAGGCTGGTAATTATTTGGGTGTGTGGGATAAGCTGATTTCCATATAAGTGGAAAGGTTTAAAAAAAAATAGTCAGAGGTGGGACAATTACTGTAAATCAGCTGCTAGCCTTAAAAAGTACGGTTCTAGATCATCAGGACCTGCCGATTTTGAAACATCTAAGGAATTAAGGGCTTTGATACAGGGAGATGTGGCCAGTAGCCTACTACTGTAGCCCAAGAAATGGTTGCCCAATGAAGCTAAGCAGGGCTGACCCTGGTTAGGACCTGGATGGGAGACCTCCTGAGAAAACCAGGTTGCTGCTGGTAGAGGTGTTAGTGAGGCCAGCAGGAGGTGCTCACCCTGTGATCTGTGTGGGTCCTAACGCCCCAGTATAGTGACCAGGACACTTGAAACACTGTCAAGTCACTAAAGTTTTCTGTCCAGTAGTCCTGTACTCCCGTATTGCAATGAAATGTGAAGTGACCGATCATTGTGTGAATGTTTCTAGCCAGAGATGAGCGCAGACCTAAGCTTCGCCTTGGCCAATTTTATTTGGAAAGGGACATGTGTGCCACCGGATGGTTACTGCTAAATATAGTACAAGGACATCCATAATCCTCAAGCAGGGGTGTGGAGGTGGCTGTTCCAACATCTGCGTTCATGAGTTAGATTCATGGCAGAGGAGTTCAGTTTGATAGCTTCATAGTGTGAGATTAAGATTGACTCAAAGACATACCAATTTCACATCATGCTGCTAGAAGTAATGTATTTTTACCGTGAGATGCACTGCAATGTTGTTGTCATCCACTAGGGTGCAGTGTCTGTGTTTTCATCAGTAGACCATGCCTGTCATTTCAATGTCATAAAAACCAAGTCTGTTTCAAATGCTGTAAATTACAAATAAAATGTATTTCAGTATCACCGACAAAATGTTGTAATGTGCCATTTATTAAATTTAAAGCCAATAAAATACTGAGCCAAAGTAGTTTCAACTTTGGCTCAAAGTTGGCTCAAAGTTTCAAGTCGTTGGTGGTTAGTGACATAAAAATCTTTCTGACAGCAGCACAGATAGCATAAAAACAACGATAGATGCTAATAATAAATGTATAATTGTGCATGTGTTAGGATAGCAAAATAAATACACTTTTACACTTTTTGAAAGGTAGAAAACTCTTATTTTTGTTGTTGACACCAAAGGCAGTGCATCCAATCAAACTACAGTATTACCTACCCTATCTCACGACCAATTCGTACGAATTCGTACGAGTGATTAAAAAGTGGCTAATTCGTACTAATTCGTACGACCTCACTCGTGCGAATTCATACGATTTGTCTAAACCCACGTGACGGTTATGTTTAGGGGCGGGGTCAGGGGTAGGTCATTCGTACGAATTCATACGAATTGGCCAATTTGTAAAATATGTACGATTTAGCAAAAATCGTACTAATTTGTACGACTGAGGTCGTATGAATTGTTACGAATTAGCCACCTCGTAAAATTCGTACGAATTAATTTAAACAGCCAAATTAGACAAATGCCAGCATAAACAAGTTGTGTAACATGCTCTCATCCTTGAAAACCAATAATCAAATAGGAATAAATATAGTTTTTACAAATTGAAACTGCATCATGCATTTTACCAACTTACTGTATACTCGAGCCCATTAAACCTCTTTTTAGATACATTTATACATGAAGAGTTCAGACGCAAAAGCCTCAAAATGCCATTTGAAATTTTCTTCTTTAATGATGATTTTTATCACACTCATATATTTAATTTCAGTAATTTCACTTATATAACAATTAATAGGTAATTATCATTGCCATTTAAGTGAAATCACTAAACTTAAATATACAAGCTTGATAAAAATGATCATTCTAGAAGAAAATTTCAAATGGCACTTAGAGGCTTTTGCATCTGAACTCTTCACATGTACATTTACATTCATACATTTGTGTATGTGATCAATGTATGTTTTCAAATCAAAGTTAATTACTCACAGCAGCCTATAAGACAAATTACATTACAAATTAAATGCAACACAAACATAAAATCAACTAAATTGTACACATTTGCAACAAATAAACTCTGACACTACAAATGGAATTTAAAAAAAAAACTGTACAAACACAGATTACATTTTGTGTGTGTTTCGTTCTATGTTCGTCTTTATCCATATGGCCTGAGGGCAATCTGGTACACGAAGAGCTTGTTTCTGAACAGGTTGGATGTGCAAAAGCCTCCAGGTGAAGCATTGCAAGGTCCATTAGTCACTTGTTCAGTTAAATGAAAGAGCGATGAAAGACTTCTTTATTCTTGCTTTTAAATCTCAAATCTTTTGAGTTAATACCAATAAAGATCTTTTTTCTCAATCACCTGAACACCTAAAAGGAAATCACAAGTGACTTAATTAAAATACTGAGGATTCAAATATATGTTAGAAAGACTACAATGTCAACTTTTAATGTAACGACTTTTAGATAGTTATGTAGCCTATACAGTACCGTTGAATTTCTGTGTGTTTTTGTTGTTGTTTTGAAAGAAATTAATGCATTTCAGTAAGGAAGCATTTTTCAAGAATAATCAGTAAAGAAACTGAAGTAACGGCTGCTAAAAAAAATCAGGTTTGCAGGAAAAAACCTAAAAAATATGTGTAAAAGACTTTAAAAAATCCCAAACATAAAAAAAAAAATCATTTGAACTGTACTGTATGGTTACGTGGGTGTGATTAAAACAGGATGGTAAAATAAGGGCATTTACCAGAGTTTAGATTGATATCACAAGCCATCTGGTCGCCAAATCCAGGATACTTTGCCCATCCAGACATGCGTTCTTGTTTGGAGGAGGGTCCCATAACTGTGCTCATGTCAGGACGATCGTTGTGGAGCAAGTTCAACAGAGAATTAGAGTACTGTTGTTCGGCTGCCATCAAACCATCAGAGGATACAGCCGGGGGGTACATCATGGGGGGCAGAGCGAGACTCATACCCTGCCTAGAATCCCCTGACCACAGAACAGCATTGTTTGCAGGGAGATTTAGTGGCAAATGATGGTTTGATTGAGACTCGCTGCTTGTTCTGAGCCGGAGATGTTCTGAAGGAAACATTGACTGAAACCTAGTTTGTGACTGTGCTTCCCATTGACTTGAACCAAGTTCATCTAAAAAAAAAAAAGAACTCAATGTTTTAACTCATTCAACAAGTCAAATATTTAATGTAAAAGGAAATTTGAGAGGACTTGTTTACTTGTCTGAGCAGATCTGCGGTTTCTTTTAGTTTTGGAGTGCTCTCCCTCCGGTTTAGTTGCTTTACTTAGAGCACGGGAGAAATGCTCATCCACCATGCTGTTGATGTCTCCTTGGAAGTAGGTGAGGAGAACACTACCGGACTCCTCCTTAATCTTAGCCACTGGACATCCTAGATCCTCCTCCATCACTGATATGCAGAAATGGTGTGCAATCATTTATCAATGTATCCAGCAGTGATGACATATCATGGCGTCATGTTTTCTCATTCTAATGAGTTTATGATGTTCTTTGCGATGTATAAGGAAGGGGTATTTTAAAGCCATTTGTATTTTAGCTGAATTGATCAATTATTCAAGTGTTTATGTATTTTAATGTGCCAATAATATAAATGATGTATGCCTACCATTTAGGAGATACAATAAATATTTTATTTATTTATTTATTATTTGATGAGTTTTTCTGACCAGAGCATCACAGAAATGCCTATTTTAAAAAAGCATCAGAGCTCATCTAGTTATGAGAACTAAAAAGTTAAAGTAGGTATTGTATTGAACACATCGTAATTCGTCGATATATATATGTGTATATATATATATATATATATATATATATATAGAGAGAGAGAGAGAGAGAGAGAGAGAGAGAGAGAGAGAGAGAGAGAGAGAGAGATGTTGTTCATTAAATGATGTCAAATGTATAGAATAAAACATATTTTTAAATTGTCCTCTTTTAAAACAAAAAATCTAATTTTGGTAACAGGGCTTCAAACTTCATAAAAAAATTTAAAACATTATTCATTATAGACATTATATAACGTCATTATTCCAGTCTTCAGTGTCACATAATCCCCAAAAATAATTTTATTATTCTATTTACTTACTGTATATTATTTATAAATATATCATATTATTATAATATTTCACAATATTACTGTTTGTAGTGATTTTTTATTTAATAAATGCAGCCTTGGTGAGCATAGAGACTTTTTTCAAAAACATGAATAAATTGGGTAGCACTTTACATAGGGTTCATTAGTTAACATTAGATAGGCTAACTACCTTAGTTAACATGAACTAAGAACGAACAGCTGGATTTTTATTAATTTCAACATTTACTAATAGGCTACATTGGTAAAATCAGGGGTTGTTTTTGTTTACATTAGTTAATGAAACATGAACTGTTTATTGTGAGCTGGATTTTAACTATGACATTAACAAAGTTTATTAAATAATGTAACAAACGTAGCCTATTGTTTATTGTTAGATCCTGTTAGTTATAATAAATCTTATTGTAATTTATTTCCATAAATTGTAATGTTTCCTAACTTTTGACAGAACACTTTACAAGAAGCTAGGCTATCATATCCTGCTCTTTTATCGCTACGTTTCCAGATTTAATTAAGAAAGTTTTGTAAATTAACGTTAGGCTTATAGTCCTTGTAAAAGAAAGAAAGAAAGAAAGAAAGAAAGAAAGAAAGAAAGAAAGAAAGAAAGAAAGAAAGAAAGAAAGAAAGAAAGAAAGAAAGAAAGAAAGAAAGAAAGAAAGAAAGAAAGAAAGAAAAGGAAAGTATACTGTCATGGAAATAGCCACCTTAGAGCTTTTACTCACCGTGCAAAAGTCGTGAAATATCGAGTTAATCAGACGCTGCAACACGAACCGCTTGCTAAAGTAAAGGTGATATCCGTCATTGCATGAGGTTTAAACAGGCTGCAGTTGAATCAGTTAAATCGTTTCTCTATGAGGAAAAGTTCGACTAAGAGAAACTACTTCAGTTTTTGCTCTTAAATATGGGGCGTCAATCTGTGAACTTTAACCAGTATGAGTAGAATGTGACTGAACAAGTCAGACCATTTAACTGTCACCTCCGGAAAAAAGACACTGACAGAAATTATGTTTTTTTTTTTTTTTAACATATTTGACAGATTCTGCGAGACAGTACATGTGCTTACAGAGTAAGTACCCAAGAAAGTGTAACATAAGGTAGCCAACTACAAGGTTTAGGTTCAGGATTAGTAGGCTACTTGAAATTGCTATAGCCTATAGGCTACGCTATGCGAAACAGGACTGTAATAAAAAGTGCCACCATTTTGTTTCTCATTATATTATTAATGCCACAATTTATCTTAACAAATGTTGTGAATGCAAAATAGTTGGTTGTGTTTGCAAAAACCTAAACAAACATTTTAATTGATTTCTTAAAACGTTTTAGACTGCTAGTAGGCTATTTTTCTTTTTTAATACTGACTGTCTGATGTCAAAATTAGCTACTATAATTCTGGTGGAAAAAAGTGCTGTCACTTCCCAGATGGCTAATGTATAGATATTATTCACTGGAATGACACCACTCATAACAGTTTAAACACATGGCTTCATTAATTCATCTCTCTGGGAGAAATAAAAAAAATGAAACCAACAATTTATTTATATCAAAGAAATGATTACAAATTTTAATTGTAATCATTTCTTTGATATAAATAAATTGTTGGTTTCATTTTTTTTTCTTCCAGAGAGATTACATTGAGGTTAAAAAAATCAGACAATTCGACAATTCCAAAGTCGTCATTTACATAAATACACAGAATTCATCTTCCTTTTTTTATTGTTTTCTGTCCTGTGTCAGGAAGTCACCATGGTGGCTGGTCCCCGAGTTTGAGGTTTCGGAGATCTTCCTTTCACTGGTAGTCTCAGACTTCATGGATGGTGAAGAGACGTGTTGACCACCTTTCGCTTTGGCCCCTGGTGTCACAGAACGACTCCAGTCTGGTTAAAATTAAAATTATTCATTATTTTTAAAATACGTTTTTCCAAGGAATTCGAATTGATGGTTGTATGGGACACTGTTTCCTTTTTAGGTAAATTTTAATCTACAACACTTATTATATTTGGGTGTTTGCTATAGTTTTGTATAATACAGAATAAATATACAATATTATTATAATTTACAATAGCCACTTTCTTTTCAGTATAGTGGCCTATAGCTTGACTGTTAAGTATAGTTATAAGCCAAACCTGAGTATTCAGTCTGCCTGAATCTTCCACAGCAGAGATGTGTCTTCCACTGCTTCCTTACATTGTCTTTCATCAGACAGTAAAACAGGAAGATAAAGAAACCTGAAATACAGCAAAAAAAAAACAAAAAAACACTTGACCTTTGCATTTGAACATTACAATCCAAAAACAAAACATCTTTTGATAAACTCTGCATTCTTGCTTATCTGATGAACCTGTGTAATATAAATCAGGTTTCACTGCACCTACTATATGTGCACAGTATACTTTGAATGCATTAGCTTTACTTAGGCATAAGCAGCCCTTGGTGTTACCTTGAAGACTGTTAAGGAGGGAGAACAGGTACAGCAGGGGTGTTTTGGCCGGGCCCCAGGCGACGAAGGCTAGTATCCAGGTTAGTCCCAGCAGGAAGGTGAGGCTGGCCACCACTCGCAGGTCATGCAGGAACCCTTTTCTGTTGCTGGCAGGCTTATTGACCTGCATCTTACGGATCTGTGCCAGCACCACAGCAAACACGCAGATATTACAGACCATGATCAGGGTCACAAACGACACCACCGTCACATAAAAGGTCACGTCATTCTTTACCCAGCAGCTGAAAAAGATGAAAAGAGATAGTATGACCATAAAGACCTCTTTGCACCAAGAACGAAAACTGGAAAAAATAACCAGTGATAACTATGTTAGCATGCACACCGACGGATGATAACTTTATATTTAATAAGAGCACCATTCAGTTTTGTTCTTTGAATATAATCACATGCTTAGGAAGGCTGTCACACCAGCTTTCAATACTGTTATCATTCGTTCATTACCTGGACAAGCATCACAGTGAATGTGATTCCAACAACATTGTTCCTCCAACACAGTCTCATGTCAATGACATGAGAAAATTTGTACAACCTTATTCATTAGTTTTTGTATGATCAGAAATGTTCAGATTTTTTTGAAGGCCAACTTCAGAATGTGAAATCAGGCTGCTTAATGGTTATTGTTTTTGGCACCAATATAAATGATTGCTTGTTTGACACCTACATTGCAGTGGAGTCTTCTTGGAGAAGTGCTCTAGAGAGGTCAGCGCCATATGAATTTATATCAATGGCAAGCACTAAACTTACAACCAGCAGAGGTAAACCTGCAAAGAAACAGTGTTTTTTTAATTGTTATATTCAATTGCTATATACTCCACAGTATAAGAGGAAAATTTTTAAAAATGTTTGCCTTACCCCATCCAAGAGCACAGAATTTGAGCATGTAAGATGGCACATATGAATTAAAGACCTTGACCAAGGCCAGATACATGTTGATTGCACCCAGTCCCATCCAAGTAAAGGTAGCCAGGAAGAAGTAATGTAGAAGGGCAGCTACAGCAATGCAGAAGGCATTGTTGTTAAAAGAGGCAAACCAGGAGTTCACCAGGAACAACATGTTCAACCCTAGCAAGGCCACGGAGAGGTTAATAAGGATTTTTGAAGGGTAGTCTCGCCTCAGTTTCCTGTGGTAAGAAAACACATGTAAGACATAGGATGCTGAACACATAATGTAAAAGAGTCTATGAACTCACTCAAAGGCCAAATAGGTCAACAGTGTGACTCCAAGAAAGATGGAGGATATGCCACAGCCCAGGTATGAGATGACAGTCAGAATCTTTTCATCTTTCGGGTTTATTGGAGTTTTAGAGATATCCTGGGAGACAGAATGGTTACAATAATCAAATTCTTTGCATTAATTATGCAAATGTTGTGCACATCTCCACACTCTAAACAATGCTGGGTTGTTTTAACCCAAATTTGGGTCAAATATGGACAAACCCAAATGTTCGGTTACAAAATGTATTTTAAAATTTTAACCCAACTTCAACTTTTACTTTCAGCTGTACATTTTTTAATTACATTTTTAACCCAACATTTGGGTTTGTCCATATTTGACCCAAATTTGGGTTGAAACAACCCAGCATTTTTTAGAGTGCATCATTTGCCATAAATGAACACTGACCTTTAGTTTCAAAATGTTTGGTCCCACTTTATATAACGTGGCTTTTAAGTACTATGTACTTTAATTGAAACAAATAATTTGATACAATGGACCTATTGTGTACATACATGTTTTTACATTGTACTTATATTTTTAAAATACCAGCATGTAATTACAGCTGTAACTAATTTATGTAATTACATCGGTAATTACACAGCTGACCCATCCCTTACACTTTAACCTACCCTTAAACCTACCCATACCACCATACCTGACCCTAACCTTACCCAGATTACACCTCAATAGCAGCAAAAAGTGTTTTACAATACAACATTCTACTTATTTTTCAATGTAAGTACATAGTACTTAAAGCCATTCACTGACCTTGTGCTGTTGCAAAGGCACATTTATTTTCACACAACCAAAAATGTAATGTAAAACTTTGTGTACTTTATAAAAATACTTTGACTGTCTATGTCTTGGACAAACAAAACTGAACTCACAAGAAGAACTCCAAAATGTGTGAGGTGATCACAGGAACAGGACGTATGAGTGGCATTAGACTTCACTGTCTCACATCCTGTATCGTTCCATCCACCTTTCTTATCTATGAGACATTCAAACAACCATTGAACTTTCATAGGGACATCGACCAAAATGAAGAGCTCTCTTAATATAGAGTAGACAGTCTTAAATGTTGAATTTCAAAAATGTGTATCACAAAGCTCACTGTTTTTGTTGAAGTCCCAGTAGACACACCTGACACTGTCCCGGTCCTGTAGAGGAAAAAAGGACATTAACAGTGTGGTGAAATATTACTTTAATGATCAGACTATAAATCTGTGATATTGTCAAGGGGTTGTCATAGTGAATTCATTACAGCTGCCATGGAAGCTATATTTATCAAGATATTTGTTGACAAAAGATATCATGCATTTAGTGGTACTGGTAGCTTATTATTGTAACTGTTTACTAAAGTGTGTTCAAACAGTTGCGTAATTAACCAATAATGGTGTTGAACTGTTGATTTGTGGTTTGATTTGGTGGTGGTTGGTTGATTGTATCCACACAGACCTCTTTAGTTTGGAGATGGCGGAGAGTGACCAGCACTGGGATCTCAAGGTTGCTCACTGTGGCATTGGTTACACTGGCAGACACCACATAAGAGTTCAGCGTCATGTTGATTGCAGTGTCCTAGATAAAAAAAAATTGCCATCAGAAGTACTGATTCTCACAAAACGCCTTAAAGTGGACTTCAAGTGGTTTATTTTTTGTCTGAAAGTGAGGAAAATATGTTATCTGACCACCAGTTTAAGGAGTGTACGTTACCTTAAAGAAATTTTCTTTGCCATAGAAATGGAACTGAACACGAGGCCTGGCTTCATTGTTTGGGAAAAAAATATTAATTGCCGGGGGTAGGGAAATGAAAGCCACAGTTCCTGAGTTTGGATGCTCTGTAAAGTTCTCATCATAAAATATCTACAAAACGGATGGGAAGAAAACATTACTGCAAGAACAATAAGCCATTCAAGTTCACACTTTTATAAATGTTGATGGCTGAAAATGGTCTGTGTCATGTGGCCGTGTGTAGTTTTGTAGTTTCCCCTGTTGGTTAGTCTTCCCCCGGTGTTTCTCGTTTACTTGTTAAACTTGTTTGCCACCTTTTTTAAACCCCTGTGTTTCGAATTGAAACACACTAAAAAATGTCAGCCCATTCTCACCCCCAAGGCGTCACCTAACTGACGCCTTGGAAGCATTTGGACATGCTTCAATATCTGACGCTTTAGGCGCCCTTTAGCGTCAGTTAGATGAC